ACTCCATTCAATGACACTGCACACTTGAGTTCGTTGATCATTAAGCTATTTCAAGATACAAAAGTACGCGATAGAGCTCGTCGAAATGCTTATGATTTCGGTCGTAATATGATCTGGCCCATTATAGGTGCTAAAATTGAAGAAATTAGCCGCGATCTAATTTCGTCTGCATAAAACCAGACTATCCATCACTTACATAAAAACAATACAATAACTATGATCATCATTATAACTTTTAATACACATTTGACTTCTTTTTTTCTTTTTTTTTCAAATAGTTTTTTGCCCCTTGCGTCTAAAGTAACTTTTCTATTCTTTTCTTATATTATACTCGACATTTCCATATCGTAACTACTAACCATTTCAATAAAAACAATTCAACAATAAATGTTGCTGCAAACGTTTTTAATACACATTTTGACATCTAATCATAGCTATATATTTGAAAGAATGCAAATGATTTAATTGTAAATTTCACCAAGATAAGTTTTTGTTGGTATTAAGCTCAAATCTCAATCCAAAACAAAAACAACTTTTTATTCAACAGTTAATTTTTGACAGAATGATTTCGCATTACATTATTTCTTCACAGACACTAATGACCTACAATCATTAGAGTCGTTTGTTAACCATTATTAAATAATAAAAGAACTTAAACTGTAGAACTTGTTTAATTGCTTCGTTTAAGCTTGATCTTATCAAATTCGGGCATATTCTAATACCTTTTATCTTAAACTTTTCATATTCAATCAACTGTGACAATATCATCTTTTATCTCTTATTCATATTGATTTAAAATTAAAATCATATAAGTAGATAGATCGAACGCGATTGACGAATTTCTTCTTTATCTGAATATTTGAATACAGTACATATATTCGATTGAAAAACAAGACCTCTAAGATTGTTTGTTGAGTTTTAAATATCATACAGCTTCATATATCTGTAAACCAAGATGAACATACATAAGGACTGCTCAAAGTTCGACAATTCATATGCAAAGCGTAATGATTAGTATAGAAACTCTTTATACTTCGTATATCTACATACTAAATGACTGCTTCTATTTGTATTGCAAAGTTTGATAGAAATGGTTTCAATGAAATTTGCTTAGTACCAGAAAGTTGCTTAAAATCTTCAAAAAATGTAAAAGTGTATAAATAAATAGTGATGATTGATAAAAATCAATCGATAACGTCGAGCGCGTGGAACTTTATTATTTGAAAGTGAGGCGTTACAAAGCGGATATTTACTACTTGTATTATTTTATTCTCTGTTTTGATTATCTTTATAGGAATATTACAATAATGTAAAGAATATTGTCAAGGTATCAATTAGTTCAAGCATTCGATCGCATTCAGGTTGAAATTTCCATTTCTATTGATTCATAAGTGCTATAATATCTTTCCATTATAATAAAATAAATTAGAAATTCTATCAAAACTAAATAATAAATCCATCAAGATAAATAGTAGTTTTGGTTTCCAAAAATGATGGAATTTCACTGGAACCGACAAGAGAAAAGAACCGGAGAAAACATTAGTTGGAAGCCATACTGCAATCAGAGAATTTTTCTAATTTCGTTCTTTGAGAGAACTTGATCGTAACTTATTGAAAAACCTTCCGGGCGCTACATTACTTTCAACTTGCATCTATCTCTGGTTTTTTTCTCTTGTAAACTAGTTTTATTTATTGACTTATAGTCTATTCAGACAAAAAGTATTCTTGATACTGAAATTATTTGTTATCGAGAAACTATGTAATAGGATTACACATTATCAAAGTCCATTTTTATTTTTAAGTAACGAATGCTATGATTTTATAAAAGCCAATATTTCTGATAACATATTGCTCTTGTGATATCTTTTATTAAAAATACGATTCAGATTTTTATTGTATGACATTGTTCACATTGCAGAATCGCAACTAGTATTATGAACATGGCTGGCTGCAATCAGTATCTTTTGGTAAATCAAAAAGTGTAGGATCTTGTGGAGCAATTTCCCATGCATCATAATCTGTAAATTGACGAGGTGTTTTAAAGTTAGGACCCGAATAGCGTACACCATTTCCAAGTTCATCAACTTCACTCCAATATTCATGTTCCCAAGCATACCAGTGATCAACATTTCTACCATGTATCTGTTCTATTCCAAGCCAAGTGGCACTTTTAAGCCAATCTCGAGGTACACCGAAATTTCCTGGCAAAGCTATACAACAAAGATTATTAGCAACCACATAAACATTTTCAGTAATTAAAATAGTGCAACTAGATTGATTCACAGCCCAACCATAACAATAACCAAAATGATCGTGCCGTTCTAGGCCATGCCATTTTCCACTAGGCGTTACGTTTGTATATGCATAATAGAAAAGACTACGATGAACATGTGGCTGATTATCTTCATCAAAAGCAGTTACTATGGCTTCGGTTCTAAAAACGAAAATAGTTTTAATCATTCGATCTTTTTCTTAAAAACAATCAAATTTACTTGAATCCATCAGGCCATAATGGATATGAAGGAGGAGTTTGACGTTCACATATAGCGAATGTCGCTATCACAAGAAATATTATAATTCGTAGCATACGTTATTATTACTGAAGTAGACTCTCGCAAAGCAATTGGGTTCTCTTTTAAACGATGAAAATTTTCACTATGTCATATTTATTCATGAGAATTCTATCACCTGTCTTAGATTTTTCTGTAGTAAGGATTGCGGTGCATATTTTTATGTTTCATTTTTACCTTTGTTTAATAGCATACTGAGTTCATAACGATGTATGACAAGGGAACAAAATGAACACAGAAATCGTGAATAATAGATAAAAAAAACTATAAGATAACAACGATTGAACAGTATGGAAAAAAACATGTAGGATGAAATAAAAAATACTCTAGAATAACGAAATGTCTCATGAAGCGTCCAATATTTTAAAGCTAGAAGTAAATCTTATATATCCTAGATTATTGTAGTCGATAAAATTAAACTGCGTAAAATACATTTCAAATTCACCAGAAATAGATGTCAGGAGCACTGGATGAAAAAATTCAAAATAATACTATTGGACGATTTCAATTGCATCATTGTACCTCGACATAAAATATAGCGAGATTCCAGGAAATATTTCGCACATATTCCTCGTGAAATTTAGTAGAATTTGTTTATCAGAATACGTGCCAAATTCTTTCCAATGGAATGTAAAAAGATATTTTTTTAAAGCCTCGATAAAGTTAAAGTATTTATATGCAGTCGTTATTTCTCTTCTACATGAATATATCAACTATCGCTAATCTTTCAATAATAAACTAAATTTGGTTATTTTTTCAAGATGCAACGTGGAACATTAATTCTTGAAGATGGTTCTGAATTTACCGGTTTTGTATTTGGTGCTACAACTAATACTACCGGTGAAGTCGGTAAGATTCTATTAATAAATGACTTCATTTTCTTTTAACAATCTGTTTTTTTCTTCGATTTAGTATTTCAAACTGGTATGGTCGGTTATCCCGAGTCGTTAAGTGATCCATCTTATTGTGGAGAAATTCTTGTTCTTACTTTTCCACTTATTGGCAATTATGGTTTGTTTCATTTTCTGTTTTGTTGTTTGGTACGTTTAATATCGAATATCTTATTTTTACAGGCGTACCCGATGAAAAAGCCGTTGATGAGTTTGGACTACTTCGATGGGTTGAATCAAATAAAATTTATGCATCAGCATTAATTGTTAGTGCTTATACTGAACAGTACAGCCATTGGAATGCTGTTGAATCTCTTTCATCATGGCTAAAAAAACATAATGTACCTGGCCTTTATGGTCGGTCTTTGCTGTAGTGTCTATTTTTTATTATGATGCAATACAAATTATTTAGGTATCGATACACGTATGTTAACTAAAAAACTTCGTGAACATGGAACAATGCTTGGAAAAGTATAATTATCTTGTTTCTCTATTTTTTTTATTAAATCAAATATAAATAGATTGTTATGGAGGGAACTGATCCAAAATCAATTGCATTTCAAGATCAGAACAAATCAAATCTCGTGGCACAAGTTTCTCTTCCAGTACGTAAACTCTTCTATTTGTATATTTTTATTTTTTGGTTTTTACTGTATTATTAGAAACCACGTATCTATAATCCAACAGGCAAACTATCGATTGCCTGTATTGACTGTGGTCTTAAAATGAATCAATTACGAATGTTATGCCAACTCGGTGCAAAAGTAACTGTGTTTCCATGGAATTATCCTGTCAAACAAGAAGGTATTGTTCCATTTGTCAAGAATGTACAAAAATGAAAAAGAATTTTTCATTTTTTTGATTGGTTTAGAATATGACGGTTTGTTTTTGAGTAATGGTCCCGGTGATCCGCAAACTCAATGTCCAGATACTATTACAACCATTAAATCATGGATTAATAGTGAAGTTGTTAAACCGGTATTTGGTATTTGTCTTGGTCATCAAGTAAAGTTTATTAAATCGAAATATTTTGTATTAAATCAATTTCTTTTTAAGTTAATGGCATTAGCTGCTGGAATGAAAACAGCAAAACTTAAATATGGAAATCGTGGTCATAATCAAGTATATCTTTCATTATAATTTTGAAATCTATATTGATTATCATTTTTTTTATTTAGCCATGTTTATTGGAAGGAACGCAACGTTGCTTTATTACATCACAAAATCATGGTTTTGCTGTTCAAACAGAACAAGGTTTAGCTAAAGATTGGAGTATTTTATTTACAAACCAAAATGATCAATCAAATGAAGGCATTATTCATGATTTGAAACCATTTTTCAGTGTTCAATTTCATCCTGAGCATTGTGCTGGACCCCGTGATACAGAACAGTTATTTCAAATATTTCTTGATATTGTTCAGTCATATAAATCAAATAAAACAATCAATGCGAAATCATATTTAAAAGAACAATTAACTAGTCGTGATAGTGGTCCTCATGCACCACCAGAAGCATTTTGTACACGAGTGAAAAAAGTATTGATATTGGGAAGTGGTGGTTTAATGATTGGACAAGCAGGGGAATTTGATTATTCTGGTATGAAACATCAAATTTTCACATCAAATTTTCATTGTCGTATTTCTATAGGTACACAAGCTATAAAATCAATGAATGAAGAGAATATCTATACTCTATTAATCAATCCAAATATTGCAACAGTTCAAACATCGAAAGGTCTTGCTAATAAAGTATTCTTTTTGCCAATTACACCAGCTTATGTTGAACAAGTTATTCGAAATGAACGTCCCGATGGTATTCTACTTAGTTTTGGTGGACAAACAGCGTTAAATTGTGGTTTTCAATTGCATGAATTGGGTATTTTAAAAAAATACGCATGCAATGTATTAGGGTAAGCAATATAAATTGATCTTGATATCATCGATTGTATGTTTCTTATATGAATAGTACACCGGTTAAATCGATTCAAATTACTGAAGATCGATCGTTGTTTGCACAGAAAATGGCTGATATTGGCGAAAAAGTTGCTCCGTGTGAAGCTGTGAATTCTCTTGAAGAGGTTTGACCATAGAAAAAGTTAAAATATCTAAAATATTACCCTGAATCATATACTTTAGGCGTTGGTATCGGCGGAAAGACTTGGCTATCCAGTACTTGTTCGGTACTTAGATCTTTCACAGACAGTTTTTGTTTTGAATAATTCTTGTTCTATGTAGTGCTGCTTTTGCACTTGGTGGTCTTGGATCAGGTTTTGCTGATAATCGTGAACAACTTATACCTTTAGTTACATCAGCATTAGCACATTCGTCTCAATTATTAATTGATAAATCACTTAAAGGTTGGAAAGAACTTGAATATGAAGTCGTTCGTGATCAATATGATAATTGCATTGTGGTATGTTAAATATTAAACTATTTTTCTATCACTATCAGAATTACAAATGAATTTTTTTTCTTTTATCTTAAAAAAGCACGAGAAAAGCTAATGACTAGTGATAATAGACAATCACAATAGAATAACTGGTTGAGAAAATGTCTACAAGAGGCTGTTGCGTTGTAAAAAAATTTGAAGTTCTCCTATTTCGATGTCTGAAAAGAAAATGCTACCATTCTAATATCTCAAGGTTATGTTCATCTCTGGTTAATGCTAGCATCCAAATGAGTCAAAGAATGATCACGGATCTTAAATCAGTAAGTTATTTTTATGCTAGATAAATTCTCTCTCTTTATTGCATATCTGAAGAAGGATTCAATAAAAGGATGGCAAATGAAGTGTGTCCAAGGTTTACTGAACCACATGAGTTTTACTCTTCAGAAATCAATGCGTAACATATGAACATAGCCAGACGTTTTCATATTATCCTGTCATATACTGTAGAAATACAAATCAGGAGATTCAGATACCCGTAGGTAGAGGTATCAAGCATACGACTGAGGGGTCGCAGCAGCCGATTCTTCTATCAAATCAGCCGCCGCCGTCACATAAGGACTTGCAAATATCAGCCGGTGCCGTTCAACCGTTCGGCTGACACCTCTACCCGTAGGTGTCTATAGAATAGATTTCTTTTATAATTGTGTTAAATATTTGACGTCTTTATTGGTAGGTATGTAATATGGAAAACATTGATCCATTAGGAATTCATACTGGTGAATCAATCGTTGTTGCACCCAGTCTAACATTATCCAATGATGAATATAACTTATTACGCAGTATTGCAATTAAAGTTGTTCGTAGTTTGGGTATTGTTGGTGAATGCAATGTGCAATTTGCATTAAATCCATGTTCAACTGAATATTATATTATTGAAGTCAATGCGCGATTATCTCGTTCATCAGCATTAGCATCAAAAGCAACTGGTTATCCATTAGCATATATAGCAGCTAAACTTGCTCTTGGAATGAGTTTAGTTGAGTTGAAGAATGCTATAACAAATGAAACATGTGCTTGTTTTGAACCAAGTCTTGATTATGTTGCCGTGAAAATTCCACGATGGGATTTAAGAAAATTTGTTCGATGTTCAAATAAAATTGGAAGTTCAAGTTAGTGATGATTTTTCATAAAATAATACAGAAAAAGAATAATCTAGCTGCTGTTATTTTATTGTTATTTTAGTGAAAAGCGTCGGCGAAGTTATGGCAATTGGAAGATCATTCGAAGAAACATTTCAGAAAGCTTTACGAATGGTTGATGAAGATATTATTGGCTTTGAACCGTACGCAAGAACAGTCACAGACGATGTAATATTAATTGGAAATCAAATTTTTTTCCTACAAATATCCTTGTTTTTTTCTTTATTCTAGGAATTAAGTATACCAACAGATAAACGTGTTTTCATATTGGCAACGGCTCTTCGGCAAGGTTATAGTATAGAACGTTTATTTGAACTAACCAAAATAGATCGATGGTTCTTGTACAAATTCGCATCAATTATTGAATTTCTCGTTAAACATTCTGATTCATTAATTTTCCAAGACCAAACACTTCTACTCGAAGCGAAACGCTTGGGATTTTCAGATAAACAAATTGGAATATATTGTAATACCACAGAATTGGAAGTTTATGCATCACGTCAACGATTTGGCATACGTCCATTTGTTAAACAAATCGACACAGTTTCTGGTGAATGGCCAGCACAAACCAATTATCTTTATTTAACGTATCATGCTGATATTGATGATGTACAACCAAGTACAAACGAAGAAACGCCTGTGCTTGTACTTGGATCAGGTGTTTATCGAATTGGTAAATATTCAATTACGGTCTTTTTTTTTATCTATGTTAACTATGAATATTTTTAGGAAGCAGCGTAGAATTTGATTGGTGTGCTGTTGGATGTTTAAATGAACTACGACGTCTTGGTCATTATACTTTAAGTAAGATTTTGTCTTTTGACGAAAGAAAAAATACAGTTTTATTTATAATTGTTTTATTCTTGCAGTGCTTAATTGTAATCCTGAAACTGTTAGTACTGATTACGATATGAGTGATAGATTATATTTTGAAGAAATTTCATTTGAATCTGTACTTGATGTTTATAATTTCGAAAAACCACATGGTATTATTCTATCAATGGGTGGTCAATTACCAAATAATATTGCCATGGATTTACATCGACAAAGACATGTTAATGTACTTGGTAGGAGTTAAATTATTATAAACTTTATGATTCATTTTGTTTTTTGTTTCCAGGTACTCTACCAGAAAGTATTGATGCAGCTGAAAATCGATTCAAATTTTCTCGTTTACTGGATGAAAATAATATTCAGCAACCAAAATGGAAAGAACTATGCAATTTTAATGGTGCCAGTGCTTTTTGTGATTCTGTTGGTTATCCATGTCTTGTTCGTCCATCATACGTTTTATCTGGTGCAGCTATGCGTATTGTCTACAATGCTAAAGATTTGAAAGCATATTTAAGTGAACATGGCCTTTCAAAAGAATATCCTGTTGTAATTTCAAAATTTATTCTTGATGCAAAAGAGTTAGACATTGATGCTGTTGCATGGAATGGCCAAGTTGTTCGATTGGTAATCATATAAAAAGATTGCTAATTTATGAACCTCTTTATTTTATTTCTTTAGGCTATATCTGAACATGTTGAAAATGCTGGTGTTCATTCGGGTGATGCTACTTTAGTAACACCACCGCAAGATCTCAATGAAGATACAATTAAAAAAATTCAATTTATCTGTTTTTCAGTTGCAAAAGCATTACAAATATCGGGACCATTCAATATGCAATTAATTGCTAAAGTTAGTTTTTCTTTGTTTCAAAGAAAAAGAAAAACTGTAATGAATTGTATTTCTTTTTTGGTTTAGGATAATCAATTGAAAGTAATTGAATGCAATGTTCGTGTATCTCGTTCATTTCCATTTGTTTCTAAAACATTTGATCATGATTTCATTGCTGTTGCTACACAAATTCTAGTTGGTCTTGAACCAGAAACTGTTGACGATCCGCTTTTTCTTCATTCGACACGTATCGGTGTGAAAGTTCCACAATTTTCATTTTCACGTTTATCCGGTAAAACTATTTAAAATCTGTTTTTGAATTTCATTTTTATTATTTTCTTTTTATTTCTCGTACAAAAAAAAAACAGGTGCTGAAGTTTTACGTGGTGTTGAAATGATGTCAACTGGCGAAGTTGCTTGTTTTGGGTCTGATCGGTTTACTGCTTATTTAAAAGCGTTAATAAGTACTGGATACCGTATACCGAAGAAAAACATTCTTGTTTCAATTGGTTCATATAAGGCTAAACAAGAATTATTAACAGCTATTCGTACTTTAATAGAACTTGGCTATGAATTATATGCTAGTATTGGAACAGCTGATTTTTTCGAAGCTAATAATATTAATATTAATCCAATCGATTGGAAATACGAAGAAACAGAAACAAATTCAAATGGATATGGCAATGGATATGAATATACCAATGGTGATGGTGATCTAGGAGCTGTTGATAATCCTACACAACGAACTATTGCTGATTATCTTGCTACTGGTTCATTTGATTTAGTTAGTATTTTGTTATTTTTTCTTGTTTTTTTTTATAAAAAGTGTGATTTATGTATTATAGGTCATTAACATACCAATGCGTTCAGCAGGAGTAGCTCATGCATCCTCGTTTGTTACTCAAGGCTATCGTTGTCGTCGGTTGGCTACTGATTATAGCGTACCCTTAATTACTGATGTTAAATGTGTTAAGTTATTTGTTGAAGCTTTACGTCGATTGAACAATCAAGAATCAAAAGTCGACATGTCTATTGATTGCATTTCAACTACAACACTAATTCGGTTACCTGGTTTAATCGATTGGTAAATAGGCTAAAATAAATAACAAGTTTTGTTTTTGTAATAAAATAACTAAATTTTTTTCTAGTCATGTTCATTTACGCGAACCTGGAGATGAACACAAAGAAGATATTGTCAGTGGTACAGGTTCGGCTTTAGCAGGTAAAAATAAAGGGTTCACATGAAAAAAAGAGAAACAAGATATGCCATGATTTTTAGGTGGTATTACAATGGTCTTAGCAATGCCTAATACTAAGCCAGCGCTTACCAATGAAACTGTATTGGAGATGACTGAAAAACTCTATGAAAAGAAAGCACTTTGTGATTACGGTTTATTTATGGGTGCAAGTATTGATAATGCAAAAGCTGTTGTTGATATAGCACATCGATGTGTTGGACTTAAAATGTATTTAAATACAACATTTGGTGATTTAAAATTAGATAATATGGAATCATGGATGAAACGTAAGAAAAACACCTGAATTTTTCGTTTTCTATGTACATACGTATATTATTAACTGTTAAGATTTTGAAACATGGCCACCTAACATTCCAATTGTAGCGCATGCTGAAAATCAAACAGTTGCAAGTATATTATGTTTGGCTGAAATTTATTCGCGTAGTGTTCATATTGCACATGTTGCACGTCGCGATGAAATTCTTCTAATACGAGCAGCAAAAAATAAAGGTTTACTAGTTACATGTGAAGTAACACCACATCATCTATTTCTTCATCGTGATAATATACAAAATATATTAAAAGCACATGGAAATATGAAAGGTTTCTGCCATGTTAAACCTGAACTTCAAACAAGTGATGATTGCAAAGCCTTATGGGATAATATGGATGTTATTGATTGTATTGCAACTGATCATGCACCACATACCTTGGATGAAAAATCAAATAAAGAAAATCCACCGCCTGGTTTTTCTGGCTTACAAACAGTATTACCATTATTGTTAACAGCTGTTCACGATGGAAAATTAACTATGGATCAGTTAATTGAAAAAATGTATACAAATCCTAAACGTATATTTAATTTGCCAGACCAGGGTGATGATACATTCATTGAAGTTGATATGGAAAGACGATCGACAGTTGATGATAAATCATTATTTACCAAAGCTGCTTGGACACCATTTATTGGTATGATGCTAAGAGGTTCTGTTCATCGTGTTGTACTGCGTGGTGAAGTTGTTTTCGTTGATGGGCAAGTACTAGCTGAGCAAGGTACAGGAAGAAATATAGTACAATTACGTGGTGAATCCAATCATGCTAAGAAAATCAAAGCGACACAAAATTTAGTATTGGAGAAAAAATATTCACCTCATGAAATAGAACGAAAACGACAACGATGTAAATAATTGAAAACTTTCCTTTTTTAATTATAGAAGTCGTTTTTGTTTATTTATTTATTTGTAATAGATATTAGTGAACCAGGTGTATTGGATAAACCAGAAGTTATACCAAAGATCGCAGCCAGTCTAGCAAAACATCATATACTCAGTTCTTTACAATTGAACCGTGTACAAGTATGTATCTTGCTAGTCGAAAAATATGATTGACTATAGAATTAATTTTAGTGCCGTGAAATTTTTACATTGGCACATTTTTATCGTAATGCACACTTGCATCATCGTCCAATTGAACCCATATTAGCTGTAATTTTATTCGATTGATATTGAATACATTTTATTAAATTGAAATTATTCATTTCTAGGGTAAAATCTTATCACATATGTTTTTTGAACCTTCAACACGCACGCAATGTTCATTTACTGCTGCAATGTTACGTCTTGGTGGTTCCGTTATTCCATTTGATAGTCAATTATCATCAATTAAAAAAGGAGAATCACTTGAAGGTTAAATTATTTTATTCAACAAGTGTTCGATTTTATTTTTGATCTGTTTCTTTTTAGATTCAGTTAGAATGTTAATGAGTTATTCTGACGCTATTGTTATTCGCCATCCTGAAGTAGGTGTTGTACAACGAGTAGCTGATATATCGCGTGTGCCAGTAATCAATGCCGGCGATGGTATTGGTGAACATCCAACACAAGCACTTCTTGATGTATTTACAATTCGAGAAGAAATTGGAACATTCAATGGTTTAACTGTAAGTTATTTTTGTTGGATTTTTTAATTTAAAAAACAAAAAACTTTTTATTTGAAAATAAAATAGATTACAATGGTGGGTGATTTAAAACATGGTCGAACAGTTCATTCACTAGCAAAATTACTAACGATCTATAGTGATAGTATGTCAAATTTAATCATTTTACTTCTTCTTTTTTTCTTGATATTAATGCACAAATATTTGTTTCTGTTTTTTACAGAATCAATTACACTAAACTATGTTTCTCCACCTTCATTGGCTATGCCTCAAGATGTCATGAGTTGTGTTTCAGCAGCAGGCATTCCGCAAGTATGATTATTATGAAAGCAAAAGAATTAACGGAACGCTAAGATTCCTAATGAGAATAGCACCGAAGTTTGTTGCATTCATTCTCATAAAAAAATCTTATTTCTATGAATAGTGATCGCACTTCAGAGTACTTAGCGAGATGAGATTGTTTAATGAAAGTAAAAAATGTTGAAAAATGAATGATTTGTCATTTCTTTGCTGAATGGTTACAATTAGAAAAACTCTAAAAAAAAATGTGTATCGCTGAAAATGTCAACCATGAAAGAAAGTACTTGTCATTTTATCATTAGCAGGCTTTATTGACCTAAGATCGGAACAGTTTTGAAAAATAAATTTATCTAATATAGAAAATGTCTTTAAAAAACAAAAGCATGACCCCTTCGAGCTGTTTATGACATATTTGTAGCGGACTGTATTCGCTCGATGAAAGTCGTTAAAGTTTATATAATTTTTCATTAAAGAAACGGAAAATAATCCTTTTATCCTATTACACCATGATTATTATTTGCCGAAGGTAGATCGTAGAACAGAGCCCTGAAACGTTCCATTTCATTAGGAAATATGCTCTTCTCAATGAGATTAGCTGGTTGTCACAGTATATTTTCGATTATCTTTCTTCCCATCACTATCGATAAAAATCTATCATGTATTTCTCATGAAGCTTAACATTTCATTTTAGTTGTGTTAAATGATAATAATAAGATTCTATATGAATTGAATGAAATGAGTTTGAGTCTTATTCAGAACTCATGTAACTCAGAATAAAGTGAATATTTCTTTTTCTTTTTTTTAGAAATCATATACAAGTCTTGATGAAATATTACCGGACACAGATGTTCTCTATATGACTCGAATTCAAAAAGAACGATTTACTTCTGAAACAGAATACAAAAAGGTTTTCTTTAATTTCGAATGCTTGAAAAAGAATAATTCATTCATTTTTTTTATTCTAGGTTTGTGATCTTTATAAAATAACACCAAAATTTATGCGTAAAGCTAAGAAACATGGGAAAATGATTGTTATGCATCCATTACCTCGTCTTGATGAAATCAGTACTGCATTTGATATTGATCCTCGAGCTGCCTATTTTCGCCAAGCTGAAAATGGTCTCTACATTCGTATGGCTATACTCACAATTTTACTTTCAAAGTGATGCTCAGACTTGATGCTGATATTTTTCTTTTTATCTATTTACTCCAGCAGTTTTTGTTGTTGTTAGCTATTTCAGATTATCTGCTGTTATTGTTGTTTGTTATTCGTTGGTTTTAGTTTCAGGAAAGTCAGATTATCATGAATGCGGCATTTTTAATTGTTGTTTTTGTTAAAACATATGAGCAAAGAGTATGTTAAAGATAAATTGGAATGATTTTCAGATAATGTCTAAAGCACTTCGATTCGCACCGACTGTAAAAGAATTACGCTTACATTTATGTCAAAAATCAACAACTAGTGCTGGTGTACGTCAATTTATTGAAAAATTTTATGTTAATTTAAAACAACAAAACCCAGCAACGCCAATACTCATTCGAGAATGTTCAAATGTGAATCCAACATTATGGACACGATATGAATATGGAATTGAAAAACAAATACCATTAACGGGCATGAATGCTGAACAAGTTTTCAACGCGGTTGAAAATTTAACGACCAAAACGATTCCAAATACTGCAAATCGTTTGCCTAAATAGACATTTGTACTTTTGCATTTCTTTTCTTTTTTTCATTTCGACTAACCATATTACGTAGGTTTATTTCTTTTTTTTTTCCTCAAAGAAAACTCTATATCCAAAATTAATGTCTGTTTAACCTATTCATAATTGTAGATCATTTTACGTTTAGAAGAAAAAACATGGATGAACTTAAAAAAGATAGTCGTTTTGCTCATATTACAAAAGACCCACGTTTTCGACCCGTAGCAAAAAATGAGACAAAATTAAAGATTGATCGACGCTTTGCATCGATGTTTAGTGATCCAAAGTTTAAATTAAAATATACAGTTGATAAACGTGGAAGACCTCTTGTTAAAGAACATACAACACGTGATGATATGAATAAATTCTATCATCTGGATGAGGATGAAAGCAGTTCGACGTCATCCGATGAAGAGGAAGAAGAAGAAAAGCCAAGAAAAAATAAAAAATCCACAGATGATGAACAACTTGATGAGCTACTCGAAAGTGATGATAGTGATGATGAAGAAAAAGAAGACAATGATAATGATGAAGAAGACGATCAAAAGTCAAGTTCATCAGAAGAAGATGAAGAAATACCTGAAGTTGCTGATGGTATCGAATGGAATGAATTTGATGATAAATGCACACGGTAATTATTTATTAGAAAATTGATATTTATGAAATAGATCTATTAAAATGTCGTCAATATAGACTGCTTGGATCAATTTTTCGTTATAGTTCGAAATAACTTTTAGATATAGATTTGAAAAAATATTTTTGAGATATTTGAACGCGCGTCTTCTCGTAACACTATGAAATATTCGATTTAAAAAAAAATTCAGAGAAGATTAACACAAATATCTTATCATCGTCAAGCCCTAGTAGTTTTAATTCTTATTCAAATTATGAATAATTCTCTGGCGTAATTGTATGATGAGGAAAATTCATATAGAGGCTGGATAGTTTTGATTGATTTCAATTATTATGGTTTACTCTGGCTTTTTTAAACCGATTTTTCACAAAGACTTTGACAAACTCTGTCTAACTGTGAGAAAAGCAAATGTTGCACAGATTTAAAATTGCAAATATTTCAACATATAAACAAAAGAAATGAATAATTGATTATTCTCTTGTTTAGTTCTGATGAAATCAGTCATCGATTGGCAATATGCAATATGGACTGGGATCGTGTACGTGCTATTGATATATTTACCTTACTGAACTCATGGAAACCACCAGAGGGTGTGATTAAGTCAGTTACTATCTATCCATCTGAATATGGATTAAAACAAATGGAAGTCGAAAAGAAATTTGGTCCACTGCCTGGAACTGCAAAGCCTGTTATTACTACAGACAAGTAAGATTTCTTTAGCAACTCTGAACTATACCTTACGTTATGTTTTGCTTTTGTTGGGTATTCTAGAAATGGTACTGATAGTGGTCATCAAAGTGAAGCTGAAGAAGAACCTGATGAACCTGAATTAAAATCTGATGATGATGATGATGAAGAACCAAATTATAATCAAGATGACGATCAAGATACAACTGATCCTGTTCTACGTGAACGTTTACGAAAATATCAATTAAATCGTCTAAAGTATTACTATGCTGTTGCCGAATGTGACAGTGTAGCAACGGCAAGTCGTATATATGAAGAATGTGATGGACTTGAATATGAAACGAGTGCTGTTCGTCTTGATTTACGTTTTATACCTGATTCAGTTATATTTGATTCTTCGATCCCAGTGCAAGATCAATGTACTCAATTACCAGATAAATCAGTGTATAAGCCAATACTTTTTCGTAATACAGCATTGACACAGACAAAAGTTCGTTGTACATGGGATGAAACACCCATCGAACGACGTCGATTAACCAAGAAGAAATATACACTTGAAGAATTGGAACAAGTTAATTTAGATACTTATTTAGCATCAGAATCCGATGACGAGCTCGAAGACAATGATGATAATGACGTTAATGAAGGAAGTGACGATGAAAATAAAAACGACAATGGTGTTTTTAAAGTACCAAATGTTCCAGACAATTCAAATAAACAGAAACAAAATAAACCCGTTATTCGCGCACCTAGTGTTCTTAGTACTCAAGATGATATTGATCGTTATAGGTAATCGATCAAGAAAAATTCAAAAATATTGATTCTTTTTAATCTTATTATATTTTAGAGCTTTACTTTTGGATTTTGATGATAATCCTAAAGCAGGCAAACAGTCCAAGAAAAAAGTAACAAATTTCTTCGATGAACAAAATAGTGATGATGAAGATTTCAATCAACGTAATGGCAGTAAAGATGATGATGATGACGACGACGACGACAGTGATATTGATATGGAAATAACATGGCAACCAGGTTTAAAAGGTAAAATAGACGAAAAATTCAATAAAAAAGATCATATAAACGTGAACAAGAAGAATAAAAAGCCAAACAAATTAAATCTTGTCAAAGATCAACTAGAGCAAGAGGAAATAGCAGATTCAACTGAAAATGATCGTGAAACACTTGAATTACTTACTTTTGATGATGATATTGACGATAAACGTGATTATAATCTTCGTGATATGATCAAATCACATAAGCAAACATTAAAAGCTGCTAAGAAATCAAAAAAATCACAAAAAAATGCATCCAATGTTGTCGAAACAAAAACAAACAATGATAATTTTACATTGAATCTTGATGATAGACGTTTTCAAGCTGTTTATTCACAACCGGCATTTAATATTGATCAAACCGATCCTCATTTTAAATCAACACTCGGTACACAGCAGCTTATTGACGAAAAATTAAAGAAGAGAAAATTCAATAGTATAACTTCATCGTCAAGGACTGAACTTGATGATGATGATATTGTTGTTAAATTAAAAAGAAAATCAGCAAAAAAAGATTAAATAAAATAAAATAATTGTTTTTGATGCTGTTAGGAATCATGTTTTATTCCTGATCGGTCAACAAGAAAAAATAATATATCTACGTGACTAGCAGTTACAGAATAAAAACTTTCTTTGCCAATCTGAACACGAACAAGACAAAAGCACATTATTCTATCATAGATAACGAAATATTACTGATCGAAATTTCATGAAACATAAACTTTGACAGTTTATGAATACGATATTTCGGTTGGTAGAAATTCTGTATTTACATGAAGTTTTGTTGTGGAAGAAATGCACTTTTCTGGGAAAATATATGAGGAACATAATTAAATACTGTGGTACATCAAATCCTAGGGAGAAAATAAAAATCATCATAATCGAATTTATTTCAAATTTCTATTGCTGGACCTATCCATGATATGAATATAATGGTAACTTTCATCCAATGAAACAGATATGAATACAAACTTCATAGATTATCACGTAATAGTCAGATGAAAAGCAACTATGTTAGTTATTATATAAACAATCTGTGAAACTCGATGTATGCACTAATTTTTTCTTTAATCGAACCCACATTAGACTGGCAAATGCACTGGAACTATCGAAAACGAAATGTTCTCTATGTTATCAATTATTATTTAATTAAGGAATTTTTCTTCTGATTTATATATATATATATATACATTTAAAGATCTATTTCACCGACTAGTCACAGTGCTCATGTCAATAATCTACACAAGGATCTTTATTTTTTAGCAGGAATCTTAATCATGTGTATTTGATTCTAGTGATTATCACCGTGAGCATTTATAGTAAAGAAAATACTTAAATCATCATTCGATTTTACATATATATTTGCCTTGTAATGTTTTGTTGTTTCAACAATAAGGTTAAAAAAATAACAATGAATTTATGAATGGAATTTTTCTCAATTCTTGTTACATATATTCATAAATATCTTCCTAGAGTTGTTGTGTTAGTCCTGTTCTTTTTCAAACAAGAAAAGAGATAAAAATTTGATGAAGCAACAAAAAGAAAGAGGAGCTGGTTCATGATTGAATAATAACATATTTTGTCAGAATGGTGAAAACAAACATTGGAAAATAAAAGCACGAAAAAAAGCCGCACTAAGAAAGTTTTTTCGTTTTACTAAAGAGAGTATCAACTACTTTAGACATATTTTGAATAATGACCAAAGCATCTTGATATTGTGTATCGGATGCTGTTTCATCAAAAATAACGATATTGGCTGAACCTTGATCAAGAATGCCAATTAATTTTTTATCTAAAATCATTTGAGAGAGTTTTTTCTCGACAACATCCTGTGCGAAAGAAGAAAGATGATAAATATTTTATTGAATTCAATGACATACTTGAGGTAGATTAATCAAATGTGCAATATGTTCGATTTGAACATTAGAAAATGGTTCAAGTAAACGACAAAGATTTTGTTCAAGTAAATTATCATATAATGTACCTAAATGTGAGTGAACCATTGGATCACCAGATAGTTCAGTTTTATAATCTTGTAATGCCTAAAAGATCAATCATGAATTTCAAAGTTTTTTTTCTTTCTCGTTAATTCAATCAAACCTGTTGAAAATCAGCTAATGATCGTTTTTTACTTGCTTGTGCAACGGCTTTCATAGCCTCAACATCTCGACCACTATACTTAAGTGCTAATTTAACTGACATAAGTGCATTAACATCATCCGGTCTAAAGATCATTACAAACAATAGTAGCGAATAAAACTATTTAGTTTTTTTTTTAACAACATACGCATTCATCATCACTTTTGATAATAACATATATTTGAGTGCAACAATACCCTTGTTACTATTGATTTGATCATAACCTTCAAATGCTTCATAAAAATAGGAAAATGCTGTTTTAAAATCTTTATCTTCGGCAGCATGTAAAATTCCTTTGATAATCAAAATAAAAAAAGAAATTCTTCTTTTGTAAAAAAATTCAAGTCTACGTAAGAAAATCTTTACCAGATTGTAAATCAAGACTTGCTTGAAGTTTTGGTGGTGTATAAATTCCATTTGCTGTTGTTCTTGCCGATGTCAATGCAGCTCTATCAAGTAAGAAAAAATAGAGAACAATTTCAATTTGAGTATTTGTAGTTTGTAATTAAATTACCTTGCTTTTTGTAAATTACCTAAAGCAAAATATGTTTTACTTTCCAGTAGTTGAACTTCAACAAGTAATTGTTTATCATCAAGTTTTTTTAATTCTTTAAGTAATTGTGAACCAAGTATAAGTGCTTCATTGTATCGTTGTGTATCATAATATAGAGCAACAAGACGTGCCTGAATAACAGTAACCACAACAAAATCATTACTATTATTATTGAATATGATAGGAATGTTTTTATTTTTACTTCAAGTTCTTGTCGAAGAAATGTTCGATTTTCATTTTTAGCCCATTCAATATTATCTTGACATAATGAAACCTAAATAAAAAATATATGTGTAAAAATTTATTTTGAAATGCCGATAATAATTCTTTCGGCAATTTATTTTCATGAAAGAAATAAGTACGTGGTTCTTAATTTTACAGTTACGAAGTTTCGATTTCAATCAAGTTTTTATCAGGCAATAGAACGATTTATTTAATAGATAGCAGATGTCTAGTATGTTACACCGTATGTTTTCTGCTCTGATAGTAGAACTGAAAGCAAGACGACAACTCATATATCATACTTCTTTCAATCTTCCATCAGAAAAGAAAACATGCGACGTCATCTAATAGCCATCTGCTGTTCATTATAGACAATTAGCTGGTGTCTGAGCAAGGTCTAATCGAAATGGAAACTTTACATCGATCAATTAAGCAAAAAGAAAGAAAAGGAAGATTATTAAATGAACATGACAGAACTACCACATTGATATTAATTGTATGAGACATAAATCTATTAATAGTTAGTTGTTATATTCGGATTCGAGAATTTATCAACATGAAATCACTAGTAAGCTTAGAGTATTATTACTCTATAATATTATTCTGTCAATATTTTTTTAGTTGATTGTTTACGTCTATATCAAGGAATCGTATTTATGAAAAACGAAATGTCTAGATGATTGAGTTGATGAATGTAGTCTTATTTATTTATGATCTTTACCAGAAAATATTACAAAAATATGATTGAATTTCTAAATCTACGATTAAATTCATTCCTCTTAGTTTCATAGACTGTTTTTTCTTCGAGTCATGCTTGCGTCCACTGAATTTAAAACAAACTGTAGAGTAGTATATTCAATTCACTATAAGAAGAAAAAAAAATTGCAGCGATTAATTCGGGACTCATAAATCGGTTAGCTATCTTTGCCTATGTTTATAATTGATATATACTAATAAAAATAAATTAAATTATCGATAAACAAATTTTTGTTTTTCTATTTTTATATGCACTGCCGATGGGTTTCGTAGGCTATATACTCGACGAAAACATGAGTGGGGCGTATTCTGCTTTTTCTTCTTCTTGTTATAACATCAGAAAAAAATATGATTTCAACATTAACTAGATTCTAGAAATAAAAATAAAAGAATATTTTATTTACTTCTTCACCAGTACCAGCTTCCATATCGAGAAATAGATCAACAAGAGTTCGCACAAGTTTAGCTGCTTTAGCTCTGCTAACAAGGCCCAGAAATGGACGTGTTGTTTTAATTAGAGATGCTAATGCTAAAAAGACAAAATTCATCTTCTTGTTTTTGTTTTTTAATTGAAAGAATAATTCTATATTAATACCTTTTGCATCTTTAATTTCCTTATAAAGTTTTCCAAGAGCAAGTAAAGCTGATTCTTTAATTCTTACTGAATCTTCATTGTCAACAACAACTTGAAGTTTAACTATTAATATAAAATATTATTTATTTTTTATAATTTTTCAATATTAAAATTTACCTAATTTTTCCAGTATTTCTTGTGCCGATTTATAATTTTTTTCAACTAAAGCTGCTTCAGCTTCTTCTAACTCAATTTGTTCAGGTAATTTTGGCTTTTCATCTGCCATCGGTTGTACACTATCAGTAGTTGTTAATTCCGGCATTGAATTTTCTTTTTAAAATCTACAAATCTAAAATTAGATCATTCTTTTTTGTATTCATCTACTAGTAAAATTTATGTATTTATTTTGCTTTAAAATATACCGGTCAACTATGAAGAAATACATACATCTAGATCAAAATTAAAAAAGAGAAAAGAAAATAATTTAGAGATAGAATGGCATGTCATTCGTTGATAACCAATAATGCTGACGAAGAATATCATTTATGATAAAACGATTTTTCTTTAAACAATTTTCCGCATATAAATGTGCTCGAAAAACAGTTTGAAGTTCATCAATGCGTGGACATGTTTCGGATGTTATCGATTGACTGCGAAGAATTAATTCTAATAAGGATAAATAAGCTGTTGTTGACTGAAAAATACAAAAATTGAATTATAAAAAGAAAAATATTTGTTAAAAAAAGGAAGATTTTACTTCATCCGTTGTTGCACGATCAGATAATTCTCTACTTATTATTTCCACAATTAAACGTCGATCTGAATCATATAGAACTGCATCACTTGTTGCTGCTTGATCAGCAAATAAATCGGAAAAAAATTTCATTATCGAATTTGTTGTTTTACATTCAATAGGATCAACTATTTAGTATAAAATATCAAAAAAAAAAAAATAGAATATTTAAAAACATTTCAATTGTTTTCACTTACCACTTCGATTAAATAATAAAATTAATCTTTCAATTAATTCTCTACATGATAACTGTTCATTAACAGCCAATAATGTCAGCATTAATGGATTTTCATGAGGAGAATCGAAACGTAAATTAAATGACAAAATAAACTTTATTGCTGTTAGTATCAATTCATCATTTTCACCATTATTTTCAATTAGATCAAATATACTTTTTAAAAATACACAATTCGATAATTGACCTAAATAGAAAATTCTATAAATATACTGAGCAAAATGTTTATTTACCATAACTATGCACCGGAAACAATTCATTAGTTAAAAGTAAATCTGTAAGTAGACGAAGTGCGAAGATCACTGTTGACTTAACATTGTCACCTAAAATCATTTAAATAAGATATTTTTCTAATTCTGTTTCTTTTTGTTTCAGTCACATAAGCATTGCGTGATAAAATTACTATTCAAACTTGAATTAAAAAGTTTCTAAATAACTTCGAATTTCGTTTGAATAGTAAAATAAACATTAAGTAAAAGCAACTACATACACATGCGCTATATTTAAACACCTGTTGCACAAATACTATTAATACTTGTTTGAATAATTCGAATACAATTCGATACTATTGGATGATCGATTACATTTGTGAGACAAAATTTTCGATTTATTTCACATAGTAGATGAACTATGTCACATAGAACTCCATGAATCGTATTGCCAACATTCTAATAAAATAAGATAAATCGTTTCTTTGAATAGATAAATAAAATAACTAACCATTCCAGTTAAATTCATAAGATCAATTAAATGCAATTGAATATCTTTTCGATCAATTAATTTCGAAAGCAAATTACAATTGAGATTAACATGAGATTGCTAGAATATAAAAATTAATAAATAGTGTTTTTCTCTGTATTAAGAAATGATAATTGAATGATTATAGTCTATGGCAATAGTATGAGATTTTGTTCATGTTACAGACCTATTAGCCTCGAGCTATACTCATTCCACAAAAATATACGTTAAAAGCTTATTCTTTTGAAAATTCGTTAAACAATAAGAAGAACTTTCGATTATTATTTTCTATCGCATGTGCTGTATGAGTATAACAAATCTATGTATGACCTTGATCCATCAAAAATCAATTGTTCGTCTATTGGGACGGAAATTCTGTGTTCAATAATTTTCCGGAAATAGCCATGATTAAAGTTATAGAATCCAAATCAGACATTCATTATAGAAAGGAAAATTTACTGTCTGGTTTTCTTATCAAATTTTTTACTAATGAATTATATTTGTTTTTCTTACTAATAATTCTTGTAATTGACGGATACTTTCTAAAAGTGTATTAGCATCACGTCCTAATGTATAATTTCGTTCTTCAGCGTCATTTGAACATGTACTAATTGTTTCTATTAATTGTCGAAAACGACGTAAATCTGGATGATCAATACTTTGATCGAAACGCTAAAAATACAACATACAAAATCAATTTATTGATTTCAAAAATGTTTATTATTGCCAAATTACTTGTACAGATTTTTCTAGATCATTCCATTCGTGATCATGAATATTTGCTTCAGATAAATAAGAAAAGAGTTTGGAAGATAACTGCGAACAGGTAACATAACTTGAATGTGTGGTTGAATGTATCAATGAAATAATGTCACTAGCGATTTCATCTGAACGTTCTGTTGAATTATTATAATCATCATTATTTGTAATTATTGAATCGTTCATTATACGAATTTCAATAGATATGATCAAGAGAAAAACATATGAATAACGCCCGATGAAGTCTCTATAAACTTGTCGCCAAGAATGTTTTTTTTTGTCAGATAACAACTGTAGCGTTATAAAAAAGAAAAATGGTGTCTTTGCATAACATAGAATTTGATTGGCACAAAAAATTGATCAATCATAGTCTTTGTCTTTCTATATTTGCTTGCTAGCTAAATTGGTTTCTTGCTTGCGTATGTGATCGTTTGTTTATTTAGTCAGTCTGTCTGTCGGTCTGTCAGTCAACATTTATTCCTTCGATCAGTCGGTGATAAAGCAAAACCTTTGTATTTCGTACTCTTGTTTTCATTAAAACAAAATGGTTGTTCGTGATCGTAAGTATTGATTGGTAAAATATACAATATATGATTATTTCTTTTTGTCATTATAGATGATGTCAGTCGTTTTGCTGATCGAAGTCGAGAACTTTGGTCTGAACAAACATTGTCTGACGGCAATTATAAAGAGAAAAGTGCGTTGATGAAATTTCAATTTGTCTTTTGTAAACTTTCTATTGTATAGATTGTCTCGGTTGTTGTGAAAATTGTCCATTTCCATCATTCTTCGCATTTTTGTTAACATTAATTGGTACGGCGCTTTGTTGTGCATGTTTATTTGATCCACTACAAAAAACAATTCGACGAGTCAATGATACATTTGGAATTGAATATATTGATCCTGATTGGTAGAATATAGAATAATTGTAACAATTCAAATATTTGCTTTTTTTAAATTTTTTTATAGGATTCGCATTCTACGTTTAGCTGCTATCTTCGTTTTAGCAATAATGGGTGGATTTTCATTGATTTTACTTATTGTCGGATCATTGGCTACAGGTGCTACACGTCATCAAGTGTATACAGGATTTCGTTCTCGTCTTGGAGGACGTATCGCAACTGGTTTTGTAAGTTTCTATGAAAATCATAACCTTGATAAGTAACAAACATACAATCATATCAATCTATTTTAGTTTTCAATGATTGTTTATGGTTTATTACTCATTTGGTTATTTGCTATGCTAACATTAGTTATACCTTGTATGAGTGTATATATTCTTAAATCTCGTTGTGATGAAGCATTTCCGAAATGGATTGCATCTGTTGAACAAACTAGCTCGCCAATAGTATCTTGTCTTACACCAGGAAGTTATGGAATTCCTGTACCAAAACAAAAACCTGATGTAAAAATTTGTCAAGATCGATTCAAAGATTTGTGTACACTGGTAAAATAAGTTTTTTGCTTCCTGAAAAAAATAACTCAATGAGGAGCAATCAATACTTTATTTTAGACTAATCATGCATACCAATATATAGGAGCTTTAGTTGGTTCATTTCTGGTTGTTATGGGTTTGGTAAGAATGACTAATATCATTATTTTTTATTAACTCTGTTTTTAACTAAATATTATTGTAGATTCATTTTCTTTGTTCTCTTGTGGCCAATTATGCACATATAAAAGATGGCCGAAAATTGTGCGATTACGAAGAAGCCATTCGTGAAGAAATTGAAACATCAAAGCTCAATCATGGCTAGACAATATTATTTGATGGATAAGATTTCTTTTCGTTTTCTTTCTTTATACGTACTATAGTGTGTGGGTAGAGAATCAAAATTTTCCTCGATATTTGTTTCTTTTTTTGTTTTTTTACATTTAATTCTTATTCAAATGAGCAGATCTATATGAGTCGAATCTTTCAACGAATGATAATAAGTCAGATGTACGAGTCCAAGTTTTTTTCTCGCAAAATTGAGTGCAATAGACATGTGCGCGTTTATATAATCATACTGATTCTCAGGTTTTTGTTTTTGTTTGCTGGCTTCAAGCTCTCTTTCGTTTTTTGTTTTACAGAACAAGTGCCTTTTTCACTTGACTTGTAAATGCAGATAATCTTGCTTCTCTTTATACTGTTCGTTTACCCTATCAAAAATGAATGAATAAACTCACGGTTTACTTTTCGAAATATAATCTTACTGATATAAAAAATTATATTGTCGCTGTATATATTTCTATAGTCTACATATTGTAGATTTAAATTTTGAATTAGTATTTTGATTAATTCAATTAAACTATTCGCATGTTTGAAGCGGTTATAGCTGCACTACTAAAAGGTTATGTTGCTCGTTACGTTGATATAAATGCTGATCAATTATCAGTTCAATTACTGTATGGTCGACCGATTGTTGTGGAAAATTTAACATTCAATAAAACAACACTCAATAATGATATTCGAAAAAAATTAAAACTACCAATCGAAATCGAATCTTTACATGTGGGGAAAATTCAATGTTCATTTTTATGGAGTTCATTATTTTTTCGTTCATCATCACCAGCATTAACAATTCTAATAGAACATGTTCGTGCCATAATAAAACCAGTTATTCTTGATGATAACGAAGATCCACAAGAAGAGTTTACCGAAGAAAATGAAATAGTTAAAAAACGAAATCATCTAGATTTATCTGAACAACAATTAGAAAAAGAATTTGAATATCTCGGAGAAGTTAAATCATCATCATGGAGTATAAGACGTCTAGTACTATCATTTTTAGAGAAACTTCAAGTACAAATCATTGATCTGCATATTAGCTACGAAAGTTTTACATCCGATAATATTCCGTATACAGTTGGATTATCATTTGATAATATTCAAATATCAAATGAATTATCAAATGAAAATATGAATAGGAAAACATTTCAAGTACATAATCTTGCACTTTATATTGATTCAAATACGAGTAGAAGCGATGATTCATCAGCACATTCCTATATTCTTTTACCATCAAATTCAATAACAATATATTTAACACATAATTATATACGTTCAGCATTAATTAATCGACAACAACCACGTTATGAACTTGAATGGACATTTAATGATTTAAGTTTAAAATCGAGTGTTGATCAAATACGAATTCTATCGGATGTTATTCGTTTTATTCACTATTCGAATACACATAGAAAATTTATTAACGATCCCAGTAGACCAACTAAGAAAATATCGAAAACTTCTGTTAAACTATGGTGGCGTTATATAACTTTAGTTATTATACGAACACAAAATTATTTAAAAGTGCCTATATCAAATGATCAAACACATACAACAACAAATTTTTGGTTTAATTCAGTTTTATTAAATAAACGCTTGAAACAAATAGTAATATATAAACGTTTATATCGGTTATATCTTGATAATAAATATTTAAAACGTTCAACAATTAGTAATTTTACTCCCGCCGATCGTTTAATTTTGAATGATATTGAAATGGATTTTGATCTTGATTGTTTAACCAGAATTCGTCGAGTTATTTTTCGTACGCGTGCTAATGAACAACTTTCATTGGCTAATAATAATAAACAACAGTCAACAAATATGGAATCAGCAAGTTCATGGTATATGAGTTATGCGAACTGGATTAGTTCAAAAACAGTGGATTTATGGAAAACAACAACACCCACAGATGCCAATCAAGCAACTGCAATATCGACAACACCGATCATATCTTTAAATGAGAATGATGAAAAATTACAAGAACAAGTTAATACATTCATAGCACAATCATTAGAAGATCAAGATTTAGCACAAAATCGTCGAGATGCTTTATATTTACGCTTGAAATTCCTAGTCAAATCAGTACAAATAGATTTATTATCTGACAGTGATATAATGTTTCATTTTTCATTGGATAACGTTTCAGTATTAATAGAATTACGACCAAGACATCAATCGTTACTTTTCTATTTACGATTAGATGATTTAAATATATGTGATCGTTTTCGAACAGATGCTTTTTCGAATATTGTTTGTCCAAAACAACGACCACACGAGTAAGTTAATAATCATCAATAGCAACTTTTTCAATAAGATTTTTTGTCTCCCGTCGATCCTAATAACAGTTATAGTAGGTATAGTTTCAACGAGAGTAATGAAACATACTCATTGAATCTTGAACTCTTAATATTTAATACTTTCAAAAACATCTCTAAGTTCATCTAGGTTTTTCCGAATACAATTACAATATCATATTTGTGATATAAGAATTTTAAAATCGTACGCGAGTTATTATTCTTTTTGACGTCTGATAAATTATCTACTCTACTGTAATTGGTATAGAAATCAGTACTAGTATATTTAAAACTTGAAAAAAAGAAGATAAATAATTTTAATAATGTTATAATACCTATTCGCGGTATAGGTGATTCACTGTCAAACAGATCGTATCGTTTACATTCATCTTGAATATGTTTCCAAAGATATCAAGATAGAATAGATTTGCTCGATTTTCTTTCTATTAAAATACAAATAATCATGATATGAACGTTTTAGTTTTCCAAAATATTTAAAAAAAGATTCATATTTTTTAATTTATAATTCCATTTAATTTAGAGCATCGCTTGGTTCACAACGTGCTCCCGTGATTGAAGTTTCCTATGAAACCAATCCTCGATCACAAAAACCAAAAGAAAAACGTCTTTCATTTTCTCTTGCTGTTCGTAGTCGTGGCCTTTGTTTTGTTTGTTGTCCAATATCTTTTGAACGTTTACGTGATTTTTTCGCCTCGGCGTTTATTGAACCCTCTTCAACTCCATTATCATCATCATCATCATCAATTTTTCAACATTGGACACACTTAAAAGATCGTACAGCAAAACAATTAAAGTCTGCATTTGAACAAATATTTTCTCAAACACCAACGAAAATGACGTCGTCAAATGTAAAAAATATTAAACAAGGTCAACGGCGCCATAAAAAGAAATTCGATATTTATCTTGATATTTGTGCACCACAAATGATTGTTCCTCAATCATCCGATCGTGCACTCATTATGGATTTTGGTTATTTAACTTTTATCAATGATGAATATAAAAAATCTTCATGTCCATTAAAAAATTGTAATATGCATACCAATGATTCGCTTGCTCCATTATCAATCAATACTTTTTTTCAACAACGTCCTTATTTTTTCAATGAACAGAATCCTTCGACACCAGTTGAAGATGATGATGAAGAATTTGTTACACCAGATAGCTCGCCAACAGCAACTGATAATCCTCTTGAATTAGAAACAACAAACTATCCAATTAATAACGTTCATCGAGAACAGAGTATATCGCCAACACATGCCGATGAAAATCTTATCTATACACCATTTTCATTATCACTATGCGATATGCAATTAGGTTATTTAACATATTCAAATAATCAATCGAAAAATAATTTATCATCGGTTATTGAAAAATTTGGTTTTTGCTTTTTAATTCAATATCGTACAATACAAACATTTGATTTTCTATGGCCACTAATAAAAGTATCTGGCACATTGCCAAAGATCATCATACATCTTGATCCATCTCGTATTGAAACTCTATGTGGCACAATAAATAATTGGGGTTCATTTATTGAAAATTTAACATCAACCATTGTCTCAAATAAATCCGATATAAAAAATAATCAAACCACAATTGATGATTTGACTCCACGTTTAGCATTGAGCTTTTCTATTAATGAAATAAGTGTACAATTAAGTGATGATTCACGTGCACTATCTGAAGTTCGAATACAAAATATTGATTTAACATTAATAAATCATGTTAATTCAAATATTTTATCATTTAGCGTTCACACATTAATGATTGTTGATGCAATACAAAATCATGGAAAAGATTATGAATTATTATTAACAAGTAATCGTGCGTTAGACATAAATACGCAAACTGGTACATTGTATGAATCACATACAATCTCATCAGATATCGAGAATGAATATTTAATACGTATTAATATTCAATCATTAAATGATGTCGCTAAAAATGAGAACTGTTTAAAAGTTGATATACATGTTAATAAATTACATTTTGTTTTTAATCCTGAAACATTATCAATATTAATAAATTTTATTGTTAATATTATTTATTCAATGAAAACAATTCTACGACAAAATTATAGTGAAGAAAACAAAGTGGCATCAATTGTGAAGAAGAATAATAGAACTAAATTTCAGATAAATAGTGAATTTCAAGAATTAAGTATATTATGTACGAATGTTTTGACGAAAAAATTATCGGACAATAGATTTATTGGAAGTAAACTAGAGAAAATCGCTGCAGCAACTATTAAACAAGCATCATTGAATATTTTTATTGAGCCATCAACAATGATCGAAGCAGAAATATGTTCATTGCAAATATTTAATCTTCTACCTGATTCATTATCATTAACTTACACGGAAGAGTCAAGTGCGATTGTCAATCTTGGTATCGATGACAAAAGTATCGATCATAATGAAGCTTTGCCAAGTAAAGCATTTCATCTTTTATATAGGCAACAAAAAGATGCCAATAGTAATAATAAAATTGAAGATTTACTCATTGAAATGGCATCAGTTTGTTATACACATTCACCCAAAATTCTTTATAAGATTGAAAAAATTTTTGATTATATGGCTGAACATTGCCATTCGACTGCAGCAATCGAAATGGAAAAAATGAAAAAAAATGTAATCAAACAAGGATCTATGTTACTTAATCAATATGTGCTTTCAACAGAATCTGGTAAGATTTAAAATAAATATCAAACTTGAAATTGATCATAGAGTCTTCCGTTGTATTTTTTGCGTGCATCCATGACTTGATTATTTCTGTCATAGATATTTTTTCCTATGCAATTCACCTCTCTACGTTCTAAAATATGAAAAGCCGAAAATATCAGCACTGTAAAAGTATTTATAGGCGTAGACAACGCAGACAATATTTAACGATACTTTTTCTTGATCACACATGCTTGTTTTTTGCAAATATTTATTATCAAGACATCGTTTATTTATTCTGGCAAGAAAGTATAACTAGGATTATGAACTTTCTATGATATAAATATTTACACATAACTAATCAACTACAAAAACAGTTTGATGTACTATGTTTAAAGAAAATGAGCTAATTTCTTCAGAATATTTAATTGATGAAAACAATCAACTAGATAAATATAATTCTGCATTCTTATGCTAAGCACTGACTAATAATCCACTGATCTATAGACTAAAAAAAACAGCTGTCTAAAATGCATGAAATTATACCTACTAAAAGACTTTAAAAACGAAAATTAGCAGAGAACCCGAGTCCTACTACACCGAAAAATGTCAGTTTTCTTTGTTTCTGTCAAAACATATCATAATTAGAGAGCTCGCTAGTATCTCATTGTATCGAAATTTGTTTCTATTGTCAATTTATTCATTTGACGAATACTAGGATAATACAACTTCTGTAGAAAAACCTTTTCCCAAGTTCAAATTTTTGGCTGTAACAGAGCTCTAAATATCGATTTCGACGTTTTTGTTGTTAAATATATTCTTCTTCTTTTATTAAAACTCAAGATTTAATTCAGTAACAATGAATTTCTCTTTCTATTTTTAGTTCTGGAAACCGAAAAACCAGCACCTCAATTAAATTTAAATATCATTCTTGCTACTCCAATTCTTATCTTTCGACCTCAATCGAAACTAAACTTTACAAATAATCGGCTTGTTTTTCATCTTGGCGATATACATATTGAAAATTCAGAAAATCATGCATCGAACTATGAAATTAAAATCAATGATCTACATTTCTTTTCTATTGATCTTGAACACGAATTTCGTCATAATCAAGGAATAAATTTATTGAAAATGTATAAAAATCCTCATTTAACACTACCTATACTCGATAACTTATCAATACATCTTAATCTCAATTTAACTGATACGTCAACAACAATTGATTCAAAATTAGTTTCATCAGTTCAGATGTTTCTTGGTAAACAACAGATAACACTATTGCAAAATATAATTAGTTCATTAACGTATAATGAAAACGATGAAATGAATGAAATGGACGCATCAATTACAAATCTATCTGATGATGATTCACTATTATTATTCGATGAAGGAGAAAATGCATTCCCATTAAATGAAAAATCGTTGCAAACAAAATTTAAAACATTCGCAATACATTTTCAACTACCAGAATTAACTATTGTCTTTCTCGCTGATCTAAATTTAAAACCAACTAAAGTATGTGAAGCTGTATTTGGACAATTTCAAATGTCTATTGAACAGCAACATCGATTTTGTAAAAATATTTCACTGCGTCTTAATTCGCTTCATATTAATGATTATTTAATTAAATCTGATCAATGTCTTTTTTCAACACGTTGTCGAAAAACTTCAACATCAATTAGCTTTTCAACTGGTCACAGAATTTCATCGTCATTTCCTAGAGAAAACTATCAAATGCATCAAAGTTTTTCTTCGAATTCAGTACCAACATATATGGTTACGAATGAAAGTTCAACTTGGACATTAAAGTCATTATCATCATCGTCATCGGCAACTTCACTGACAGCAAATCCATTAGCGCCATCAGCATTTATTGATATAAATATTACAGTGATGGATAAAAGACATGAATTATTTGATGGATTTTGTATTAAAGCTGATGCGCAATTTGGAGAAGTTGATATTAAATTTATTATTTCAACATGGGTTATGTTATTTGATATTATTGGTTTGATTGGAGGAGGATCTGCGCCTGCATTGGCAGGTAATAAACGCTAAAATAACACTGCAATCATAGAAACTTTCTTAGTCTACATTTCTCTTTCCACGTGAACGTACCTGACGGTTTGAAATGAGGTTTTTGAACTAAGACATTCATAGAGCATTTGTGTAGCTTAGTGATAAATAGCTCTATCTATTCAATGGCAAAACTTAAGAATTATTTATTACAATGCGATTTTCTCTTTGAAACATAAAGACTTCAAAAGTTTTGAGACAGTCACACCCGATGAATACAATTTTGAATGAATTGTGAAGTCATTTCTTTAGTATTCACTTATATCGAGACTCAAATAATCAATAAGAATTTCGAGAAAAATAAAGTAAAACTTGTATCCTCTTCAGTAGTCTTCAATTCATACGTATTCGAATAATGATGAATTGTCTGAAGTACGTTTGTAACGTTTACTGATCTTGTTTGTTTAGACAATCGAGAAAGTAAAGAATTTAAACCAACATCCGACACGGATTTTATGCAGATAAATATTCAAGTCGACGCAGTATCATGTTTACTTCAAGATAATGATATACCTCCCATACGCATTTCTTTGCAACGTTTTGATTGTCAAATTCAAAATTTTCTTACAATCGAAAAAGCATTGAAAACTCTTAAGATTCATGGTAAACTTGGATCTGTATCCATCTATGATTTATCCTCATTTGGTCAATTGTATGCAGAACGTTTTTGTACAAGCGGTACCAATGCTCTTGTATTTGCATATACAAAACAAGAAGATCTTATTCCAATAACCCCATCAAATTTTCCATCGCGTTTACAACTTTATTTACGTATGACATCTGTGCAATATATTCATACTCAACGTTTTCTAATGGATCTTATACATTTTTTTGATCGTTTTCATCATGCTCAAGAATGTTATAATCGAATACGATCAGCTGCTGCCGGTCAAAGTATATCTTGTTCAGCAGGGCGATCAACTGGTGTTGAACTTGATATTGAAGCTGAAAGTCCTATACTTATTCTACCTGAATATGCTTTAAATAAACGTGTTATTATTCTTCATCTTGGTAATATAATAATAAAAAATCGTTTTCTTGTTGAAAACGAACCGGGCACATTAAGTTCAATTATGAATAAACCAAAAGTTTCAACATGTTTACTTGATGTTATATCCATACAATTTCAAGATACACTACTTTATTCAGCTGTTTATTCGAAATCAGATTCAAATACACAATTAACTGTAAAATTCTCAGATTTCGGTTTTCATACAATACAAAATGATCTGTCGTCGATGTTACGCGAACGTTGTTATTTAAATATTCATGTTGAACGTAATCTTGATAATTCACTAAGTCATGCATCACCAACATATAGTGTTAAAGCTGATTTATCTTCAGTAGATATACTTCTTGATACATATCAATATTCTCTCATACGTGGTATACTTGCATATAATATAGGTGAACCGTTAGAACAACCAACACGATTAGCTATGATGAACGATGATCCACTATGTGTATCAACAATTTTAACGGGCGATGTCTATCTTGATCTGTTATTTATTGTACAAATGGATAATGTCGGCTTTGAAATATTTACACCGCAGGAATCCAAGCGTAATTCGCTAGGCTATTGTGCATTTATAAAATCGTATTTTTCATTTGAAAAATGTTCAAATAATAATCAAGTACTTGATTTAACATGTTCATCAATTAAATTAAATGACACAAGAACGGAAAATAATAACAGCAATGAATTTCGTGATATACTGACATCATCATCATCGATGTCAACAAGTGAAAGTAATATGCAATTAGAAATACATTTATTAACAACAAAAACTGATGATAAATATACAATTGTATTAAATCATACAAGAGTATTATTCATTGTTGATTGGTTACTTAAATTAAATGATTTTCTTAGTTCATTTCAACAAATTCCAATGCAATCAAATTCATCAACATCATCGACATCGATGATAGTTCAAGCAAAAAAAAGATTTGAAATGCGTTTAAATTTTAATCAATCCGAACTAGTTCTTGTTCAAACAACCAATAATCAACAGTCGAATGCACTTGTTCTAAGTGGTATTATGACTTTAACCTACCGAGAAACAATGCGTCAACGTCCATTAGAGTGCAATCTATTTAATGTGACTTTATTTTCATGCCAAATGAATAATATACAATCTACAGCTGTATCAATTATTGAACCGATTAATATAACATTTAATATACATTTAACAGACGAAAAAGATCAACACGTATTTGAAGTTAATTTACCACAATTATTTATCCGTCTATCATATTCCGATGTTAAGCTAATGTTATATATGTTTCAATCAATAAAAAATCAAATCGATCAAGCGCAAACACGTGATATTATACCTAAATATCAAATAAATCAGCCAGTAAAACGTCCATCAGTAGATAGTGAATTTTCAATCGAACCTTCTTTCGACGATTCATATACTGATTTACGTATTCGTTCAACTACAATGCCATTAAATCAAGAAAAACCAATGTCTACAGAAGAAATCGATAATGAAAAACAATCAAAATTATTTTTAAATGTTCACTCAATGAAATTTTCATGTGAACAAATAAGTCTTTGTTTAATTGATGATTGTCTTAATGCAAATATTCCATTATTAAATTTAAATTTTGCATCAATTAAATTAAATATAATCGAATATGGAACACATCGTATACAACAAGCAGATTGTCAAGTAAATATTGATTATTATAATCGTTTGTTATCTGGTTATGAGCCGTTTATTGAAGTATGGCCGTTACAAATGACATTAAAAAATTCGACTACTACAAAATCATTGTCTATTTCTTCGAATCATCTATTAAATATAAATTATACAAATACGATGCATCAACTATTTGACTTAGTTAAAAATAATTGGCTTGAAGATTTCAATAGTTCAAATGATATTAATAAAGAAGCAATGTATTTTCGTCGACCAAAACCATTTGAACCTTATTGCTTTCAAAATCTTATTGGACAACGTGTTAAATTTCGTACATGGCTATCTTCACAACAACGTTTTGATTTAAATGATCATATGGTTGAATATAATGAAACAAAATCATTTATATTTCCCAGTGAAGCATTGACAGCAAAAAAGAATATGTATAATAAAGATTTTCAATCATCATCATCATCATCATCATCATCATCATCATCATCTTCAGATCGACGTTTATTAATATTAATTGAAGGCTGGGACTGGTTGCAACCTATATCAATTGATCGTGTGGGAACATTTTTTCGACTTGCTAAACCTACAGGTGATCGATTACAAAAAACTATGCTGGTTTTTATTGATGTTACAATGACAGATAGTTCAATGCGTTTAATAACAATTCGATCACCGATTGAAATACGCAATCAATTGTTAACACCAATTGATATTCGATTAAAATGTGGATCTGGTTCATTACATGATATACGTTTAGAACCGAATGAAACTCGTTCATTGCCATTACAATTCTGCCCAACATTAAGACAATTTCAAGTACGACCAGCCGATTTTACATTTAATTATTGTGGTGAACCTATTAATTGGATGGAAATTGCAAATGAAAAAAGACGAAGAAGGCAACAAGACCATGAAAGGTAGTCTAAAACCGCATGATAACAAGTGACAGATCGAGAATGGACCTCCTCCTCTTAAGCAGATCTTTGGCATAGCTAGTAGTGTGATTCTTGTTTAGATAGATTGTCTATTCGATGTTCTACAAATCTGTATCTTCTCTTTGAACATCACAATATATGTTATTGTTTAAACTGTGTGGACGATTTTATCAGTTCAAAACTAGGAGTACTTGTTCTAAATATGAAAGCTCAACGTATAGATAAATTTTGAAAACTTTAGTCATCTCTCGAGAGACAAAATATTCTTCTATTTCAATTTTCTTTATAATATGTTTAGTGATGAGAATAGTGCAGCAACGGAAACGGATTCATTACAACGTCATCGTGATATAAATTCAACAGATCGTCGATCGTTTTTCCGTACCTGTACAATGGTTGGAGATAATACGCTTCATTTTGTGTGTATACAATCAAAGCGAACCCGTCTATTAGCATATAAAGATGACATTCTATCATCCTATCAAATATCAATACTGCCACCATTAATAATTAATAATTTACTTCCATGTGATTTATTTTTTCAAATATATTCATACCCACAAAAAGTTCGACTTAATCCCTACAAATCACATCGTGAACATGCATTAGATATTTGTCAAGCGATTGATATTACTTTTGCAACAGATCTTTTTCGTATGACGAAACCATTACGTGTACCATCGATAAATGATTTAAATCTTATGAGATATCATCGTCAAAGTGTAGGCTTTTATGATAGCATTGATCGATTGTTATTAGTTGATGTTACTATTGTCTGTTCGATTCGGCATCGTCTTAAAATATCAGTTTCTGTACCATATGTTTTACTTAATAAGAGCGGTATGTTTTATTGTTGTAACACCGTCTTTTTTTTTCTTCACTTCACATTTTATACTAGGCATTCCATTAATTTTTAAACAAGAAGGTTCAGTAAATGAAGTCGCTGGTCAAAGTCACGAACATGAATTAGCTCGAAATCGTGAGCCACTGTTGTTTTCATTTAGTGATCAAGAAGCTTTTCATGCGTGCGTTATGAAAGTTGGTTCAGGTTTACATGAAAATGATGACGGCCGTCCTGTATGGTCACAGCGTTTTAGTTTAGGTAAAATCTATTTTTCTTTATTTCATCATTTAAAGCATGAACTAATTTGAACTTTTCTTTCATTTTCTAGAACATGGTTCAAGTTATCGTCAATTATATGTTCGTTCTCCGCATGGTTCACCGGATTGGATTTACTATATTGGCATTGATGTTCGTCAAGGCAAAGGACGTTTACGTCGAACTAATTTCATATTTCTTAGTACACGGTATATGATCAGTAATCAATGTTCATATGATTTATCCATTGCTCAACGGCACATTGTTCGAGCTATGTTACAAACTGGAGATCATAGTGATTTAGAACAAAATTGTTTACATGTATTACAACATTCTAATGTTGCTTATCATTGGCCGAGAAGTGATCTCGATCAATTGCTGTGTGTTCGCGTTATTAATAATCGTCAATATAAACATGTTTATTGGTCCGGTGGTATTCTTATTAATCGTGTTAATGCATTTCATATTAATTTAAGATATGACAATAATCAATGTTTAATATTAAGGTAAATTAAGATTGCATGGGATTTTCACCAACCAGTTAACATGGTTGTATAAACTACATGATAATTATAATAATTGTACATCAAGAAATTTTCTTTCTGTTTCTGGTAACATCTGTATTCTTTGGCGATCAGCCTATAAGAAGTTTGAGATGAATATCACACAACTCGTTAGCGCAGACGTACATGCGATATGATGTGCGTTTCGGTATGCTGAAGTATCTTCAGAATCAATCCATAAATTCATTAGAAAAATATTTAAAGTGCATAACTCTTAATAGTCATTCATGAATTTTAAAGTTGAATGATGATAATTTGATTTAGATTTTTGTGGTTGAAAATTTTACGCATGATATTTTCTGCTATATTTTAGAGTACAAGTAATTGAACGTGGCGGTACATTTTTTGTTGTTTTTATGGATTCAAATCAAATGCCAGCACCTCTTCGTGTTAAAAATCTATCGGATGTTCCTATACAATTTTATCAAAGTGATACACGTGAAGAATTGACGTACTTACGTGCATTTATTCAACCACATCAATCAATAGATTATGCATGGGATGAACCAACACTTCAGCAAACCATAACATGTTCTATTGTTGGTGGTACAAAAGAAACTTATGATTTAAAAAAACTTGGTCACGGAGAAAATTTATGTTATGAAAATCATATATGTTTAGCATTTGAGCAAACTTTTACGGAAGGAAACACAGCACAATATCAATCGAAACATTTATTACACAAGTCTAAATCTATGAATGATCGAAATACATTTCCTTTATTCAATCAACAACAACTTGTTATTGATTATATTGAAAATAAATTAGTACTTGCACAACGTGAAGAAAATAAACGTTCACAATTATGGCGTATGACAAGCAGTGGTCTATTGGTGCATACAGGTTCATCGTCACCACGCGATTGGAGTAATAAAAATGAAGTATGTGATGATATTCGAAGTTCATATGTCTTAGACATTGAAGAGACTCCTACGGCAAATTTAAAAAACGTTCATTCAATGACACGCTTTACACGTTTAACTGTTCGACGACATGATTATAAACGAACGTTGACACAAACATGGAGATTTCATGATGATGGTTATCTATGTATGGGAGAAACACAAATGTGTATACAAGTATTTGGTGAATTAAAAGAAAAAAGTGAAGTCGTACTTGGACCACGTCATTTCAATGAACACGGTATCATGCTGTCGCCATTACCCACAATGAATATTCGACCACATCGACGTTTACAAGGCTCAGGGCTCTTGTCTGTACGAACATATGCCGATGGACCAACACGTATACTTGAAATAGCAAATGTTAAAACAAATAATGCATTAAATACTCTTAAATCAGAAGCATTAGCCTTAGCAGCAGCATCAAGTTCAATAACTAAAATAGATAATGTACCATTGATGAGTTATAGTTTTGATCTTCGTCTTGAATGTGGCATTGGTATATCAATAATTAGTTCTATAGGTCATGAATCTGAAGAACTCGTTTTCATGATATTCAATGATATTAGTCTTGCCTATAAGGACGACAAAAATGAACAGTCCATTGAAGCTACTATTGGTACAATAGTTATTTCGAATCAATTATTAATGACAACAACACCGTGTCTATTGTATGCAACTTATAGTGACGAATCATTTTTACAGTCGGCACTTCGTTTACAAGCAAGTCTACAAAAACCAAGTGCAAACTATAAGTATGTTAGATGATTTTTAAAATTTTTATTTCGTAGAATTTGCAATAAAATCTGTTTTCTTTTAAATGTTTAGACAATTGTATATATTTCATTATCTATTCATTGGCTTAAATGGAGTGACAATTCAAATTGATGAAATTCTTCTATGGAAATTATTGGAGTTTTTTAAAATTGACTTTACTGTATCATCAAATAAAAAAGCAGGAAAAAATGATGATCAAACATATGATTTAGATGAAGGTGAATACGATACTCAACGTCTGTTATCATTATTAACGTCCACACAAGCAACAAGAATTTATTTTTATGAAGTATCAATTATATCAATTGATCTTGATTTAAGTGTTAATTGTGCTACTTCACGTTCACTGCCAGCACATTTATCAACTATAAAACGCCATGCTCCATTTCCACTGATACGCTTCGAAAATGCTCCTATACATTTAAAATCATACGATCAAACGCATGTATTTAATACATATGATTTCTTTTTACTTGCACTTACAACACATTATGTCGATGAACTTAAGCGACAAGCATTTAAAATTTTAGGTAGTGTTGATTTTCTAGGTAATCCATTGGGATTATTCAACGACGTTACTGATGGCTTGGCAAGTTTTGTTGATCATGGTAGTGTTAGTGGTTTAGTTAAAAGTGTTGCACATGGTGTAGCTGATTCAACATCGAAATTTACAGGTACACTTTCATATGGACTTGGAAAGCTTGCTTCAGATGAAGAACATGATGATATGCGTGAGGCTATTGCAAACAGTTATCGTGGTTCATCGATAGGTCATGTTATTGGTGGAACAGTAGGTTTGGCAGCTGGATTTATTGGTGGCTTAACATCAATTATTACACAGCCATACAAAAGTGTTGTCGAAGATGGTGTCGGTGGTTTAATGAAGGGTGTTGCAAAAGGTATTGTTGGAACAGTCAGTAAACCAGTGGTTGGCATACTTGATTTTGCAAATGGTTTGGCAATGGCAGTTAAAGAAGGTGCACGCTCATCGAATACAATAACAAAAAGTCGTATAAGAACAACGCGATGCCCAACAAATATTTATGGACTTCTTCAACCATATTCAGCATTTGATGCTAATGGTCAATGTTTATTATATCAAATGAATAAAGGAGATTTAACCGAACGGTATATTACACGAATAACTGTTTCACAAAAACCTGCTAATGCGGTATCGAGAAGGAGATTAGACAATGTTAATGATGATGAATATGCAGCTGATCAACGAAATTGTTTCATGCATGTATGAAATTCTTTTTGTTAGCTGTAGAAAAAAAATTTATTATAACTTACGATATTATTCTAGGCAATGATTACATCGCAACGTGTGATCATCTATCGAACAGAAACTAATCAAGATGAAACTGATTATGAAATAACTGAAGTTTACGACTTTAGTGCCGTATCAAATGTTGTTGTCATAGGTTAGTTTATTCTGTTTTTGCATCTGAAGAAAATAGTCGAGCGGAAAATTCTTTAGTCAAAAACGAAATCAAAAAAAAAACTAACAAGAAAATCTTAGAATTAGAAAAATAGTTGATTTTTTAAAATTTTTGTATTTATTTAGACGATGATAGCCGTCGACCATACGTAGAATTCGTTCATAGTCAATCTAAACGTACGGATAAAATGAGACCAACGACAACAACGACAATGATGACAGCAGCAACATCAACAACAGCTAAAAATGGTGGAAAACAATATCAACATTCTCTACTACGGTGTGACTTCCATGATCGAGCGATCCGATTAGCTCGTGATATTCAACGAGCAAGAGCAATTTTTGAAGAAGAAAAATTTACGTACATTCCACCAGACGATGAAGACGATGATGATGACGATGATATTCCAAATGAACCACAGCTAAATGAAACAGTACAGATGACTTAATTGAATTCAACTATATGTAGTCTTCCATTGTACAATATTTACACAACAATAAAAATATCAAATGAATATGTCGAGTTTATTGATGTTGAACATTGCTACGTTTTCAATCCGTCCGTTTTTTCGTTTGAGTACCTATTTTTTTGTGCACAATAAAATATATGCCTCTTGTTTTTTGTGTTTCTATGTTTAATTTGTTCATGGCAATAGAAAATTGTTTTCTGTTCACATGCGAAAAGCATCTCATTCTATTTTCACCATAATTGTTTTCTTTTTTTTTAAGATAAACAAATAAATAATTCAGAGAAAATTATTTCTTGCATCTAGTAAACAAATCATTCTTTTTGAAAAGTAATGGATGCTGCAGCATGTAAAAAAATTTTCGATTTATGTTCACAATCATTGAGTAGTACTGAGGTTGGTAATTTATGTCATTGGTTTTCTCAGGAACGTTGTGTTATTTTTTTTATAGAATGAAAAATTCTTTGAAACTTGTCAATTGCTATGTTCTGTCATTCCTACCATATCTCATGTATGATAATAATTTAGTAGCTAGTCTACAATACTTCGTTTTCTACGATATTTAGTATTTATTAGGATGTATTCCAATCATTACCCGATAATATTCTACTTGATAATCTTGGAAATCTATTACAATGTCGTCTTCGTAAGTTATTGAAGAAGAAAACAAAATCTAAAAAGAATTAGTTCATAATTGAATTTATTTAATCAGGAAACGAGCAACGAGCTATTCTTATCGATGTCTATGCTTGTCTGATAGAACAACATAAATCTGTTTCATTTCTTTGTACACATAATAAAAATCTATTCCTACTATTGGTTCTTTTGTGTACTGTTGAACTACGTATGATAGTTGAAAATCATCAAATAAATGAAGTAAACGTCATTATGTTTTCAACACAACTCTAATTTTCTTTCCTAATACGACAGATTTTAGAACGTCAGCAACATCTTGCTGCTTGTTATTTAATTATTGAATATACAATAGCTGCTGTTTGCCAATCGGATGATTTGACAGATGATAATGTGGCATCGGTTCTTCCGAAATTAATTGAAATGTTTAATGGTTGTGTTTTTCTCATAGATCAAATTATTGATAATGCTGAAGATAAACAAGTGAAAAATTAATTATAATCATTTTATCTTAATAGGAACTTATTGTTCTTCTAGAAATTCGATACTATACTTCAAGCAACAGTTCGTATACTTGGAATTTGGTTAAGTCAAGAGCCGATTGCATTAAAAGAACTGGTAGAACCTCGCTTGAATAAATGGCTAACATACGGGTAGGGAAATTATTACTTGCTTTCTAGAGTATTATTTTTTTGCATGAATGTCTCTTTTTTAATCTTAGATCAAATACACCCACTTGTGCTGAAACATTTAAAAAGTTCTTTGAACCAATTTTAAAATGTTATGAAGATGATTAAGTTGTTCTACTCTTTTTTCAAGCAGCAGTGCTCAAATGATTTGTGATAGAAGTTCTTTTCTGAAAGAATAAAAAAAAAGGAAAATATCGCTTTACAATAAAAAAAGTGAACAGGCAAAAATGAATCACTTTTTTTTTAATCATATATAGTTCTCTGAGAACTATGAAAACTGCAATTCTATAAAAATATTCAGATGACGCTAGTTGGCATGTGAGAAGAAAAACGTCGTTTTGTGATTTGTCACATGCAAGTAGTCAATTATGAATCAGTGAAAAGAAACAACATTTGATAACTTCACGAAAGTTAAAAAAATTTCATGTGCATCGTCAGAAGTGACATTTATAATTAGTATTAAAAATATTTCAAATCATCGATTATGTCTGGCGATGCTTCTGAGTCAATACCAATACTTGAACCAACTAGTGAAAACGATGTAATTTGTTGTTAGGATTCATTTCTATTTTATGAATTTTTATTTCATCGTGTATTTAGCCGCATTTTTCACCAGCATCATCACGAGCCAAAAAATATAAAAACGCTATAACAATGATCGTTTTATTTCTTATTAATTTATTAAATTATATGGATCGATTTGCCATAGCAGGCATTTTTTTCTTATAACTGAAATTTTAAAAATTCATGATATAAATTCTAGGTGTCCTTGAACAAATTCAAGATTATTTCCATATTGGCGACGCTGAAGCTGGTCTTTTGCAAACAGTTTTTGTCTGTAGTTATATGGCATTAGCACCTCTTTTTGGATATCTAGGGTAATATCTGAAAACGATACTAAAGAATTAACTTCATTTTTATTTATTTTTATAGCGATCGATATAGTCGAAAATCAATGATTATCTTAGGTGTTACTCTATGGTCAATGACAACTGTAGCTGGATCATTTGTACCAAAGCATGTAAATTTTTTTTCTACACCATTAATGTGCCATGTGTTGTTGTTCTTTTTTTTTTAATTAGTTATTTTGGCTTTTTGTTTTGTTACGTAGTTTAGTTGGTATCGGTGAAGCTTCTTATTCATGCGTAGCACCGACTATTATTGCTGATATATATAAAGATGATATGAGAACAAAAATGTTAGCTCTTTTTAATATTGCTGTACCACTAGGCGGGTAAGTAAAGTGTTTTATGGAGGATGATTTGGGAAAAAAATTCATTTTTTAGAGGACTTGGATATATTGTTGGTTCATATGTTTCAAAAGCATTTAATGATGATTGGCGATGGGCGCTACGAGTAAGTCATTCTTATTGATTTTGATTCGATAATTCTATTTTGAATCGTTAAGGTAACACCTGCATTTGGTGCGGTATGTGTTATTTTACTTATTTTTCTTGTTGCCGAACCTGTACGAGGTGGTGCTGATGGTGCTCATATGCAAAAAACATCTAGTTGGCTCTTGGATGTCAAACAAGTTTTTAAAATGTTTGTTGAATTTACTTTTTAGATTAAAACTAATGAGTTATTTTGAACATTTAGTAAAACTTTTATCTTAATAACAATGGGATTTACATGGGTAGCATTTGGATTAGGATCACTTTCTTGGTGGGGACCTATTTTTCTTCAAAAAGCTCATATATTAGCAAGTGGAAGTGAAGATCCAAAAGAGAAAACAAAGTAAGCCATTTCAATCGGTCTCTAGCTGCAATTTTATTATTCTTACTAAATAGTGTATCACTGTATTTTGGTATCGTAACTTGTGGTGCTGGAATTCTTGGTGTATTACTTGGAAGTGAAGTTGCTAGACGGTATATTTTTATATAAGAAAATAAATCTATACGAAATCTTATGTTTTTTAGTTATCGTAAAATAAATGCCCGCGGTGATCCCATTGTCTGCGGTATTGCAGTTCTTCTTGCACTGCCATTTCTATTTAGTGTTCTACTATTATCAAAAGATCACTTAATTCTAACATGGATCTTTATTTTCATCGCAGAAACATTACTTTGTAGTAATTGGGCTCTTATTTCAGATATGCTTATGGTTGAGTTTCTTCTTATTTTGTTTATCATTGTCTAGCAAGGATTTTTTTCTATTTATAGTATATTGTCATTCCGACAAGACGATCTACAGCTAGTTCTATGTTAATTTTTGTTATGCATTTACTGGTATGTTTTTCTACTGTTGAAAATTTCTTTATCAATTTTTTTTCGATTATAGGGCGATGCATCTAGTCCATATATAATCGGTGAGATAAGTGATTTTTTTCGAGATGGAGCTGATGACAATTTAACTCAATGGGTATCACTACGCAATGCTTTAATGTTGACACCGTTTGTAGCTGCACTTGGTGGTGCAGCTTTTCTTTTTGCTGCAATGTTTATTATTCAAGATCGTCGACGTGCAGAAGAAACAATAGAATGTATGTATATGTAATATTAATTTTAGATTATTTGAAAAAGAGAAATATTCTTTAATAGCGATGAAAATATCGAATGATATTGGATTATATGAAAAGATTTAATTTGAGAATAAATACAAGTGTATGTGTGTGTGTCTTGCTCATTATATGCTCATCACTTGATTGCTTATGTTATTTCATTGAATATGATTTCCCTTGAGTGTTCTATGAGTTAGAGATTGTAAGAGTTACTTCTGGTTATTTTCTCTTCATCAAAATAAGTGATCCGTTGTGTTGAACCTAGAAATCTTGATTTTTTCTTAATTCTTTCCAGGTTATCGTTATCATTCAAATTGAAAATGTGCAACAATGAGTTGCTTCTCAAGAGGTAGGAATTGAATCTAGAGAAAAAAACGATGCTCGTTTCAGAAAAATATCTTGTAGGCTATTCTAGACTAATATATGCTACTATTTAATTTTGTTGAAATCATTGAATAAATAAAAATGTATTCATATATTTTTTTTTGTTTTAGTCGTTGACGATGATTCGCAAATTTGATTTTTTTAACGCTTCTTTGGTTTTTATATATACATCTATAAGATTCTTTTTTTTGTAATTTATTTATTTTTTCTACGAATCAAACGACATGATAATAGCAATCAATCAGTTTTCTTTTGTTATATATATACATCTATTTTTTTTTCTTTGCCATCTAAATTCAAAAGATATTCTTTTAGATGAGCTATTAAATAAGCACATATAAAATGAATCCATCAGGACGATCGCCATTATCGTCAATAGAAGTAATTGAAACAGTAATTGCAAGAAAAAATTGTTGATTTTTATACTTTAGAACGTTGGGAAACTAGCAACTGCAGAGGAAACCGAATTAAGTGAAGTGGTAAGAATAATAATTTATATTTGTTATTTATTAAAACTATCGCACTGAGCAGGAAACACCTTTAAATGCGTGAGACAAAGAAATGGGTGTATCCTTGAACTTCGGGATCTTTTCTTACCCGTTACTACGTTATATGTAACATATTGTGTGTGAATTTAGCCTCGCTAGCCATCCCTTGTTATTCTCTATTTAATTTATTTTTCTAATGTTTAGAGCGAACCATTGTTACCCACCAATAATGATATTCCACGTCCTATTGACCAAGATGACGAAAGTAAGAAATATTTCATATGTTATTCGATTTAATCATAGATAATTTATAGCAACACCATTTCCATTGAATATTGATGATAATAATGATGGACAACCTCATGTTCATTTTCGTCCGGAACCTGATGATGATGATGTTTCAGTTCGACAACGCCATCGTCATTCTGCTCAACGACATACTCAATCAGATGAACGTCGTCGATCATCCGATGAGCGTCAATATGGTCGTTTACAACAAATGGCACGTAATTTCTGGGCTGAGTAAGGAATTTTTCTTAAATGAAAATCTATTTTCTAGTCTAATCTATTATATTTAGTTTAATGCCGGCTGGTAATCATAATCAAAGACTATTACCAATAATAGTATTTGGTATTGTTATTCTACTTATGATTCTTCTAATTATTATCGTGATACTTGGTTATACAAGTGTTGATTATGATGAAGTATTTATAATATTTATCTTTATTTTTTCTCGATTCTATATAATGTTTCTTTTTTAGTTTGGCGTAACCCATAATTTAATAACAGGCGTTTTGGATTTAAAACATCCATATTCCAATGGTGTCCATATCATATTACCATGGGAAAGAATGGTTAGATTTGATAAAACAGCTCGATATCTGAATTTTAATGATTTCGCAATTTTTACTACTGATCAAGCTAGCATCGTTTTAGAGGCTTCAATTGTCTATCGAATCAGGTATGGAACTACTTTAATATTATTCCTTAGAAGAAGAAAAACGAGTGGTTATTTGACACTATTCTTTAACTTTTGTTGGTATCTGACATCTTATCGCTCATGTTTTATCCTGAGAACGAGAAGTAATTGCTAAATAGTAAATATCATATTTATCTAGAGATAATATTATATTGCCATGGTTATTTGCATGAGAACATTTTGGTAAAACTTTCAAAAACACAATGATGATTCTTCTTGCCTGGTATTATGATTCAAAAATGAATTAGAACGAAAATAGATCTTATATTTTTGGAATTCCATATTATGCTTTTCTTAACTATTGCTGGGAATTTCAAGAAATCCATTGAAACAAGATTCACGTAGTAGTTTTCTTTGAAAACTTTGAAATTTTACAAGTATCAAAAGAAACACTTGAAATAAGAATGAGATCAATATATATTTAATTCATTTCTGTGCAAATTCTTGAAAGATTTCTCCATAAACTACAAGACTACTGAAGTGCAATGTAATTAAATAAACTGCATCAAATGATACTCGTTTAGGATTTTGTTAATCTTGTAATCTAGTTATTACACTACAAAGTGTGATATCGTTTTTGCTATTTTTTATTTAGACCCAATCAAATTGAATCTATATGGTTAAATTTTGCAACTGAACACGAACGAGTTCTTCGTCTTGTTACTGAAAATGTTCTTCGTAATCATGGTAATCAATTTTCAATTTATGATTATCGTGCACGCCGAGAACACGTTGAATATCGTTTATCTCGTAAATTACAACACACATTATCAGGTGATTGTTGTCCTATATGTTGTCAACAAAAAACATGTTCAAAAACCATTGAACATTCCTGCTCAACATTATCTCATTGCAATGATACATCAAGTTCTTGTTCGAATGGTTACTTTGTTGATGTCGATGCTGTTTATATATTTAGAGTTGAATTGCCAGCACCAATAACAAAACGTCTTCACACATTAATGTTGAAACCACTTTTTACAGAGACAGCTGAAAGTCAAGAAACTGCTGCTGTTGTTCGAATTGAAACTGAACGACAACGAAATGAATTGTTAAATAAAGCACGTGAAGTTTTAATGAGTGCTCTAGCTAGCAATGAATTAATACGCGAAAAAGCACGAATTAAATTTGATTCCCTTATGCTTAAACAATTAAGTGATTCGGAAGAAAATGTATTTCAAAAATTAAATATACAAAATATGGCGAATAAATTATCAGCATCGTTTCTCGTTGAAATGAATCATTTAGCTAATTTATCAAAAACAATTGATATTAATAGTTTTGTTGCCCAATTCGATCAAAGTGATACGACAAAACAAACGAATGATTTATTTGACTTTGTTCCAGCAGCGAATGTTTTTGACATGACAGAATTTCTTTCGATACTTGAACCTTGATCTTTTTTTCTATTCTATTAAATTCTAAATATGCTTTTTTTCTTTTGTATGATATTTTAGATGTCTAGAACTGATAAATATGAAAAAATCGAACGCATTGGAGAAGGTAAAAACGAGCAAAAGAAATTGATTTTGTCGATTATAAATGAAAGTTTTTATTTATTTTTTCCATAGGTACTTATGGTACCGTATATAGAGCTCGTAGTTTGTTAACACAAGAAATAGTAGCCTTAAAAAAAGTTCGACTTGACGATGAAGATGATGTATGACAAATTTCTTGAAGATATTTTCAATTTATCTTTCTATTTTCTATAGGGCGTACCGAGTTCAGCTCTGCGTGAAATTTGTCTCCTAAAAGAATTACGTCATCCAAATATCGTCAGGTAAATTTGTTTTTTTATTGTTTCGAATTAGTTTGAGTCAACTCACTGTCTAATAAGATAGTTCCTATTGCAAACGTAGAAATAATAGAAAACAGTCAGACCTAATATGACTTATATTGCAACGGATCATAGTAGTTAAACATAGTTCCAGTATTTCAAATTTCTTCATATGCTACAATTGACGCAAAACTTATATTTGAAGCAATAAATAATGTCAAATCACAGATGTAAATAATTCCTATCGTTTTATTATGAGCGTTTAATCAATATATAAATCATTGAAAACTGTTATAAATATTTTCTGAGGCAATTCGCCATCGAATTATTTTGCCATTATCAACAAATCATAAGAGAGCTCTGTGAAATGACTCCGCCAGCGAAATACGAATAGAAAGCTACTGCCAATAAATAAAGTATGAGCTTTCGATGAAAGCTGAATTGTCATTTTCTTTCAAGTAGTTAAATATGTTGTTTTTTGTTGTTGAATAGATTGCTAGATGTTATTCATACTGAGAAAACTTTGAATCTCATATTTGAATACTGTGATCAAGATTTAAAAAAGTATTTTGATTCATGCAATGGAGATATCGATGCAAAAACAGTGCAATCATTTTTCTGGCAATTATTACAAGGCCTATCATATTGCCATGAGCACAGTGTACTTCATCGCGACCTTAAACCACAAAATCTACTGTTGACAAAGGTTTTTTATTATTCGTGATGGTTTGAAATCAATAGAAATCTTCTCTTTTTTTTCTTGCTTATTTTAGAATGGACAATTAAAATTAGCCGATTTTGGTTTAGCGAGAGCTTACGGCATTCCTGTCAAATGTTATTCATCAGAAGTAGTCACTCTTTGGTATCGTCCACCAGATGTTTTATTTGGTGCCAAAATTTATACAACTTCAATTGACATATGTAAATAGAAAATGATAATTTCAATGAGATGATTTCAAAAACGTTTCTTTTTTTTCAGGGTCTGCTGGATGTATATTTGCTGAATTAGCAAATGGTGGAAAGCCTTTATTTTCAGGAGAAAGTGTTGATGATCAATTGAGAAGAATATTCAAGTAAATAGAATGATTTTGATTTATTTAATTATTCCAAAAACCAATATATATATATATATATTTATAGAGTGATTGGAACACCAACTGAAGAAAATTGGCCTGGTGTTTCAACTCTTCCAGAATATAAACCATTTTCAATTTATCAACCAACATTATCTCTGATTCATTTTGTTCCTAAATTAAATAATAAAGGCAAAGACCTTTTACTGGTAATTATTCAATCTTTTAGAATAGTTTGTAATAGTAGTAGTATTTTATTTTCTCAAAAAGCATGCTATGCTTACAATCCATACGAGGTGAACTTGTTTTTTTCTGAAGCGAGCAGAAGTATTCTTTCATTCGTCAAGTAGTCATTATTATTTTTTCAATACATATCCTCTTGTCAACTACTCAAAGCTTCAAAGAATTTCGAAATGTCAAAATATATTCGATGACTCAATAATGAGTGCTTACTGTATATCATAGCATTTTCAAATCGCTGCATTCAAAGAAAAAAATATAGATTTCATCACTCACCGTTTTCTTTTTAAATTTATTTCGTCTCGAAATTGATTTAAAATATACAACCCATCGATCATTCTATGCTTTGATTGTTCATTTGAAAAATGTCATCTGAAAAGTTTGACATAATTAATTAGGAGACTAAGTGCCAGAGATGCCCACAGGGTGACTTTGTGCACCCTGTCTACCTCTGCCCTGTCCTGTTGAAAAATAAATAAATAAATTTGAGATGCACCTTGCCCCGCCCTGTCAGCCTTCAAACAGGACAGAGCAAGGTACCCTGCTGAATTGAAACAGTGTCTGTGTAGTCATTTTCGTTATATTTTATAATAAAAAGGCATTTTTCTCATTGTATCCTAGAGGATGTTTTTCATTTTTAATTTAAATTAAGCTAATTTTAGAATAATAGTAATATTCCACCCCAAATAACAGAATAAATAAGTGTGCAATAATAAAAGTGAATGATACAATATATATAATTAACCTAGACTCACAAGTTTATTGTAGAACTTCAGTTCAACAAAATTTACAAAAATAACAGCAGAAAAAAAAGATAACCACCATGAGCAAGAAAAAAAATTAACAATAAATAGATAATTTACTTTTTATGTGAATGTTTTTCCGCTGATCTCACTAATAAAGTGCTTTCTAGACTATCTAGTTGAAGACTTGTTCTTCTTTCGTTCAAGATCATCCAACCAGCTGTGGAAAATTCTCTTTTCACATTTGTTATTGTTGTTGTAGGAATTGAAAACATTGATCGAGCATACTTTGAAAGATATGGAAAAGTTTCTTGCTGATTTTTCCAAAAATCTAACGGTTGCTTTGTTTTTATCGAATTCAAACAATCGATATCGATCAAGTTCATCACCTTTTTTTTACAGTATAATCATATTCTTCACTTTCATTTCCGTTACTGTTATTATCAGTTAGCTCTTCATTTAAACTTCCAGATTCAAATCGCTCAAAAAAAATTATTTTCTACTTTAAGTCTTTTTTTGGTGGTTTGATGAAGTGTTGTTGTTGTGTTTGTTTTTCGCTTAGTTTCTTAATTTGTTTTCTAATATATTCAAAGCATTGTTCACGTACATAATTGGGTATTTTTTTTCAAATCAGAAATTCAAACAACTAGGTTTTCATTTTGCAGGGTATATCTCTCACCCTGTCTCTACTCAGGGTGGGGCTAAATTAATTTTTTTCTCCCTGTCACTGTTCATGACAGGGCACATGATAGGGTAACCCTGCCCTGTGGACATCTCTGCTAAGTAACTCTGATGCTATAATAGTTTTTTTCTATGATAATAAACTCTTTAGATATAATCCCTATAGGATTTATTTTCAGCATCATTATGAACAAGATTTTCTATGGTTCAGTCATAATATTAAGTTATTGTATATTTTAGCGTTGTCTAATTTGTAATCCAAATCAACGAATATCAGCAGTCGATGCTCTTCAACATCCTTACTTTTCAGATATACAATCAGTCAATTAATGAATTTTTCCTTTTTGTGGTGCATTCGTCTATTCAATAAATAGAATAAAAGTTATTTCTCATCATCTTTGCTATGTGTTGTAAACATATACATATAATTGCTCTCTATTAGTTTAAATTCTTTTTGTCATTGTATATTTGTATGTATTTTATTATTGTCAAAAGAAATCTTGGTCGAACTGAAATTGAATCTTAATAAGGATAATGGTTTTTCTTTGAAGATTTATTGTTGACAATATCGGAATAAAAACAAACAGAACGAAAAAAAAGAGAGAAAAGTTGATGGTAGGAAGAAAAGCGAAAAAAAGAGCTTCGAGAGAAAATGTTGTTTCGCTATGATTGAAAAACAAGAATAAAAGAAGTCGTGTATAAGCATGACAAGATTTGTTGAATAGAATCTAACTACGATGAATACAACAAGCTGGAATGAAATATTTTGTTTTTGTAGTAATAAACGCTTTGAAATAAATCTTTAAAAAAAGAAAACTGTTTAAGGAGAAGAAAATGATGTCATTTTAAATATCAGTCAGATCGTGAAATAAATATATCTTCTTCCATCAGGTGATATATACAATAAATAAAATGCATCTAAATATTGGATAATTTAACTTTAATTGGTAATGATTCTGTAGCCTCATAAGGTTGATCATCAGGTTGAATTTTTTCTTTTTCATATGCTTCATAATCGTATGGATGAAAGATAAGTTCTTGAGCACGAATTGATAATGCACCACGAGATGGTGTATGGCGACAAAGTGACATAACCATATCTAAATTTAAAAGAAAACAATAAATGATTATCGTATGATACAGAATAAAATAATGAACTTACACCAAAGAATAACTGATGATGAAAGAAAAATGGCAAGAAAGATCCATATTGGGATCTTGGGTTGTTTACGGACAAGATCATTCCATTCGGTACGAACATCAGTAACGAATTGTCGAAAACGATTATGTATTGGTTGCATGTGTTCCCGCTGATGGTGGAAGTCATGAAGATGTTTAAAGCTATGGTGATGCTCATTCATCATTGGACGTTTTTCATGGTGTTCTTCACTTGATGAATCTGAATCAGAATCACTCTTGATTGGTATACGAACAATGGGCATATCTCTTGATAATTCTTGTACACTCTCAAAACCTGGAAGTTTTGAAAGTTCATTTGAATTTTCATCAAATGAATGACGAATTGATTGTTCCATGTTATTAGCTCGTGCTTGAAATTGTTTAATGATATCATTGAACATTTGGATTGGATCACCATTGAAGAAATGATGCATATTTCCCATTGGCATCATTGGACCTTCAACTGATGGATGTTGACGAAGGCGTATAAGAATAATTGAGCGTGGACGTTCTGGTTGTACGTTTACAGGCGTAGTTACTAGATCTTTCTCTTCCTAGAATATGATTATGATTATGATTAAGTTTAAAATTAAGATATTGATCTTACTGAAATTGGATCAACGTCAATGATAGGTTTTGAACTTATTGTCTCATCACGTGAACCACCCAAAGTACAGCCGACTTCGCAGCTAGCTATAAGTCCACTATCTTCTGGAAATGATTTACATTTACTTGCGCAATTTTCATTGTGTAACTTGAAATCACAACCTAAATTTAATCAATCAATAAGTAAGATTTTTCTAACAATTGATTTCAATGAGCAAACCTTTTCTGCAAGCATTCAAATGGCCTGAACTAGCTGCATAATTTGTAGAGCAACCAGTATAGCAACCGTTTTCAGTACGAAACAGAGCTTCGAGTAAACCGGTAGCTGGCGATGATGCCAGTAAAATGGCAAAAACTAGAAGCTTTACCATGATGCGAGCGTTTTATTCAGTTGATTTTTCGATAAATGGTTCAAAATCTAATTAAAGAAAACCAAAAAGAAAACATCATCTATGCAAATCTAATCAAAATGAGCTGGTGACTAGCAAAAAAATATTGGCTGTAAAAGGAATAGAAAATAGCAAACAACAAATGAATAGAGAGAGGAGTATTTGATCAAACACAGCGTAAAAGGGAGTCAGAAAAATGTTTCACTCTACGCAGTAGTTGTTTTTTTTTCTCGTATATTCGTTAAGATTCTTTTTTTCCTTTCTTGCTTCGCCCCTCAACCCTGTTACTCTATTTTCTTCACCTTGCCTTTAAAGAAAAGAAAAAGAAAAAAAAAAGAAAATAAGATATATTTTATTAGTGAATGTCGATTGTGATTTGCTTCACTGCCTTCAAATGTAGCAAAAAACATGCGAATATATTCATGATATAAGTAAGGGATGATTACAGAATTATGAATAAAAGTACAGCCCACATGATGTCAACAAAATAAGAGTAAACAAATAAGAGGGGGAAAGGAAGGAGAAAATGGAGGGTCTCAAGTAACCATCAGTATAGAAAGAAAGAAGACTGTTATTTATATTTATTTGTTGAGTTCGTTCTTTCTGATGATGTTTAATATAGTGATGATTCATTTCTAGTATTGTTTATGCTACTGCCATCTATCGAACTGAATATGATTGTTTGTTCTAATTTTTTTACCTGTCAAAATTGAATAAAACCAAACTATGAGAACAATAGAATAGGCACCGATGATTGAAGATACAATATTGAACACGAAAACGGATATTTTAATCGTGTTTTTATGTACGCCTACCAGGTTGATCAAAACGGACTCGTTTACGGTCTGTTTGTCGACGGTAAACGATGTCAAGACGGTATCTTTACGGTAGTAAACAGGCCGCATTTGCCCGTAATACCTGGCGCAGTAATACGGCAGCGTAAACGGGACTGAATTTTCATGGTTTACGGCTGTTTGTGTTCCGTACTCTCATGATAATACGGTCCGTATTACTGCGCCAGATATTACGGCAAAATTTCGCCCGTAAAATAGTCGTAAAGTAACCGTCAATGGCCGTATACGGACCGTACTGTTCGACCTGGGTAGTACAGGCTTGAATACACTGCAATACTTGACAGTTTTGCATCTTACGTTCCGACACGTTAACTAACTCGAAAGAACGTGTTGTTTTCATTTTTTTGTTAAGATCTTATGTGAGCAGTATAGAAAAAAATCTGCTGTATCTTTCGAATTCAAAGATATTGATGATAATGAAACTTAATCACAGTTTATCCCGCATCCACTCGAGAAGATGCATTGAATTCAGAAATAGGGATAGGAAAATATTTTAAAGTAAGACTAATTAAAAGAGTTTGAGTGGTTCGTATGAAATTATTTCATTGATCCTGATAATGTAGATGCATATCTAGTCGATTGAGATTCATCAGCATCTAATGATTTTAAAGAAGAATATGAATGTGCATTTATTACCGCATTAACATCTGTACTACGCCAATATTCGTCACCATGAAATAAAATATTAGATTATTACGCTGGTGATTGGTTTTCAGTCATTTATATGTTATTACTATCACGTTGTCCAAATCTATTAGAAGATAAATGGAAAAGTGAGTGATTTTATCAAGTGAAGCAGCTATCAATCGTCTATATAAAATAGAAGATGAACATGAAAATTTAGCAAACATCGATGATTTATATACGTTACGCAAAGAAATAATTGAAACAATGTTTACGTTTCATTTCGTTTCATAAAATGTTTCTTTTTGTTGTAATTAGTTTCATTTTTTGAATTTATTCTATAGTTTTTGTGTTGGAAAAGAATAAAATAAAATAAAATGAAGTTTCTTATTGGTGTTGTTGTAAGAAATATGTTTTGCAAGTTTAATTTCATGAAGTCAATTGAATAGAATTCGAAGAGACTTTCTTGATGTTTTTATGAAAAGAAATTGGTCTTCTGTAAAAAATGATCGAATAACTAAAAATTGGAAATAATATCGATCTAGTACACATGATTTGATGATGAATTTTAAAAAAGAAATACATAAAATAGTTAGTGAAACACATTTTAAGTTAGTTATGTTTAAGATGCATGAACAATGTTGCTGATAAAAGCAAATATAAAGAAACGATTTGACAGAGTATAAATATCAATAATCGACATCTTTCATAAAAATATGAATACTAAATTGATTATGATAAAATTGGAAGAATAAATTTTGTTTAATATCTATGAAGTTTGCACATTCGAAAAGACAAGGCAATAATAAAAATGAATTCGTAATCGTTTGAATTTATGATTTATGCTGGCAAAAACAAAACTTCTTAATTATATCTAGTGATGTTATTCACTTGATCTCTGTTTTGCATCTTTGCATACGCATAGACATAAAAGAATGACGTTATTGGGAAGGTTCTATTGATTCACAATATACATCGTCTACGGTGTTTATGTTAGAATAAAATATTCCCAATGAAAGTACCAGAAACTTTAGGTTGAATCAGGCTTAGACACTCTGTGATTGAGGATTACCAATCCGTTGACTTTTAACTAACTATAAAAGAAAACAAAATCAAAGTAAACTGCTAAGAAAGATATCATATACTCTACAAATGAAGATAAATGAGGAAAATAAACTATGAAGCAAAGAATAATGTAACCTGAGTAGCCCACTACCATCCTCGGCAATGATGTTTATTCGCTACTGTCGATATCATGGATAAACACTGATCAAGCAATGTACAACGTGAATTGGCAAAGCTTACTGATTATGAATAGTTTCTTAGTGAAGATAGGACAGCATTAGGAAGAGGTCAACAGTTGATATGCATGTAAAGATTAAACCATCCGCTACCAAGCGTATACCATCCTGTTATCATCTACAAGCGCATCTGTCGTACAGAAACGACAAAACAATCTTTCAACGAGACGACTCGAATAGTGTATGAGGATTAATTAAATATGTTGAAGTTTATGAACGCGTAATTACGGGCTCCCTGCATATTCGTTTTCAAGCAAAAAAGCCCATATGCACTGTTATTAAACTCACAATTATTTCATTCAATTAAAAACTGACGAAGTGCAATAGTCGTGATTCCTTCGAATCTAATCGAGTTCACTAGCACAGTTTGTTGAAATATTTTCTAGTGGGTATGATTAATAACTTGTTTAAAATTGATTAGTTTTTTTTGTTGATTTATCTAAATATTTGTATGATTTTAACAAATCCAATCGAGTTATCATGTTGTTTGAGCTAAAACATTTCATCTCAGATATTTTATCGCTACCAGGGATTGTATCACTGTAGTTTCGTCGATAATTGATTAACAGAACGATTCGAATTGATTATTCTATTGCAAGCGATTGAATTTGTAGTGCAGTTGTCCTTCCAGATTGATGAATCAAAAAACGATGAGAATAGTCTTCCCTGAATCTTTCTTTTTCAACCAAGCTCAAATCCATCTGACAAAAAGTCTTTTACAATGTTGACATGAGATGAGTAGATACTTCAGTGAAAGTCATTGATGTCAAGGACAGTAAGGCACTTAGAAGTAATAATTCTAGGTATATATACGAGTAGCTCGTTGAATTAATCTTTCCAAAAGTTTACTGTTTTTTCTGAATCTCATACCTTTATGACATAAACTGAAGCGATTAGGAGAGATAATGATTATTCACTAGATTTGTCTAAATGTTTTTTTTAATCTTTTCAGCATTTCAATATGTAATCGGGCAAAATTTTCTCTCTAGCAAAAGCATACTCGAATAATTAGAAGCGACAGCGTTGTCAAATAGCATGACTTTTGTTTTGGTTGTGTTTATTGATAATCAGATGTCCTTGGACAATTTCTCTAACGCTGATATAGCTATCTGTTCTAACATGGTCTTCTAGTTGCTTTTATCCAGATCATCATGTCATCAGCAAACCAATGGGAAGATTTGGGACAAAAAGTGCAATTTGAAAAACGCTGCTGATAAAACTGAATCCTGAGGAGCATCCACATTTAATACCTATATTTCTGGACAAAGCTTCACAGTATGTCATATCCATTGAACCTATTCTATAGTGTATATGCTTGTAAATTGTGGAAAACACTTCATGAATAAATAGATTGATCAATTCATTTTTGTAAACTTTCGATAAATACAGCTGTTTGAAGTTTAGAAGGTGCTAATGATTTCATTTTAAAGTCAACAAATGAAACTATTAACTGACACGCTGTTTATTTATCAATATTATATACAGTCATGTTATATGTATTACACACATAGCAGTAAATCAATCTCTTTTCTCACTAGATAATCAAATGTTGATATTGATAAACCATTGATAGGTCTTTTTTTACCCTTTGATATCAATAAAATAGAGTAAGAATCTTATTTGATGTTGACTCGAAATGTTAACACTTTTAGCAAAAAGATTATGGCCTATTTTATATTATATTATCCTTTCTTTTACAAGCATACTTCAGTAATAGTGTTTGTTACTGTAGCTGCAGATAATTTCTTTTCTATCATACTTGAATATCCATCGCTTTGAATGTTTCTATATAGACAGAAAAAAAGCAGACAATGATAGAAGAAAAGATATTATACTGTTTATCATAGATCAAGTAGAAGCTTAAATACAATAGCTGGAATGAAGAGCATCAGTCTATCAATGGGTCCTATCATATGGTAAGTGAATTAGACATCGATAAAAACGATCATTGTACATATGATTTTGTTCACAGCTGCTGTGTCATTTTGATCTTTATGATCGATATCTCAGGTACGAGCTCATCATCAATGATCATTATTGGACATCGAGGTGCATCTGGTTATCTTCCAGAACATACATTACCTGCAAAAGCTCTTGCTTATGGTCAAGGCGTTGATTATCTTGAACAAGATGTTGTTCTATCGAAAGACAATGTACCTATAGTTATTCATGATATTTACTTAGATGAAATTAGTAATGTTGCTAGCAAATATCCTGCACGCCATCGTTCGGATGGTCGTTATTATGCTATTGATTTTACACTGACGGAAATTAAAACATTACGTGCTAGTGAACGATTCGATCATCGAACCGGAAAGCCAATATATCCAAATCGTTTTCCTCTTAATCAATCCACATTTCATTTAGTTACTTTCGAAGAAGAACTGGAATTTATTGTTGGTCTCAACAAAGCAAATATTGATAATAATAGAGAAGTGGGTATATATGTAGAAATTAAAGAGCCATCATTTCATAAAAATGAGAGTCGATCAAATTTCAGTGAAATTGTTATTGATATATTACGAAAATATAATTATACAAAACGTACGGATAAAGTATTTTTACAATGTTTTGATCTCGAAGAATTACAACGGATTCGTGTACAACTTAAATCAGATTTAAAACTTGTTGGCCTATTATCAGATGAAAAACATCGAAGCATTTACAAGAAAAATGATTTCAGCTATTGGATAAGTGAAATAGGAATAGAAGATATGGCAACTTTTGTTGATGGTATTGGTCCACATTATTCAGATTTGTATGAACAAGGAACTACATTGGAACCATCAAAATTGTTTAATGATGCTAGAAAACATAATTTATTTATTCATCCGTATACATTTCGTAGTGATGCAAATCTACAACCATTTGCAACATTCGATGCTATGCTAGAATTTTATATCGATAAACTAAAGGTCGACGGCTTATTTACTGATCATCCTGATAAAGTAGTTCGATACATAGAATCCAAACACAAACAATCTAATACAGGAATAAAACTTCAAAGCTCTTCTCTCGCTTTAATAATTTTATCGATTGCCGTGATAATTTTATGAAATTGATTTGTATTAAATAAATCCATGTTAGATCCTTTTCATAAAAACAAATCGTTGCAATAATTATATTTAAATGACTAATTAGAACAAAATCCTTTTTCTATATGAAATCGAATTAACCTAAATCGATTCAGTATTCTTTAATTCTATATTGTTTTAACTAATAACACAAAACGAAAGTAACCTTAACTTAATATCAATCGGCATTTTTTCTTGTAATTCGATAGATAAATTTTGTAATGAGTGCACAAAATCCGAATTGATTCATGTCAAACGTGATGTTTTTTTTTTGACAGTCTTCTATAAATGTTATAAATTTATTGTAATTACAAATATTTCTCTTTTTATTCGCCTTGGTTCATTTGAAAATGAGTAAAAACAACTTTCCCTAACTCCTGACAATGAAACAATTGTTTTAACACGTGCTAGAAGAGAAGATATGGTAGTCGACAATTTATAACTTGTAGAGTGACTATATTTAAAACGATGTAAAATCATTTGTAGAGTGCGTGCTTGATGAAAAACTTGAGAGACTAATATTCTGTGCCATTACTTTTGCATCGAAGGTTAGATACAAAAACTTTCAACTAGTTCCCAAAATATATAATATAACAGCAAGGCCAATAATTTGCTAAATAGCTCTGTTATAAACATCAACCAGCGAAGCATACTTGTATAAATGTTTAGATAACGATAAATACAAATGCCATTAGCATCATATTTAGTTACTGTGCTAGAATGAAAAGAAGAGAAACGCCCGCAATGTTTCTAATTATTGTACTATGTCTCTATGTCGTCGGACGAGTTCAAGGTGTATCACGTCCACTGGTTATTGGTCATCGGGGTGCAGCCTACTTACCTGAACTTACATTAGCCGCACAATCTATGGGCTACGCTTTTGGTGCAGATATAATCGAGATTGATGTTTGTCTTACTCGAGATAATCAGTTGATTGTTATTCACGGTAAGAACAAAATCAATTTTACATTAGAAATAATCGCTTTCAGTATGATTTTCTTTCGCGATCGGTTTTTAGATATCTATTTAGATGGAGTGAGTAATGTAGCTGAAATGTTTCCAAATCGAAATCGCTCAAATGGTTACAGTTATGTTATTGATTTTGATTTAGAAGAATTACGCCGGTTAACTATTCGTGAACGTTTTAGGCCATTCAATGGTACACAAATTTTTCCTTTGCGATTTCCTTCTAATAGTGTGATCGCTTTTCAACTTGCAACACTCAACGAAACAATTGAATTATTACTCGGCTTCAATCGTGCTACCGGTCAACAACGTCAGCTACTTATTGAAATAAAAAAACCTGAATATCATTCAAAATACAATAAATCTATTTCGTCGATTGTACTTGAAACACTGAATGCCTATAATCTGAAAGAACCAAGTGATCCTATTATTCTACAAACATTTCATATAGAAGAATTGATACATATACGTCGAAATCTCGGTAGTAAACTACGGTTATTTGCCCTAATGACATGGAATCGAATAAACGAATCGTCGAGTGATTATGATTTTTATAGAAGTGAAGAAGGCATAAGAAATCTATCGAATGTTATTCAAGCGATTACACCTAATCTTGAATTTGTTGTTAATTATGATTCAAATGGTACAATCTTAGGTAATACTAATTTAACAAAATGGGCACATCAAAATGGTCTCGCCGTTTATCCATTTACATTTCGACGAGATTCATTTCCGGGTAGAAGCTTTGAGCAATTGATTCAATATTTTTTACATACAGCACGAGTAGACGGCTTTATAACTGATCATCCAGATGTCGTTCTGGAGTATTTGCGAAGAGAAATGGCAGCGAAAGATGCTATTTTCATAGAACAAAATTCATCTTCAAGCTTAGTTTCATCGATGTTAATACTTCTTTGCAACATGATAATAATATCAAAAATAATTGTTTAGATCTCAATGATAATGACGAACAATTTTAATTCTTCATGTCAGCGCTTTCTTTTAACATAAAAAAAAAACGTTTTCTTTTCCTCTAATCGATAAATAAATATAAAATCTTTTAAATATCAGAATTTTAATATAGTATATTTACTTCATTTGTTTAATTAATAAAAAATATAGAATAAACTAAGTGCGAACAAAAAATTTATTATTCCTATTCGATTAATAACAGTGTTATTTCTTAGATGTTGTTAAAAGCTTACCCTAAATAATGATACAGAGTTATTTAACAATAGAACTTCTCTAAACGAGGATTTGCCCATGATTACTTAAATAAATTCATCTGAGCTCTTTCGATTAATCAGAGTATCACTACTGAGAAATACTCGTTGAGCAAAGTTCTATTGATAGAAATATATCACAATTTACTTGACAAAAAAAGAACCTACCGATTTAATGAAAGGATTCACAAAATATTCGATCAACTACATTTTTTAATGCGATTCATAAGAAATTTCTAATCATTGTATTAACAAAATATGCAATGCAAAAGTAATCTAAAACAAATTTTTTTTTATCAATGCCATCAAAATAAATAATAACAATATCATGTTAATTCTTCTCATTTGTTTTTCAATATAATGACCACTTTTAATATTGGCGAAAGATCTAAATTTTCCATTGAAAATTAATATACGAATGTTCTTTATTTAGTTGTCCTTGTATCATTCAATTTCAGTTTACCAGTACATATTATTGTCAAATATCTTTGACTTTGAATAAAAAACAAATATCGATTTTTACTTCTTTAATTATCAAGTGTACTTACGATATTCGAGATGTACATAGATACACATTTCACTGATCAGATGGTTGTTAGTTACATCTCACATTTCATGATGGATAAAAGACAAAATGAAAAATGATTGATTTAAAAAACTCGAAGGAGAAAATTTCACATCTCATTTTTTCGTATTTCAAAACAGCAAACAGACGAATTCAGTTATATAAGAAAACATGCCTATCTCCAGTGGTTTCTCAAGAGATCCAAATCCAACTCTAAATTATCATGTAAGAACCATTGATTTCTCCTATATCTAATGTAAGAACAAAGCTTTTCTTACGAAATCTATTTAGGTTCGCAAGCCGGGTAAAGCCGAAATTCTAGATGAATCGATCTATTACAAGGAAGAAATACCTTATGAAAAGCCAGTTCAGGTATTGAACTGTGAGTTTTGTAGTACTTATTATAAATTTACGTTTGAAGGTTGTCAATCGACCAATTATTAAAGAAACAGTTTTTTTGCCTGACCGTAAACCACCACCATTGCCAAGTAAAAATGAAGCTTACACGGTAGGTTGGTCTGACGAATAAAACAACCATAATATTTTCTATCCATTAAACTCTAGATCGCACCTGAACCAGTTTCAACCATCTATGCAACAACAGGAGATGTACCGAAGAACTCAGCTACATTCAATATCATCCGTGCTTTAGGATTAAATGCTGATTGCCCTTGTTGGGCATGGATTGTGATTGTTTTTGGTATTCTAATTCTCCTTGGACTGCTTGCCATGTGTCTATATTTTATTCTTGGTATGTTTATTGTTTAGAAAATGAAAAAAAAAACCAATTCTTTGTTTTTATTTAAAATTTTAGATCGTGAAAAGATAATCTAACCGACCATACTTCGTTTTCGTCCTCTTGCACGTACTTCTTCATATTTATGCATTGTTAATGTACGCAATTTTTCATCACTAATAGAACTCTTATATGCCAAAAGAATATTCGAAAAAAAATGTTTTGCTTTGTGATGTGTGCAAATGATAGCTCGTTCCAAAACATATAAGTCGACAGCAAGAGCTTCAAGCATTTGAGCCTTATTTGTTACATGTGCACTTAAACCAAAATCAATGAGATAAAGTTGACCATTGTCTTTCAAAAGCATGTTTGATGTTGTCAAATCACCGTGTACGATTTGTGCTTGATGAAGACGTGCTATAATGGCACCAATTTGTTGTGCTAAGTTTTCAAGTTGAGCAGTGTTTTGTTCTTGAATCAATTGATCAATAACAGATTTTACAGTACGTGCTTCATGTAAATCTTCCATAATAATTGCACGTCTAGCCCAATCGATATGATAGATGGCCGGTGTATGAATGCCTAATTGTTTGGCACGTGTCAATAAACGTACTTCTCCTTTGAGCCGTTGAAGTGTTACTGTCTGATCAAGATCAGGATGGCGATATGTTTTAACAAAACGTTCTTTGAGTATAGCACGATGGCCAAAGTACAAACATCGGAATAGACGCGCTTCAGCACCTTGACAGATAAGTTCAATATTAGAATAGACTGGTGGAGCAGTTTCCATGTTCCGTTCTAAAACTAACAATGAAAAAATTAATATTTATCCGTTTGTGAAAATATTATTGAAGAATATAATTCAAGGTATTCTCGGTAAAAGTGTCTCTCGAATGTATACCCTATTTAATTGCGATTGATAGAGTTCTATACAGTATAGGCATTTTATGAAGAAAATAATCATATTTTCATATAGAAACATATTTATCCTTCAAATATCAAATAATCCAGAAAAAATGCATCCCTCTACGGTTAGATAAATAAGATTCAAGTAATAAAAAAAGGAACAGGCTCATTAACAAGTCACACAAAAAAAGAAGTATAAATGCGTACTAGAAAACAAATTTTGAAAGTTAAATCGAAAACTTTAACTATGTAGTAGACCTAAGATATTACTCTAAAGTAGAGTTAATCTTATTAGCAGAAATACATATTATAAATATTCTGGATTGATTTGAAGCCATAGCTTTGTTAAATGAATATGAGCCTCGTCGTAATAAAAGTTTCAAATTACTTTATGAATAGAAAAGTCTTGTATAGAAAATAAATTTTGAAATTCATTTGGATAAAATATCAAAATCGTTGATATTTTCTTTAAAGCTTTCTAATTAACTAACTCATACGATATTAGTATTGATAACGTGTTTGGCCGAAAAGAAGAGAAAAAAGGAACTCAATGGAATAATAATAGTAATAGTAATAATAATAATAATAATAATAATAGTGATAACAACAATAAGAAGAAGAAGAAAAAACTACATGCATCAGACCATTAATTAAAGAATTGAACAAAGAAATTGGGCACACAAGAAAAATATAGAGGAAACACACAAGAAGAAAAAAAGACGAAAATCGTCGATGACTAAATATACATCTGACAAAATATTCTTGATCGACACATATCGATAGAAACCACATGATATTTGTATCTGCGATAGGCACACAAAAGGAAATAGAGAGATGAATATTTTTCAAAAAGAAAAAGAAAAACGCATTATTGAACATTCGTTCATACATTATTATGAAGATGAATAAGAAACACTGTTCAACGCACATACATTCTTATTTACTAGAGTTGTGATTCAACTAGACCTGCATATTGTGATTCAGATCTGTCGAATTTATAGTTCGAATCGAAACTTGATGAATTAGCCATTTGATGAGATGGTTTTGTATTGGATGTTAAAATTAATTTTTGATGGGATGTATGATTGCCATTGACAGTTGGAGGAGGTTGTGATGTTATAGAAGGTAGAGTAATGGTTCCATTGGCTCGATCATGATTTGTTAGTTGTTGTTTAGGCTGTCGTCGTGGATCAACAGCTTGATTTGGTTTCATAATATCTTCTCGATATTCATAATCTTCTTCATAGCCTGTAGGAAAAATCATTTCATCTTCAAATTCATCAACAATAATTGGTTCCATGGGTGAAGGTCGATAAACCTTAAATAGACAAAAAAAATGAGAATATTAATTTGCAGAAAGACAAAAATTTTTTTTTGAACTTTATACTTGTTCATAAAGCTGTCGATCAGATCTATAGCTATCATAATATGTATCATGTGGATGATGACGTCGCATAAGTGTTGCTGTATCATGTAATGGTATGGATGATGACATTGACCCACCACCGACACTTCTCAATGGTGTTGAATCAACCAATCGTACTTCACTATACATGGGTGGACCAAGTTGTGATCTTGAATCAATCATATCGTATGGATCATAACTGCCATTAGTAACAAAACTATGTTGTTCATCATTTTTTTCTTTATATATATTTCCATTTGTTAATAGTATGCCATTATGATGATTTGTATCAAATAATAATGCTTTATTTCTTTCCGCTTGTAGTCGACTTGAACGATGACAGCGTATTACCCAACATGCACAAAGCAGCATGATAATTAAAAGAAATAATAATAGAAATATTCCAATAGTCCAAAGAAGAAATGAACTATCAGTTAATGATGATAATCGTCGAACCCGCAATTCATATGAAAGATACTCATTGTCTGAACGACCTTGATTACGTATAGCAGCAACACAATTATATGTTCCATTGTGTTCTGTAGCAATATTAGATATTGTTAATGTTGTTGTTTTATTAAGACATGTTGAAGATGGCGATGATTCAGGATAAGATGAGAAACATGAGAAACGTATTGTATATGAACCAGCATGAATATCAGGTTCATTTACAGTTGATATAATCTTTCCGATAATTTTATTTTGATATGTCCACCACACATCAGGTGCTGGATCAGAGTAGACCTACACGAAAGATATTGCATTCTTTTTTTTTCACTTCTATTTAGAAAAATATTTTCAGTGGTGTAAAAAATAGTATTCTATAAGATAGTAAAACTTGGGACATACATAGTTAAATGCATGATTCAGATACTCATTTTCTCACATTTTAATCCTAAATGAATAGAATCTCTTTGAAACAGAGCATTGTTCCATCTAGTTTTTCAATATTTTCTGAAGTTAAAAAATCGTATTTAAGTATAGACAAAAAAAAGAAGCAAAGCTGTTCTCCATGCCCACAAATTAAGATTGAACCTATTGTTATCTTTAATAATGGCTCGAGTATTTGTCAATGTCTAAACAATCTACAGTGCTAATCGGTTTTTAGATCAACTCACATATTGTTCTGATAGAAGCAATTAGTCATATGAACAAAAAAAGAAAAGAATTAACAATTCTATGATAAGTTGTACGATTAAATACAGACTCTCACGTAAAAATACATGAGATCACATTCGTTTATTCCAATAGTTGGTATCTTTCTTAGATTATACTCTGATTGATACAGCTTGACAAATAATTCCCCTAAAATCATATAGTTTTTTTTTCATATTTAGTTTCATTTGGGACGACTTGTTTTCCTCTATTGGTTTTGCTAATCATAACTAAATGTTAGTCTTGTCTATGTCGAATCTCAATAGAATAGCTAAAAATCACAGCTACATAATTCTCATGATTATTGTAAGAACAACAATAAAATTATTAATTCTATGGAAAAAAAAACGCAAACATCATAGTTATCTCAGCTTTCTAATGGATGTTATCAACAGAACAACGATAAAAAGTCATTTGCTAATCATATAATATAGATGTTAAGGATTTGTGTACAACAATGTATTATTTAAATAACAGAAACATTTATTTGATCGATAAGAATAAATCGTAAACAACTTACATCACATCGAAGTGTTGCAACTTCACCAGTAGTTGCAATAAGTACAGTTAAATCAGGCTTCGATATGATCGGTCCACAAACAAATTGTTCATCACGTAGAGCAACAATTTTTTTATCTGCTAATGCTTTAGGCGTTTCACATTGTGGGTCATCATGATAAATAGGATATTCAACACGATGCAATGCATTACGTAACCAACGAAGACGACAATCACATTCTAACGTATTTGAACTTAATTTTAAATGAAAGTTATTTGGAAATGTTATATTATTCGTTAACGTTCTTAACATATTTGAATTTAAAAATAATTGTTTCAAATTTTTTAAATGATGAACTAATAACATATCAACATATTGCAGACGATTAGATGATAAATCAAGGTGTTGCAAACGAGGATATGCTCGAATATCTGCTAGTGCCAAACGATGAATTTGATTATTCGAAAGGGCAAGTTTTCTATATTTAAAAAAAAAGCCTGACGTTTTTGAAGAAAACAAAAACAAAAAACACTTACACAAGATTGCTATATTGATCATTCTCACTTCGAGGTATATGTTGAAGTTCATTATTTGATAAATCAAGATATTCAAGAGCGCGTTCAATCAACCCTAAAGCTCCATTTTCAATATGTCGTAATTTGCCATGTGTAACATATAAATATCGTAAATCAATCAATTGATAAACATTATTAGGCCCATAGGAGAATTGTAATAAACCATTCGATAAGCTACGTAATTCGTGATGAACAATTGTTAAATTTGTTATAATACCACCACGCCTTAATTTTAAATCTGATTGTGCATTAAGTTGCTCATGCATACATTGTTGATAAGTAATCAGTGAGTGGACATTAGTACAGAGCATTGTCATACCTGCTGCATCTAAACTACATGAACATGACATTGATTGACCATGTGCCATTTTAATCGATAGCATCGACGATAAATAAAAAGTAATTAAAAAAATGAATAATTTCATATAAGCATTCATCATAGGTTTGTACAATATAAAACTAAAAATATATAAATACACTTACATAATCGTCAATATATATATATATATATATATACATGCAAGCGATTTTGATCATAAAAAACATATATATATATATATATATATGTACTATCTACGGTATTAATCAAACTATGGCTGCAGACAAATAGATTATTTTTATTCTTTGCACGTAGTAATTAACTATTAGTTTCTGTCAATATTTATCATTGAAGTAAGAATATCAATAATTAATTCCTTCCTACGCTACTAATTTTTCTTATAGATGAAAATGACATAAACTAATTTTATGGATATTTGACAAAAAAAAGCATTTATCAATTTTTTGAGCAAATAGAAAAAAAATGAGTTCAATAAAAATCAAACATCTGAGCATTCATTCTTTTTCATGTGTCACGTAAACATGCTCATTTCTTTCCTGCATATGTATGTTTATATCGGCTGTTTTCATCTATCGATTGATAAGCTAGAGACACTAACATCATCATATACATACATACATTGGACAAATATGCCTACGGACCACATCAGACATGGGAATGCATACATCCTCATCATCAAAAAGGGGAAAATATTTCAGTTCAATTTTATCAAAATTCAATCCAAAATAATAATACGGTCACCATTCTCATGATTAGATTAGAAATTTAAAAAAAAAAAGAATAAATGACTCTTTTTGTCTTTTTATCAATAGTGACCATCTTGAGACGAGCGATTATTGTCTGCGCGTTGAAGTGACAAAAATAAGAATTAAATTCAATCATACGATTTAAAACACGAAACACGTATCAATCTATGCATATACTCACATGATATCGACCATTGATTTAATTCTATCAACATAATGATGTTCGATAGTTCATTCAATGTTGCTTTTTCATCTAAAATGAGAATTTACAAAAATACATGCGACATCGTATGACTGACGGAATGAAATTATCTTAGAGCAAAGCCAAAGAAATGGTCTTCCTTCTTTAACAGAAAAGGGACACCCTCATTCAATGTAAGAATGGGACACGAAGAAGGCAATTTTTTTTTCCTTCTCATTGATTGTATTCTCCAATGGACAACAGAATATAGAAGGATGTAGAAACATTGAACGACGAACATCGAGGAGAATAGAGAAAAAAAAGACGATCGAGGGCAATACCTCCGGGCGGGGTCAAAATACAGAACAACACTGTTTGATGGAGTGACGAGAAGAGAAGAGAGGCGATGTGAGAGGATATACAAAATTATCAATATGCGACAAACGGAAATTGTATTGAATATATGTTAAATACGAATAGGTTCGTCATTAACGGATACTTTTTTCTTAATTATGATGATCTCAATTAGTTTTCAATTTTAACATAAAAGACTAAAGTCAAACATAGAGAAACACATGAAAAATATAATGAGTAGCACTTGTGGCATCAGCAGCTAGTATTGTAATATTATTTCAGGTCGATCCATCAATAATAATGCCCTAGCGGATAGTATGCAAAGATTATCGTCTGTCTGTCTATCTATGCTATGGTACCAGATGGACATTACTGAGCATCGTCTGACACATAACTTAAAACACGAGAGTAGATTGAATTCAGATGTTGCCGATAGAAGAAGAAAAAATGAAATCAATTCTGAAGTGAGTACAAATGAAGAAGAAAAAAAACTATATAACATATTCGGTAGAAAGAAACAAGACAAACAAGATTCAAGCTATATTTTTTTTATGCAATAACGTAAGGTTCATTCGATCAATATCAAAGGAATTTTATTGCTGATGTAACGGATTTGTTTATCAGTAGAGATATAATGTTGTCAAGAATGCGATGAGTAAAGCAACCGTCAAGTCTCATTTTTCTTTCCTTCTTACAATAACACCGAATCAACTAGATGACATACGAGTAATCGTTCAGTAGGAAACGAACAGTCTTCTATGCCATTATGTAACAATCAACTAGTCTCATTGAAAAGAGAGACAGTGGAAATCGTCAGCAATACAAGAACATCACTATAGTGCGAATGAATAAAAGAAAAAGCGGTAAGCAATATAATACGCGCACGTATTCTTTTTCGCTTAAATAGAAACAAACGAGAACGCTTAATCATGTACAAACCATATTGCTGAACAAAAAAAAACAAGCCAAGCCGAATAGAACGACAAAGAAATTTTGGCAGCTATACTAATTGGTTCATATTTTCAAACAATGAAATTAATCATGGTGAAGATTGTAATTGAAATATTAATAAAATTAGCGAATGTATTTTGTTGAAAATAAAATCCTGTATTATTGTCCTTTAATGTATATATATATATATATAAACGTTGATTATTTGTTTTTACAGCGCCATCTGTAATATCATACAGAGCGTACACGTAACGTAAACTAAGTCGATATCATTTTATTTCAATGTATTTACAATATTGATCAAATATCAAAAATATAAAATATAAAATATGGTATTTTCTTTAAAACGAACATTGGGAGAAACATTATTTATTATATACGGCATTGTGCTGATTATTCTTATCCTTCTATCAGCATTTACATTTTTTCTTTTAAATCTGTGTTTGGCAACATTTATGATTTGGTTTATAATAACCACACTCGCATGGGCATTAGCGATAATTCCTATTTTAAAATTTATATTCTTACCTTGGTATCGTAAAAAATGTCGTTCATGGACAATCAATGAGCGACAAAGTCGTTTAAGTGTTGCTTTTTTTCATCCTTACTGTAATGATGGAGGTGGTGGTGAACGAGTTTTATGGACTGCTATTGAATCGATTCTTAAAAAATATAAAAATGATATTCAAATAATTATTTATACAGGTGATACAGATGCAACACCGGAGAAAATTCTCGATCGTGTTAAAGAACGCTTTGATATGAATATAAAAAGTTATGAATCGTCAATAACATTTGTTTACCTTCGAACTCGTTTTTTTGTCGAAGCAAAATATTATAAAATGTTTACGTTATTAGGACAAAGTGTTGGTTCAATGATTTTAGGTTTAGAAGCATTAATACGTTTTATACCTGATATTTATATTGATTCAATGGGTTATTCATTTACATATCCAATATTTTATTATTTAGCATCGATACCAATTTTTGCCTATGTACATTATCCAACAATAAGTACAGATATGCTTGAACAAGTGAAAGAACGTCGACCAACTTACAATAATCGTCGGTTAATAGCTAATAGTTCAAATGTTAGTCAAATAAAATTAATCTATTATCGAATATTTGCATATCTTTATGGTTGGTGTGGTCGATGTGCTCAAATGGCATATTGTAATTCAACATGGACACAAGGACATGTTCAACATATATGGAAATTACCATTGAATTCAATTCATCTTGTTTATCCACCGTGTGATGTTAAAAAATTTTTATTAATGCCATTAGTTAATGATGACGAACAAATAATGAAAACAATTGTATCTATTGGACAATTTCGACCAGAAAAGGATCATGAATTACAAATTCGATCTTTTCATGAACTTTTACAAAGGTATATTTGATTTTTTTTAAATTTAAACAATAATGAATCCTACAAAATTTGTTTGATTTTTAGACTACCTGAACATCGTCAAAAATTACGATTAGTATTGATTGGCAGTGCAAGACATGAAGATGATAAACAACGTGTTGAAAAATTGCGAACACTTGTTGAGAATTTAAATATGAATGAAGAAGTCGAATTTAAACTAAATATTAATTTTTCGGAACTTAAAAATCATCTAAATAAAGCAATGATTGGATTACATACAATGTGGAATGAACATTTTGGAATAGGTTTAACGAATGAATTTATTTTATTAATCGTTTTTAATGAATAAATTGTTTTATCTAATTTTAGGTATTGTAGAAATGATGGCTGCTGGTACTATTGTTCTTGCACATAAATCTGGTGGTCCAAAAATGGATATTATTGATGAAGGTCAAACTGGTTTTCTTGCTTCTGATATTGATTCGTATGCAACTGCGATGCGTCTAATATTAGAAATGACAATTGAAGAGAGAAAAAAAATACGTGAACGTGCACGTGAAAGTGTTGATCGATTTAGTACAATGAGTTTTGAAAAAAAATTTATGGAACCACTTAATAAAATTTTATCGAAGTGAAGAAAATTTTTCTTTATAGTTGTTTTGGTTCTTTGGTTTTATTTTTTGCGTCAAAAGAAAAGAAAAAGTATAGAATTACTATTTTTTATTCGATTTCCTGTCAATGTTTCACAGTACAATATGGAAAGTATTTCGGAAATCGAAGTGCAAAAGTAATATTGAATTGTTAATTTGTTCAAGTTGAAAGAATATAATTTTAAAGTGTTCTAACGTAAGCGAGATGTCAATAAAAGGCTTGTATTCATATTTGAAATGGAACGTGCATTTTAGTGAAATCTGACTTCCAGTAATCATTATGATAAATGTTGGAAAATATTCATGGTTGGAAAAATTTCTGTATTGAATAATCTCATTCATTTTCTTATCAAACACTTGAAATTCTAATGTATGTCTAAGTACTTACATTGAATAAAAGGATGATCACCTTGATTTCAGTATTTTACCTGACGTATAATCTAATGTTGATTTCCGACTAGTCTTTTCTTCGTGTTATTTTCTACAACAGTATTCATCGGTGGATCAAACGCAAACACTCATTTTCACAATGAAATTAATATGAAGCTTTGATTGAAGACAAAATTGATGTAAAGAGATCAGTTAGTTTCGGAACGAGCAATTTATATATTTCAACTAATACAATGATCCATTTGCCAATTATGTTAGAACCATTTACAGCAAGATTTCACTTGATCAAGATACATGACTATTGAGATAATTTCTGTCTAACGTATTTTTTAGATAATTTGGTATTGACTGGTAAGACATAAAGGATAGACTTATGTCTAATGTTCGTTCTTGATTTTTCTTCTTAACAAGCTTTGAAATAATACTCGTATCTGACTGATAGAAGTCCGTTTTGTCGATACACGGATAAAATTTGCATCGCTGACAAAACTTTTTCTCCAGTTTTTTTTTTGGGAATGAGTTGAACAAGAAATTATATTTTAAATGATTTCACATTCTATCTCAACGATGAGAAAAAGAATTTGGTGCGAGCAACGAATTTATTTTTATTTGGTTAGAAATCTTGGATTTGCTGAAATTCTTAAAACTTGAATTTAAGCAAGTTCAGCGTTGAAAGTGATTATCGCCTGGTTGAAAACGTTTACTGAGCCAATATAGAGAAAATATTGGCAAACAAGCATCCGAACAAAGAGACAAATTCGATTGCATTACATTCTATATTCATAATTAAGGTCGAGTAGCTGGATGAATCAATAGTAAAAACTTCGCTGGAATAAATAGATTTGATCTTTATAGGGCATGACATATGCTTGTGAGTTTCTTCTAGCTTCTTCGAAGTATATCTTATTCGATGTCAGAGATTTGAATGTGTTTTTGAGCGTGATAATTTTTCTGAATCATCGTTATTTTTTAGTCGACTTCAAAATCTATGAGGAAAATCAACATTCTTCGCTTCACTGTATTTCTTAGCGCTTATTTATACAACGAGTAGCTATTTCTTTTTTTTTATTCGAAAAAGTTTTACATTGAATATTTTGATAACTTTTTAATTTTATCAGTATCTTTGATGACAAATAGATTTGAAACTAAGTTGAATTTTCCTTCATTCTACGTAGAACTCTATTTGAAGGTAATGCAATGTAAAAGAAATATGCGAAATTAGAAAAACAACATAAACTATAGATTCAATAAAACCTTACTTATTGATTAGCGGACTTCATCCGTGTGCAACACTACTGTTTCAGTCTCTTTTTCTTATCTAAAATTAATTAAAAAAAAGAACTAAATAAAATCAAATGAAACATTAGGCGGAATATCTTTCGAAACATCAAAAAATTTTCTTTTTGTTCTTTTCATACAATATTGATCGTTAAATAAACTTTGAAGTATCAATGAAAATAAGAAATATCATTCTGACCAACAGATGGCCAAAAACGAATAATATTACGTGTGAAACCGTTACGAATCAATGTCGACAGACACATTTACGAGCGAATATAGTGTGTGCTGAGCAAACATAAATTATCATTGGTTATTGCTTATCAATTTTCTATGATCTGTTCCGCCATACGTCCTTTTCTCTCTGTGCAATACTCCTTTCCTATTTTCTAACTCTGTTTTTTTTAAATATTGTTTTTCTAGAGAAAGACAACTAAACTGTTTTCATTTAGAATAAATTTACATAGTTCGAGTTCGATATATTTTATGACATTGTACTATCAGTAGATATTGTAATAGGCATTAGCTAATATGTCGAATGAGAATCGAAAGCGAGAAGGAGAGAAGCAAATATGAAATGATTTACCTGATGTTATATGATTTATGTGAGCCAACAGAAAAGAAAAACGAGATAGCTGACCAATGATATTTCTTTTATTCATCAAATTTCTTTCTCTTATCATTTATACACATAGAAAATTAATCATATGAAAATCTCAAGTGTTCTCTCTAGCAGCCATCATTCCTCAATATGTTCTTTCTGTTTGCTATAACGACAATAAGAGTTTGTTAGTTGCTACTCAAAACGGTAGTTAAAAAGTGATATTTATTGACTAACGTTTGTTTTTTCCCTATTTCAACGATCGCATTAAAAAAATGGACGGTACGACGTCCGCTGTAAATTATCTTTTCTCACCAACGCCTAACGATTATTACGATCATCATTCGCTTCAACCTACACAACCATTAGGCAACTTACATTACTATCAATCAGATCCTACCGATTGTTTTTATGACCATCAAAAAGCTGACTTTCAGTCTGCACCTGCTTATGTTTATCATCCTACACAACAACCACCTTTTGGATATGGCTCATCTATATACGATATGCAATCTTCTCAGCCGTTTGTCCAAGAATCTAATATACTTCTTTTGCAAAATCAACCCCGATTACCTCCCGTTTATGAATTGCCGCTTTCGTCTCATAATCCACAGTCCACATCTTCGCAAGCAAAAGTTTTTAAAAGAGAAATTGACGAGACAGCATCAACAACTGAAAAAAATCATGTATATGAATGGATGAAAGGTAGGTTCAAAAAGAAAAAGTCAGCAAAAATGAGCTGTTATAAAAACGAATCAATTGCTTTTGGAAAAGTAAATAATCGTTTTTTTTTCTTTTGTTTGCTTTAGGAGATCAAATTCGACGGAAACATCGACAAGTTTATACACGTGCCCAGACATTCGAATTAGAAAAAGAATATCGTTTCAGCCAATATCTAACACGTAAGCGACGATCAGAAATTGCTGGTGGAATTCAGCTGACCGATCGACAAGTTAAAATTTGGTAGGAGATTTATTTAAAAATGAAAAAAAAAACAAGAACTTCTAAATCGATTGTTTTTTCTTTGAATATTTGATTAGGTTTCAAAATAGAAGAATGAAAGAGAAAAGAGAAAATCTCAAATTTAATAATGGAACATCATCAATACCGAAGCAACGTAATGACTTTATTTCGTAAAAATAACGATTGTGATATCTGTAATTTTTTATATGGCAAGATAATTTTTTTTTGTTTCTCCAAGAATAAACTAATGTTAGAAATTCGAAATGATTTCTACGAAAATTTGGACACTCATATAAAAGTGCATGATGAGATAGATTAAAGAGAAAATTCCAGAAGTTTTGTCAAGACTACAAGTGGAAAACTGTTTGTTGTATAGAGAATAATTTCAGGATAAATTTTATAACTATCACAGAAAATTTTGAAGTCAATTTTTCGTTTCTTATAATTTTTTTTTTTCAAACTGATAGTACGTCATTCTTGTCCATTGAGACTAAAAATGATTTATCAAACAAAGGAGAGATTTCAAGTGGGCACGTAGAAAAAGGGAGTAGGCAGTTTGAGACCTTCTTATTGACATCCACTCTTGGATTTATGATGGCACTTTGATTGATTGGGATAGATTCATAATGTAATTCTCTATCGAGCACCGTTATTTTCAACGGTGACCATTGAGTGAAAATAACGGTTTCTATTACTTTCAATTGTTGAATGATGATTACTGAGTTGCATTTAATTTAGCGAAGTTCTTGTCTCTGAGTTTGACTAGCAAAAAAACATAGGCTTTGATCAAAAGCGTGCGAAATATATTGTACCTTACATACTTTTGCAAAAAATGATGAGAGTAAGCTAAAAAGTTAAATAGAACAAAAAGTTTGTGACAAATGATCGTTTGACGACTTGTATCAATGCGAACAACGTTAGTGTTGGATAGTGTAATGAAACGTATTGATTAGAAAGGAGATCTTCTATATCCTATAGATAACATTCTTACAAACTCAATTCGTACAAGGAGTCCTGATGCTCTTTAAATAATTACCAATGCATCGATGTTACTACCGTTGACCACAATTGAAGATTTGGAGCTGTTCGATATGTAAGCTTGATATTTCTTTTTAGTTTTGTTTATTACTTTACTAGTCATGATATCTAGGCATGCTGCTGTTTTTTGAAGAGATATTTAACTGCAAGAAAATATGCAAGCATGGTTGACCTAGAAATTTGAGTTTGCAGAATACCGAGAAAGTAAGATATGGGAAAAAATGAAAGATGTCACTAACCAAAAATATAATTTTTTCATTCTATTGGATAATATATGAGTCATACCATTAATTTGTCAATGGGTATTTCTGTAGTAAATGTTTCTTCATGAACGCAAAGGTAGATGTAGGTTCTAAGTGATGTTTTCTCTATATCGACGAGTATTTTTTTCTATTTAATTATTCTTCCTTACCCTCAGGCAGTACTGTATCACATGTACGGAGAGTGTGGGTGTAGAATGACTATAGATAATTTCCAAAACTTTTCGTGACTAGTTTAAACTTTTGGGAGTACTGCTTCCTCAGTCAGGGCATAAAGCATTTCGCCCAATGATCTCCATTTTGAATGGAGTGATGTCATAATATCCTTACACCCGGTAACGACTTATTAGCACAAACACACTACACTATCCACATTAGGTGCATCCACTTTTGGGTATCCGAATTTGGGTATCCACATTAAGTGTNTATACATAAATGTCGATATCCAAATGTGGATACCCAAATGTGGATACCCAAATGTGGATACCCAAAAGTGGATACCCTTAATGTGGTTACATCAGATTGTAGATGCACTAAGAATGGATACTCCATAAATTATTGCTGTGTAGGGTATTGTGACGTAAAACTCTCGATACCGAGTGTAAAGGTATTATGACATCTGTGTTTGAATGATACTATGTGATCGCAGACAAAGTGCTGCAGCAGTGATCTTATTCTAAAATTCTAGAATTCTAGAATTTCATAATAGGGCCACGTCTCACTATTAATCAGAATTATCTACTTTGTCAAAGAATTTCTCAGAACTAGTTCTTTCTCTTTGCGTATGCAAAGTTTTATTCTAATTCATAGTTCATTAACTCAAACCTTTCTAATCATGTTTATAAGTTTACTTGATTAAGTAGATTCATCATTCGAGTAAGTATATAAAGCGTTTGATTTAATTGATGCAAAAAATGTCTTTTTTCTCTAAAAAAAGTTAAATATGGATTGAATTTTCGGCTAAATAAATTGCTTGAATTAATATTAAATTATTCTGTGAAGGCTGATTTTAAGGGATTCATACTGTTACTACCCAGAACGAACAATCCGATACCTGGATCCAACCAAACTCGATCGGATTTCGACCGGTTCCTGCAGGATTCTAAGCAAATCCGGGTTGCGGACCCACTCACGGATCTCTAGTGTTGGAATCCGATCGATTCTTGCAGGAACTAGTGAAAACCCGACAGATTTCTGTAGGACCTCGTCGGAATCCGACTTCTAAAATTTCTATCGAATTCGGCTGTTGGATTTGATCGGATGTTCACCGGATTCCAACACTAGGAATCCGTTAGTAGTTCCTCAACCCGGAATCTCATGGGACTTTGTCGGCTCGTCGGATTTTATAAGATCCGATCGGATTCATTCGCCTGAGTAGCTGATATCATACAGGCTCTCTAGTTCTCAAAATTATGAACAATCGAAAACTCAGTGTTTACATTGCAAGGCTTTTGAAGTAAGGTATATCAGTTTCGAGTTCATGTTGGCAATTCAGTTGTATTAAGTTCTATTAATATTTGAAGAATAATTTTTCTTTTATATCTTTCTGAATAAACGAGATCAGTTATTCTAGACTTCGGAAAGTTCCGAAAAGATTCTGATATGAGTAACTGCTTTTAAGCTGCATAGATTTCTAATGTTTTTTCTGTCGAAGAAGGCTGTCATTTCTGACCTGAGAATATGTATGTGATAGGCTGTACTTTCAGAGAAAACTAGAACACGAACCAGTTATTGTAAAAGTTTTTTGTATTTAAAATAGACACCATTTTAGATAAAGACTATGGCAGAATCTATTTGTTCATGCTGCAAACTTCTGGGAAAACCTCCAGGTCAAATAAATTTTATCATCACAACAGGCGTACCGCACAGCTTGGTGTATGATCGTATCGAATATTTACTTTCAAATTATTCAGATACATCTTCATACACAAATGATGCTTGTCTGACAAGTTATGAAACATTGATTAGTCTTAGTGATCGAATATTTAATATTAATAAACATCTATCCGACCAATCGACATCAACTGCCACACATAGATGTTGTAATGGATTCAATACAATACCAATTGATATTGATGATATATCAAATCTTTCACAACTGGATACATTCCGAAAAACTATTCTTGAACTATTAGACCCAACCAATAAAGAAAAACCTAAAGTATCAAGTTGGATTATGTTGCATGGATCAATTTGTTTAGAACCGGCCTTCCTAGACATATTTATTGAACTCAGTAATTTCAAACCATTATTATTAAGTTTCACGTTTACTACACTTTGTTTTCTTGTCAACGAAGAAAGACTCTTCCAAAATTGGCTTTTTCAAAGCCTATCGATTCAAGATTATCAATCACATACTTATCCTGAGTACGATCATCGACTAAAGAGTTTCTTTTCATTATTGAATTCATCAAAATATCTTCAAGAAAATACATTACTTGTTGAAGAACAAATTGTCTCAACTGATAGTACGCTTCAGACATTGTTGCAAGGTATTTTCCGTAATGAATCATCAAAGTATGGAGCAAATAATGACAAACTTCGTTTTGATATGGCAAAACTACTATTACCATCCCGACGAACGGTACGTGACATACGTGATATTCGACAAAATTTACAAGGTTCTTACCATCGAATTGTCTCGAATCGATTAGAACCAATTTTTAACGACCTTCAGAATTCAGCTACAGCTACAAATGCTGCTCGTCAAATCGTTCGTATTGTTCTTGACGACTTCAAACGTATGAACGACGAAGAACTACGCGTTTATAGAAGACAAATGACCCTTGGATTTAATAACCATGGTACAAAACATACAAATACAATTGCTGCTCAATTAGTTCACTATGCTCTGCATTTACTTAGAAATAATAATGATGATACTCTAACACCCCTTATCTATGCTATCATTTTAGTTATATGCGTATTAGGTTCTCATTTTTTCTTTCGGCATGAATTATTTAATCATACTCCTGAAATATACACATTGAGTTTATTACTAGTCAATCAACGACACTATCCATTAACCTTAGCTGGTCTTCGTCTTTGCAAAACTATTCTAAATGGTGATCAAAACGAACATAAATATGCAATTACTTATTTAACTCATGATGCCTTAACAGCGCGCAAAATTTTAGATGCAATCAAATGGATTTTATCTCCATATCAAACTCTTAATATCTTATGGCGAGAAGAAGACGAAGAAGAAGAAAATCCCGATGATTCTAAGTGAGTACAATTATCTATTGTAATATATCAACAATAAGTTAATTCTTTTCTTCGCTATCAGATCAACTGAAGAAAAATCCACGCTACATATTGCAGAACGCTGTTGTTTTCGTCATGCTACCATTCTCGTTGAACGATCGTTTATACGCAGTTTAGCATCGTTATTTTATGGTTCAGCAGATCATTGTATACAAGTGACAGTAGACGATGTCGATAGCTTCGTTGAAGTTATGAATGTTTTAGTTGAGCCTCGCATTGCTTGTATTAGTCATGGCAAAAATAGACTTTGTTCAAGTTTGTTTCTTGTAAGTGAAATATGTGCTCTTTTAATGCCCATTCTTCTTCACGGAAAACCATTAGTTAGTTTGGCATTACAAAATGAAAATGCTTTATTACTAACTATACCCAGAGCTATTCTAGGTTTGCTCAAAACAAGCAATATTGATGAAGATATTATCAATACGTGCATTCGTTTCTATGTGCAACTGGTTCAATCAAAATGCGAACAAGATAAACAAGAAGATAATTCAGAAGATAGTGAAGAAATGCAAACATGTACAGTTGAAGCAATTGAACAGAGTGTTGACGCATTTGCTCCTTTAAATCTTTCGAAAAATTTAATTTCATCATATTTTGACTTGAATAAAAAAATCCAAAAAATAGGTTTACTTGATGAAAAATCTGCGCAACAAGAACATATTCAAACATTATTTAATGATGAATGGAAAAAATTGGAGATTCTTGAACTTCAACATGATTTTAAACAACTTAAACATGAACAAACCTTACTGAATGAGGAACTATTGAAATTAAGAAATGAATTGCAACGAACTCAATTAGAGAGAGATCAATTTAGAAAAGAGAATACAAGAATGTCTCAAGAAATCGATAATCTTAAACAAGTGCCAATGACTAATAAAACTATTGAATTAAAACAGATATCAACGGCAACGGCCGTTGATATCTGTAATCAAAATAATACGATAGATGAATTAGAAAATCGAGCGCCACATGAAGCCACTAGTGAACAAGCAGAAAAATTTATTCGAGAAATTTATCATCGACGAACAACATTCAATGATAATGATATGAGAAAATCTATTTGCGGCTCATTGAAACATCTTGGTTCTGATCTCTATAGTTCACCTGTACATTTTTTACATGAACTCATTCAGGTTATTATCTTTGTTTATTCTCATTCGCTCAATTGTTGTTGTTGTTGTTGTTTTTTCTATTCATAGAATGCTGAAGATAACTTTTACGATGCCACAGTTATGCCATGTTTACGTATTGAACTTAATCATACTTATATACTTTTATCAAACAATGAGAAAGGTCTTCGAGCAAAAGATGTATTAGCTATTTGTAGTTTAGCTGTAACTACGAAGACAAGTGAAAAACAAGAACACATTGGTGAAAAAGGTGTCGGTTTTAAATCTGTGTTTGCTGCTTCAAATCAGCCCATGCTTATTTCACATGCTTGGCAATTTCATTTTCAAGTACCAGGTATTGATGCTATGTCATATATAACTCCATTATGGATAACAGATCAAGATATTCCAAAGTGTATATCTAATCACATTACCACAGCCGCACAACATACTCATCTTTATTTACCACTCAAATTACAAGCTTATACAGCTGAAGCTAAAATTTTTCTTGACCAAGTTATCAAAGCTGTAGATCCATGTATTTTACTTAATATGCGTCAATTGAAAAAACTTGAAATTGTTGATCAAAGAGACAATAAAGTAACAACGATCGAAAAACAAATCATCGGCCCAACAAAATTAGCAGAACAAGCAAATGTAATATTTGAAGATTTTACATTTCTTAATCTTACAGGATCTATTATTCGATTACATACGACAGTAGGATACAATACATTTCGTGTGTATACTTGCTACATCGATGTACCAAACTCAATTGAACAGCGAGGCTCTCCAATAACACGACTTATTATTGCATTTCCTTGCGAACATAATTATAATTTAACAAGTACAGTTTATACAGGTTTACCTGTTTGTGATCTTGGTTTTAATTTTTTATTCAATGCTGATTTTCAATTGGTTACTAATCGAGAAAATGTCCGAGAAAACGTCCGATTCAATACATTTATTCGTGATCATCTATCAGCACTTTTTGTCTATCTCTTACTCAATGATACAGATTTAAGACAAGATAGTAACCGATTCTGTCCAACATCAAATACACATCTAGGAAAAAATTCATCATGGTGGCACGTCATGATTGATAATATTGATGAATTAATAACTAGACATCTTTCAATATTATTTGATATTGAAAAAGGTAAGTGAATATATTGCATTTGCATTCTAAAATTATTATTAATAATACATATGTTTAGGTAAAAAGATTCGTTATTTAAATAAAGATTTAGCCTCACTTGTATCCAATGAACAATTAGATAATTGTGCTAATATTTATGTGGTCGATCCAGAAAATTCATTTTTTACATTGGAACGTTTAAAATCTTTTCAAGTTCAATCAGTAACAATTATAGATATTTTAAATTGTTTTCCACGTCGAGATGAAACATCTGTAGATGAATTTCGTCAACAATTTCGATTATGGGCTCAAAAACAAGATGAACAATGGTGGTGTCAACTTTTTTATCATTTAACTCAAATCAAGCCATCGGAAATTGCTAATAATATCTTAGAAATATCAATTTTTCTCCTCGAAAATGATCATCAAAGACAATATTTAACAAATAAAAATTTACTTCTCTTCATTAGTGATCATCCGCAATTGCGAATGTGGAAAAGACAACTTACACTTTTACATTATTCATCGAAATCAGAAAGAACTGCACTTCTCGCATCAACTCATGTACAACTTCTTACCGAAGAACGAATGATTGAGATTATTCGTCAGCATCATATAGAATTAACCGTTTCATCTGCAGTTAATACTTCCGATATTAAATTAATCGAAGAGATATGGGAAGATCTATCCTATTTAAAAGTTCATGTAGAAAGATTAGATAAATCTATTCCATTTCTTGTACCAGTCCTGGGAACATCAAGTCTTACTTCAATTCAAAACGCAGTATTACCTTCACTGTTCGGAATCGATATTCGATCTTTTATGCATCCAACAAGTTCATCGACCATTATGTTTCCCTATCATAATATTTCTCATTATCATCTGTTTGATATTCTTCAATGGGAATATTTTCTATTGGAAATGGGCTGTCAACGAGCATCAATTTATCTTCCAGAAGCTCATTCCATTACGGAATTACCACTATTACCAATATTAGCAATGTTTAGCGATAAAAAATATGCTCGACTAGGAGAACTAATTCTTTCATATCAAAATCAAAATACAAAAGATTGTCTTAGTCAATTTCCAATGATTGATAATTCAAAAGTCGAACAACAAATAAGTCGTGTTTCAGCTACATTTGATGAAATAATTGTTCATGATCTACCATCTTTACCACGCATCACTATTCCATCGTATGGTCATGTATTAGCAAAAAATCTTGGCATTTGTGTTGAATATGACCTTCGTACATGTGTAACTATATTACAATTATTAAGCAATGAAAAAAATACAAATATTGACTTGTATATTAAATGGTTAAGTCATTTACAATTGTATGTTAACCAACAACATACTGAATCGAATTCAAATGCTATACTCCTATCGTGTCAATTGTATTTTCCTGATCAACAAAATTTCTATGCATTAAACGATCTTTTTATTATATCGAATCACGAAGAACATCACAATGGTACTGCAGTTGTTTCAAAATATCTTAAACTACAACTAATTTCACCATTAATTAATCAAATCTATTGGCAATTTAAAGATCTATTTTGTTATCTAGGTTGCTTATCCACATCGACAATAAATATTAAGCATATTTGTACTACAATATATTTGGCAAGCCGTGATAAAGATAATTTTTTTCCATTGGGCAATTGTGCGACAACTCTAACAGAGAATGGTATGGAAATGATGATTACTCTATATCAATATCTCGAAGGTTTAATATTAAGATGTGTCCAAAAAAATTCGTCAGACACTGATTTATATCGTACAATTGTAACAAATAAACATCCAATAGCAACATACGGTAGTCGAGAAGATTTAGAATGGCGTTTTAGTTTTACGTGTAATTCCTTATCAGAACGATTAAAAAACTTGACTGGCATCCAATTGCAACGAAAGAAAATCGGTCTTCTTACAATTAATCGACGAATTATAACAAAAACATTTAATGCAATTATTTACGCATGTTTAGAAACGAAAATTATTCATGATTTATCACAAGACGTTGATAAACGTCATTTTATTTTACCGTTGATTGCTCGTACATGTCCATTAGTAGTAGCATCGTTTGGTATTGATTATATTGAACGGCGTAGTAAAATTCTATGGACACATGAAAATCATAATCTTGAGTTTACTCTCAAACAATTAAGCGACATATTTCGTCACACTCTTAATGATCCAAACATAGAAGTAATCACAGCCAAATATGCCAATGTAACTCTTCTTCTATCCGATTCATGTATAATCGACACAATCGATGAAAACAATGAAAATGAAATCAATAAGTATAGGGTAGGTAGGGATTATCCTTTTTGGATATTTAATCAAACAATATTTCTTTGTACTGGCTATGTAAAAGATGATACGTCAAAAGCAATTATTGCAATTTATGCTTTAACAACTCTATTGCATAAACGAAAGCATGTACCATTTGACGAAGCTAAATCAATTGCTCAACAAAAAATAAGTACATGTACAGCATTTCGTTCTGAACACATTTCAAATGTTGCTAGTACAGATTCAACGACCTATTCATATATTGATTTACTCTTTCCGACGGATCATCATTCTATTGAATCAATGATTATATCCATAGGAAAATATTGTACTATTGAACAAGATCTTGAAAAAGTTACCATGACTACAATTGCAACTAATCGAGTTGCTGACGATGAAATGTATAGAAATCGAGTGAAAACATTGAATCATTTTCATCAAAATGTGAAAACGACTACGATTTGGAAAGATCCATTGATTGTCGATGGGATCGAACGAATTCGTATTGGTCAATATGCAGAACATTTCTTTTTTGTCTATCTACAAAATCTTTATGGTCCAATAAACGTAACACAGATAAACAACTGGCGTTCGTCATCACGTCTGGCTATTTATCCACAATATAGACGTCATGTAGATGATTCAGCTGGTTATGATTTTGAACTGCAAGATACACAACAACTCTTTGCTCCTGGTTCAGGATCAACAACAAAACATTGCTATTTTGAAGTCAAAGGAACTAGTGGATCATTTAGTGAAAATCATACCCGCTTTAATATCTCTCAAAATGAATTAAATGTGTGTCAATCTATTGTAAACGATCGGAACAGACGAGATAATGAAGCATATTTTATTGTCATTATAGAAAATTGTCTTGATGCTGAAAAAATCTCTTTCGGCACTGTTATTAATTGGTAGGATATATTGCATATTCATCTATTTATGATTAGTTTTCTTCATATCTTAAAATCAGTTTTTGCTTTCTCATAGGAGTCAAAATTTTCGTCAGTTGCAGGTCATTCCTGATAGCTATCAGTGTAAAGTTATTTCCTCGTCGTCAACAAACTCTAATGATTTCAGAAGCGAAGATGCTAGAGGTTATAATAATCGCCAGCAACAAGAACCAACGAGACCACGTGATAATAGATCTAACTATTCCACAACTCAATTTGCACCGATAAACAATAGTAATTCAGCGTCGAATGATTATGCTTCATCAAATCGCTATGATCAACAGCAACAACGAACAACGTATCGAGGGAGAGGTGGCAATAAATCTACATATACTCGACAGAATTATAATAGAAAGTGAAATCATATTTTCCTATTATTTTTGATAAAATTAATTTTTTTAATTTTCAATAAAGAAACAAAATTTAGAGAGAAAATATATCTTTTTTTTTCAGAAAAGTACTAGTGAAATATTTGAAAAGTTATGTATTCACTGAATCATGTAAGTACTTGGTGTTAAATTGAAAAATTTGATTGCCGTTTATAAAAGCTTTTCCAATAGTTTTACCTAGATAACTCATGCAAAACTTTGTTCTAAAAAGAAAATAGGTCTATAGACAACCATTGTACTTAACTGTCATTGATAAGATTTCTATGGTTTACTTATTACATTCGATTATTAAAAGGAAAGTCCAGAACTGGTAAAATTCTTCTCCTAAAGCAGACGTAGATGATTTATGTATGCGTATTTGAGCAGATCATTCACAATCATAATGGTATTTATATCATTTTAATAGAAAACAGTATCAGCACAGACAACATAATCATTATTGAATAATTTAACTTCATGAACACAATTTTTAATTCAAAATTCATTCTCAACAATATCACCGTACAAGTTGTTATCTATAGATTTTGTAAGGATATTTTTGTTTTAGAAATCATATGATAATCATCGTCATCTACATATATTTTGAAAAGAAAGTTTTTAATATTATTCCTGTCATATTCTTTGATTATCGAATTCTTCCTTATTACTAACCGCCGATTTGATGACGATAAAACATTTCGTTGATGATTGTCATCAACGTGACTTGCATTCTAAAAAAAATAGCTAGTATCTAAAAAAAACACTTCTCATGATTTCTTTATTTTACATTAGATGTAACTGTTCAATTAATATGTTTCCTATTAAAAAAAAAATCATCAATCAAATGAAAATGTGTTGATGTATGAATTTAAAAACCATTTTATGAATTTTAATCTATATTTCAAATAACATGTTCATCATATTTTTCTCACGTGGATATTTCTGTTTTCATGGAAACCACTTTATCGAGGTAGACCCTTTAAAATTAACAGTTCATCAATACTTCCACCTTTCTTCGTGTCTTATCTTCATTAGTATAAATAGCTTTCTATAATAAGAACTCTTACGATGAGAACTATTCGTGTGAGCAACTCGATATATTTTCTATCATTTTAAATGTATTCAAAAAAAAGTAAAACAATATCACATTAAGAAGTATTTCTAGAAAGTTGATCAATAATGCCAAAGACGATTGTGTAATTTCAATAAATAAAATAGTTATGGCTAGTGTCAGAATCATTAAGAATAACAAATTATCTCATAAAAATACTATAATCATTACTGTAGAATGATTTAACTTTTCCTTGTCTTGTAGAACATGTGCCATTAAATAATGATAATCGAGCGTCATGCCGTTGCTTGCACCGGTTGCTATTTTCCTTAATTCTTCCGTACTATTATTTGTTTACAAAATTCTTGATGATATGACCCATTCATCTTGTTAATCGAGTTACATATATATATAGGATGAGAGATTGCTTGCAAACATACACATGCATGCTTACAATCATATATAACAATAGCACAATCCGTATGATCCATTGATCGTTCCAAATAAAGATTCGAACATATTTATCATCATTTTTACGGATGTTTATTGTCAAATGGCTCATTTGCAACTTAGTGTCGTTTTCTCTTTTTCTCGTTTTTATACATACACAAAAACCAATCAAAGTTTACATTGAATACGACTAGACAACGAGCACAGTCGCGTCTTTCTTTCATCATCTTACAGATAATCTTACTTTCTTCTGAAACTATCAGCCCGAGGGCTGCCGATTGTGTTTGACCCGGAACAAGAATAGTTGGTTGCTTATTTTCTCGTGTAATTGGATACAGCGAAGAACACAAATTACTAGATCGTTATATATCCATATCAATATTATTGAATCGAAAAAAAAAGTGAAGAGAAAGGTGCCGACTGTATCCTAATTCGACATGCCGACAAACGTGTTTTGTTTGTCGGGACGAACAAATCATTAGCGTTGTTCACGATTGATAGAAGCCATGAGTCAGTTGCAAAGTGACGATGAGAAATGTATCTATCTATTTCACACTATCACTTCATAGTTTACACGCCGCGCATTATTATTTATTGTTCCATTAGAGACACAGTGTGAAAACAATGAACAATATATCCTAATTTATTTTGTACTAAATAATATTGTTTTGTTTTGCAAGTCAAATCTTCTTTTCTTCTAGTTGATGATTTAAGCATTATCAATTTGTTTGCGTCAGATATTTCAAAAAGAAAAGAAAAAGAAAATTATATACACATCTGATTTCATTCACATTCATTGATGATTTCTTTTCATATAAATCCCTTGTCGATCAAATGATGATCATTTGAATTTTTTTTTTCTAAATATTTAACCGTTTGCCGACTTAAATTTCGTAACGGCGTCGGCATTAACAATGCAAAAAAAAAGTCCAAAGAAACAGCTCATCTTTCTCTTATTAATCAATAACGATCGATACATTGATGTTTTCAACACGTGTCTTCTTCACAACACATTTATCTTGAGACGAAGAGAGAACAAGTGTTATTTTGACATTTTCTATCAAGTGAGAAAGTCTATCTACGTACATGCATACACATATATAAATACCTACTCAATTTTCGAGATCAAAAGCTCAAATTAAAATAGACAAAAAATAAAATCATTTTTTGAAGAGAGTGAAAACGAAAGAAAATGTACCACATGTATCCAGCTGGCTTTTTATAAAAATTCTCTAATGAAGAGATATACGCGTGGATGGCAAGCAAAAATAATGACGTTTCGCTTGTCTGCCACTATAACTAAATATCAACAATGAATATGAGGGGAAAAAAGATTGAGAAAGAGAAAATAATGATACTGTAAAAGCGGTGTGTCTCTTCAAATGTCATCGACTCAATTTGTTCTCTTGCAGTATGTGTTGCAAAGTACCGTATGGTAACTAGTAAATGATATTTGATCGTCTTCATCACATTATATACTCTTTCGGCCAATATATACATATTCATGTATACAAGGTTTGTGAGAGAGTCGATCAACGGCATTGATAGACTGGTTATTTTGTTTTTGCCTTTCATGAAATGTCCAAAGACAGTCTATGATAATCAAATGTAAAGACAAATCTACCGAATTCTCAACATGATTGTAACATCATTTGCTATCAAGATATTCTCGAATGTTTACGATTCGTTAGCGTAGAATCTTCTTCGGCAATTAATTCTAGCAACATTATTGTAATCTTTTTTATCTGAATTCTTTTAGAAGTAATCGTTTTTATACACGATCTGATAATCTTAGCTGTTTGAAAAGCATCTGTTCATTCAAAAGTCTATATTGTCAATCACAAATTTAGTTTGAATGATTGTATATTCTTATGCACGCAGAAATGAATTGAAATCTAGGCAGTGTTTCAACTTCGTATCGATTCATGGTTGTTTAACGTCATATTAAGCGTATATAGCTGAAAAGGTTATTTCAACTAAGTTTCAAAAAATCACTAAAGATGTGCTGCAATCTTTGTTAGGCTCTACCAGTTGAAATTAATAATTCAGGTTGTTTTTAAATGTATCTGTTTGAAAAAGCTTAGAAGTCGGTATTTGACGTAAGGTTTTCTTCAGTATTTGTATTTTTAATATCAATCAAAAGATATTTTTTCTATTTCTATGAATGTTTTTTCAACGATATAATCCAATAAATGGAAAGATCACAGTATCAATGAATAAATTTATTGTAGACTCTTTTTCTTCCGACTCAATCTTTTCATTCGTTCCTTCTGTTCATCGATTGCTCTTTTCTTGCATTTCATTTGCATGCTTATTGGTCAAAATATATATGTATCTGTATACAAGGGAACGAGCGATTCATCTCCTCTTTTTTTCTTCTTCTTCTGCTCATGATAAGCTCTAACATCGGGCATAAAAAATAAAAGCCAACCGGAGACGAATAAGAAAAAGAAGAAGAAGAAGAAGAGAGAAAATCGTTTACGTGTCATGTAAGAGAACTAAAACTCTTAATGGTTGATACTCGATAGTGTACAAAAAGACGAGAACACAGAGCGAGAGATAAAACGAGAGAAATAAGTGTTAATGCAAACCTAAAAAAAGATATAAGCTAAGAGAGAGAGGAAGAGAGGAAGAGATCGATAGCTCGAATGATAGAAAAAGAAAAGCTACGCTGCAAATATAATTGAAAGCGAGCGGCACTAAGGTGAATTCGAGTGAAACCAAGTGCAACGGAAAAACCGAATCGAACCGTGAATTAATCGAACCCAGCATACAAGCACGAGACATCGAGCATAGCCAAACTAGATCAACCTACCTGCATCTTGTCTACATCAACGAACATACAACGATTGCAATGGGTATGTAAATTGTCTACAGATGAATGACGATTGTATGCACGAGATAGCGAAAATGTTTCATCATTTTCTTTTTTCGTATATATTGATGCAGTGACACACTAGAACATTTACATCTATGACTGTTGAGTTTGGTTTTTTTTTTGCAAATATCCACTACGAGAACGAGATAAAAAGAAAAGACAAAGAATAGTATACAAAAATAAAAAGAGAGACAATTCGATTTGTCAATCTAGTTTTCGACTACTTTTTTATCAGAAGAACACATCATATTTGACAAGTAAGATGACGATATCCGTAGAGTTTTTCCTCATGTCTTTTATCAATATGAAATGTTACTAAATAGACAGAAACACTTGCTTCTAGACCAGTTGGCATTCTAATAAGTTAATCGTTAGATCTTTTTGTTTTGTTTTGTTTTAGTTATAGTTTCTTAGAACATGTCTAATGACAATTAACAATATTTTGACAGTGAGTTATCATCTACTCTTGTAAATAAATATGCTATCGAGTATAAACAAAACAAAAGTTACATCTCATTTTTCGTATTTAACCAATCCAAATACGATCCGAAGGAAATAATGTCATCAACTCATCAGACTAGAAAAGAAAATGATCGATGATCAATCTACATACATATCTTGCTGAATGATAATAATCATCTTCGACTCATTTCGGATACGTTGAGTTTGTAAAATGAGATGCTCCCACTGTGTGCGTGCACATGTGATCGATGATGATGACAACTACGTGCTTCCGGAGAATATTTTATAGTCTTGACGATAAAACACGAATAGTAAAACAAAAATGGGGAAAATTTAAATAAGTTTTATATTTTTATGAAAAATAATTTTTTTGTATTTTTGTTTCAATAGACTATTCATTTAATGACAGCAATTCAAATCAAAGCTACGGAGAAGTTAATCAACTTGGTGGTGTATTCGTTAATGGACGACCATTACCAACACCGATTCGTTTACGTATTGTTGACATGGCTAACATAGGAGTACGACCATGTGATATTAGTCGTCAATTAAAAGTATCACATGGATGTGTTAGTAAAATTCTTGCACGTTATCATGAAACAGGTAAATTTTCATTTTAGTCAACGGTTATTTTCTCTATTTCTGTCTTGCTTTTTCTTTTGTTGGAGGTTCCGTATTACCAGGTGCCATAGGTGGAAGTAAACCACGCGTAACAACACCACGTGTTGTAGGTCGTATACGTGATTATAAAGTTAAAGATCCAGGAATGTTTGCGTGGGAAATACGAGAAAAATTATTATTAGATAATGTATGCGATAAATTCAATGTTCCTTCAGTGTCATCAATTTCACGTATTTTACGAAACAAAATTGGTCCATTATCACAACCAAGTAATGGAAGTATAGGCGGTGGTGGTGGAAGTAGTGAAAATAGTGATTCGAATTCTCCTCCACCTATTCCATCATCATCATCATCATCAATAGCATTAATGAATAAACATGATCTTTCGCCAATTAATATTCCTTCAGTTGTTTCATCGTCATCAGACTCAATATGTAAAATTGAACCACCAACATGGTCATCATATGATCAGTCGGCAGTAGCATCATCATATCATCATCGTTATCTCTATCCTAATGTTGCTTATCATTCAACATTTCAACATCAATTTGAATCGGCTATGAAATCACCATATACAGGAGGAAATCATATTGTATCAAATCCAACGACAAATGGAGATATTTCAAGTGCATTTACACATACTCATCATTATCATAATCAACATAATCATCATCATCCAAATGCAACCGTTAACAATACAGCAAACAATTATTCATCATTTTTTAATAGCTTTCCTTACACACCGACAAGTAATTTTGCTGTTACGACACCATATTATGCATCTTCTTATGGTTTACCATTGACACCACCGACTTCATATAAATAAAAGACAACTCTTTTCTTTTCTTGTTTTGACAAAATTTGTGTGTCCGTGTGTTTTATCCTTTAGAATGTAAAATATATTAATAATAAAAAGTAATAATAAAAGACTGCTAACGGGAGTCGAATAACGAAAATATGCATTCTTTTATCTTGTGTTCTAGCTAGCAGACATTGATATAGATGTCTATTGTTTTGACGTAAAACGTCTTTTTAAATTTATACACGTGCATATATATACACCGTTTCATAATCATTGTCCAAGAAGTGTCACAACAAGAAAATACTGTTTTTCAATTCAGAGTAACCTTTATCAATAATTGATTTCTTTTCTCTGCTCATTAACAGAGAACAATTGTTGATGATATACATTCAAGTTTTCTTCTGATAAGATTCTGCAATCTGATTGACAGTAGTCTATGATGATATTCTTGTTAATACATATGATCAGTAGTAAACAGGTGAATGTATCTATATAGTTTGATTGATAAGTGCGAAAAATTCCACTCATTAATCTCATTTATACACATAGTGATCTATTAGTTTTGGCATCCATGTGAATTTTTCTCGATTAGAAGACTGATTGTTATTTATAATGGCAAAACGTGTTTTTTCAAAAGGGCAAACATTTATCGTTATGTTTGGTGAGAAAAATGAAAACACAATGGTGATATTACGTGATTATCCACATCGAAGAAAAAAAGGTCATCGATCTAATTTATAATTTCAATCGACCGTTGATAAAATTAAAAAGAAAAGGAAAGAACCTAAGATACAATATTAATGTCTTCACCTGTTTTAATCATATATAATTATAGATCCTATTCGATTTAATTTACATATGAATTCAGCTGTTTCGGAAAATTTAATTTCAAGTATCTTTTTTATACATATAAGTAAAACGAGTAGAGGAAGAAAGAGAGAGACAGAGAGACCGAGAACAAAAAAGTGAATACCAACGACAAAAGAAAAAAAGAAGAATAATCAAAGACAATTGACTTGTACTCTATATAAATGTTCGTTTTTTTGCCCATTTAATAGATATGGAAACAAAAATTATCGTCGAACTAAAAATATAAAAGAAAAAGTTATTGAAAAGAGTTCAGCAAATGATTTCGAAACAAAAAAATTGTCTCCAACTTAGTTTCATAGTTTCGCTCTCAACATTCTAAAAAGAATATTTTTCCATATCTTCTAAACGCTAGTAACATTCTTCTAATCGATCTTATAGATTATTGCTCGTGATTACTGAGCGCTTGGACTCGAGGACTTGAATAGTCTAAAATTTCTATAGACAATAAACTGACGTATCTCTGGTACTTTTCAATTATGATATTTGACGAGGCTTAGTTTCAGGAATGAAAACTTTTATAATATATCGTTTGTGCGATGAGAAAAAATAAATAATTATCAGTTCTAGTCCTTCTCGGTGATATTCCTGCGAGTGATAACCTTTGACTGGTTTTACCTTCTACTATAGCAGAATCTGGTACACGTCGTACAATAGTTGCTGTACGTCTTTGAGGTGAAGTATCATCTGGATATCTTTCACGAACAGTTCGATATTTTGATGCATAAGATGGACGATTTAAAATTTCTGATCTATAGTTTTTCAACAAAAGAAAAGCAAAATTTTACAGATATGAAAATTATTTTCTATGATACAAACAATTCTCCACTTGACTCTTGTGTATAACTTTTATTCATTCGGCGTGTAGGTGATGGATTCAACTAAACCAAACAAAAAGCGAAATCAATTCATTGTTAGAATGAAAATAGTTTACGTCTTGTCTTGAATGATCTTCTTCAACAACAAGAACATGTTTTCCACCGGGTTGTACTTGGTGTTCTCTCATAGCTTGATCAAGTTTTCTAACGAGTTTTTCGTTTTCTCTTGTTAAGATTTCATGATCGGTTCGAATTTTTTTCGTTGTTGTGCCACTTAATTGACCTCTAAGAAATAACAGAATAAATAGAAAGAAGATGAATTCACAAAGAAAAATATTTACTGAGTATCGTATATTTCACTACTGGCTGACGAACGCATTGAAGTTTGTGAACCGGAATCTGAATTACGATTTTTGAGCTTAGGCAATACATTTAAATGATAGCCTAATTTTTGTCTTAATTCATGATTTTCATCTTTTAATTTTCGTACTTCATGTTTCAAACGATTAATAACATTTTCTTTCGAGTCTGTTTTTACTATGGGAACATTTTCAATATTTTTCGCACGATTAGCGTAGCGTAATGTGCTCAAACTTTCATTTTCACAAGAACTTGCTGGAGATATACATGCAATCTTAAATAGAAATAATAGTGCCATTTTTGTTAAATTTATTCTTCTAATTCAACAAACCATCAGCGTTATGCCATGTCCACCTAAACTATCTGCTAGAAGACGTGTTAATTTTGAATCACGATATGGTATATGACCAGCTCGTTTAACAGAATCACTTAATGCCGAAATACATGTACCTGTTAACGACAAAAAAAAGACGAACTCGGAATAATTCAAGATTTGGAAAAAGAAATCTTTTTACCTAGTACTAATAGACTTTTATTGATATTATTGGTTTCGGTTAATTGTTTCCCTTTTGAAAGACTTACTTTGACTTTTTCACTTCCTAAAAAGTAAACAAAATTTTTTATCTGAAGAGAAAATTAACGAAATTTACCGGCTAAATCAACAAAAACTAATTTTCCTTGTCGAGTCATTTGTTCTTTTAGATCATCGTTTCCTTGTATGTCTTGTTCAATTTGAATTGAAAGCATTGCATGGCTACGGCTTGACGTATCATTAAGATTATGTGAAGCCATAGCTCGATTTAATTCGCCTAGATGAGTATAATTTTATTTTTACATAATCTTTATAATAATAACAACAACAACAACAACAACAAATTATCTTCAATTTTATGCAAACCTTCTTCAAGTATTGTTAATAATTCATCCATAGTTTCAATGTATGTTTGAAAAAGATTTTCAACATAAAATCCATCTTCAATTGAACCACGTATTTGTAAATTATCACTATGTGATGGACTAATTAAATCATGAATCTAAAATAGAAATACATTTTCATGATAAAAAAATATCAAATTCATGTTTATATATATATATATATATATGTTTATACTTGTTCATTATAGATTTCACAATAAGATACACGTATATAATAAGGAGCATTTGTTTCATGAGATTTTTCTCGTAATTGTTGAAATAAATAATTAATTGCTCGTGGAACTAAACCAAAGTTTTTTATTCGAAAATTTTCCTCCATACGAAACTAAAATCAAAAATGTCGAACCATATTTTCTGTTTTTTTTACCACCATAAGTACTAGATAATTACAATGTTGGCGCCGCCTGGACCAATCATGGTATGCGTTTTTCCACTACCGGTTTGACCGTATGCAAAACAAGTTGAAATATATCTACAAAAATATTTCCCACAAGATAATTTACAGTTCTATTAATTGAATGTTTAAATTATCTACCCATCGATAGCCATATCGACTAAACGTTTGATACCACTGTAATGAAATACTTCTTCTTGTGTTGATGTTACATCGAATGCACTATCAAATGTAAATCGTCGACTATGTTTTGCGCCTTCAACCTATTTTATTTACTTGATAAAATGTGTTAAAACCAATGAAAAAGATAACTCACTGTAATAGAATTTTCACCTTCGCAAAATAATATTGACCGATCTGATTTTTCTGTTTCACGACTATTCAACGGTCGAACACTAATTATAGAACATAAATATAGATGTGATTAAAGAGGATTTAAAATTTAAAAACTTACCGAACGATAACACGCACACGATCTTTTTCTATGCCTGGATCTTGAGGTGGTTCATTTCGATATGCACTAAATGATAAAAAATAAAACTATTCATAATTAATGTGTACTTTGATTTTACTGATAACTTTGTTGTTTCACTAGTAATGAATGCTTTTCGGCATTTATTAAACTATGTGATCGTACAGCGAAAGTTGCCATGATAAAGAAGTACTGTCGTGTTTGATATCAATCGATTATAATCTGAACCGGTCACTTTTTTCTGCTTCTTCTTCTCTCTAACGATAACGACTCGTAAGTGTCTATTGACTTATGAAATAGTAAAATTACAGTCACGAAACTAGAACCATTCTCTTATTCTCTCTCTTCTTTTAGTGTTCTTTTCTTTTACTTATTGTCTTTCGTCATCATATGTAACTTTCAAACTATTTAGAAGGTAGGTCTTCTTCTTCTTCGTCTTCTCCTCTTTTCGTATTATGTTTATGCAAACGAACGGCCAACACGATGAGAAGACACTTGACTTATGTGTACTTATAGATCATATCGCTGATAAATTAAATCTTAATATACCTATCGCCAGTTGATGAAGTCTTTTGTCCTAAAACCCAATCAATGACTGATGCATTACTAATATCTGTTTGAAGGCCACGACTAACAGAATTAGGTCCATCCTGATAAATATCATTGATGCTTTCTATGGACGTCGCTTCAAAACTTTCAGACGATGGAACAAATTTTGTTAATTTTGAATGTTGTGGTGCTGTATTATTAGCAGAAGAAGGTTCGAGAAAACGAACACGATTATTCGAATTACGCTCAGATGAATATGATTCGGTACTTCGCTGTTTCATATCATCAGTATTCATTGCAGTTTGTTGATGATTTGAATCTGTAGATGTTGAAATTTCAATTAAAGAATATGTTTCAAGCGGGAACTTCTGCATCGATATCTCTCTCTCTCTGTCTTTCTCGGTTGATGTAAAGTGGAAATAACTTAAAATAACAACCGAAGTATTTTTCTACTACTTATCCTGCTTTCTTCTCTTCGCAACAAGTCGAACAAAGAAAAAACACAATAACAACAATTAATTTCTTCTTATGTTTTTCGAGAAAAAAATAATTGAGACTTAATCGACATGCAATATCGAATATTGTTAAATAAAAATCGATCATTTATTATAATGATTGACTAGTCTTGTGACATCATATATATTGTTTTCAACATACTATTTTCTACGCGTACAAGATAAATTTTGTTTTCTACTACATCATATTACAAACGGTAACATAGCGAAAATATAAATTTTTATTTTTCTCGTATCGGAAAAAACCGACGGCAAATCAATTTTTATTCCTGATGGAGAAACATGTTATTTATTCATTTATTTATACGATTGTTAAACTGTCTTTATATCTGCATGACGCTTTCTTTGTTTAACGAGTCATAAGAAGCGAAACTGATAAATGAAAGTTTAAAATATTTTCTAATCTCTTTCAACTAATGATGTTAGTTTATACAAAGAAATCATCTACAACTATCTATTTTGAATAATAAAATCTTTGTTTTTATTTCGAAAAACTTGTTTCTTATTATAAAATTTTCTTGTAATAATTATATGATGAATCATCAACAAGAGAATTCACAAACTAATTATATCTTTAAAAATCATATACATATTTCATGATATATAAAGATTTTCAATTAATTATGAAGAGTTATTTCAATGGCATAACTACGCATAATATTATTAGTCAATGCCGCTTCCGCAATGATTACATCAATCAGAATATTTTTTTTTTGTAAAAAAATAGATATCCTATTTATGCATCATAGTTAGTGGCCGATATATTTCTTTCTTATAATTTTATTGTAAGGTTTCATTTGTTTAATCGATTGAATCTCTTCAAAAGAAAATGAAAAAAATGACATAATTCAAGTAAAACAATGAGGAAAACTGTCACAAGTTGTAGTTATCACTACAATGTTTCAAACAATGTAAGAAAATCAAATCAGTAGAAGTGCTAAAAAAATCATACAATGAAGGACTCATTATGTATCGAGATTGTGCTCTTTCTCTCTCTTTGTCTCTCTCTTATCTTGTCGGGCTTCGTTCTTCATTCGAGATTCTTGTAGCTATTGTTTTTTTAAAACAGCTATTATTCTACTCACGAGTGATGAACTGAAGCTGAATTATTATTTGAGCGTGTTTCGTAATATACTGCTTGTTGATCTTTATATTGATGAGGTCCTTGTTCATATTCATAACCATTGTTAGATGTTGTTTCGAAATGCTGCTTATTATAACCATTATTATCATAGTTATTATCTTGTTTTAGTGATGGTAGCCGTTGCTGTTGATGGTAGAACTTCCGCCGAGCATCATTTCGTTTAGGTAAACTCGACATTTTATCTTTAAATATTCTTTATAGTTTCATTCAATCACCATGCGCGTATGGATGTATTTCTTTTTCTCTTTACTACTGCCATAATAAATGTATATGTATATAAATATATAAATATATATATATATATATATGTATGTATGTATATATTTTTACTTGATTCTTCATAGATGCGAAATTAAAACAAAGTTCTTTCTTTTTCATTCTCTTCATTTTCATCTTTTTTTTTACATTTGTACACAGAACTTCCTGAATATTACAAAAAAAAACGAATGAAAGAAAGGAAGAAATCGATCAAAAACGAACGAACAAAGCAAAAAAAGAAAGGAGAAAATTAGTATTACTTTCAAAAAAAATATCTTTTTTATTTGGAAATCATATTTTTGTTGTTTATTGTCAAATAACCTTATTCTCATCTTACGTATACTTATAGATGAAAAGAAGAAAATGAATATAGCTATATCAAACATTAAAAAAACATATTCGTGGAAGGAAAAAACAATAGAAAAAAAAGAAAGTAACCGGGCTTGGCCGGGGATTGAACCCGGGACCTCTCGCACCCTAAGCGAGAATCATACCACTAGACCACCAAGCCATGCTCTTGTTTCTCTAGAATGTACTTATAATACGATAGAACAGACTACTGATAATTAATTATTATATCTGTTAAAATTCATTTTCGTTTTAAATAAAAATAAAAGAAATAATCAATCGAAATTCAAAATTTGAATCAACAAATATTTTTTCTTTTAAAACAAATCATTTTTAACACGTGTCTCTTAACTTAAATTTACAATAGTTTCATCAAATTCACGAATTAAAAGTGCCTGTCTACACTGAATTGTGTTTCTTTCGTTATTGAAACATGTTACTAATCTTGTATTAAAGGTAAATATGCGTATATTCTACTTACAGTAAACTATTATTTCCACGACGATGATGGATAGCCATGCTTGAAGTATTATATTGTTGCATAACAAATAAATAACGTGCCATTCGATTATTTCGAACACGTTTAACATATTTGATTTGTTCAAGTGGTGATTTATAAAGTGCACCTTCTCTCATTAATAGTGTTCTACTGGCATTTGTCATTCTTACTTTAGGATTTTCTCCTTTACTATGCAGCTTCGGCTTAGTTATTAAATGTCCATTATTTCTAGGTGATACATCTTTAATGACAGTTGAATCTTTTGAATCTTCACGATAGAGTACTCGACGAAAAGGTCGATGATTTGGTTTGGGATCAACAGTAGGCATGCTCAATTGTAGAAATATCAGCAACTATAACCGTGGAAGTCTCTCGTCTATTTTCTTTTTCGTTGCTGTTAAGATTCGCATTAAAAATAATAATAATAATAATAATAATAATAATAATATGCAATAATCACAATATACTTATAGCATTCTTCTATTTTGCATAGAATCATACAAAAGGCCTTTGTAATTAGTTCGATGGTGTTTTGTTGTTTTTTTCAAGTGAAAAAGGAAACCTTCGTAAGTTAGGTGACTGTACGCACGTGTTTATTTTGATTTTCTTACCATTTGAACATAGAGAAAAGAACGAAAAGTGAATTAACAGCTTATTAAAACTGATTAAAGGATGGGTAAATTAGGTGTAAATAAAGATAGAAATACTGTGAATCGTTTGAGAACATAAACATACATGCACATAAACATTAAAAAAAAAGATTACTTGACAAATATGAGGGAAAACAATTAAAAACAACAACAACAACAACCACTGAGAATATACGACAATATATCAGCATTTTGAATGCAATTATAATTTAACATAGATATATTTATATATAAAATATTGTTTTTAACGCACTGTTTGTTGTCGTTTGGGTACTGGAATAGAGCCAAGTTTACGTCGTAGGGAAATATTCGGTGGTGCTGATGGTTGTACTAACGGTACTGTTGTGGATGATTTTGTTGATACAGAAGATATTGATTTTTGTGATGGAGTAGTAGGCAATGAAGGTGATTTGCTTCTTGACGATGTAGAAGGTGAAGATGAAGCAACGGGTTCTTTTGATGAAATTTTTACTTGAGTTTTACGATCGCGTAACCACGCTCGAACATTAAATCGTTTGGGTAATAATGAAGAAGGTCGTTGATTTGTCGTCGTCGTTGTTGTTGTTGTTGTTGTTTTTGTGGGTGTAATTGCATTTGATGAATGAGTATATTTAAGTCGGAATGGCAAAGGTGATAATTTTTCTAATTGATTTGTAATACGTTCAAATAGATCATTATCTACATGTACAAGTATAAATGCCCATGATTCGTAATATGCAGTAAGCATTGCACGGTGTGATAAAAAATGCGCCAACCAGGCAGCAAGCTCATGAAGGCTAAAACAGAATAAATAAACAAAAGAGTATAATATAAATAAAATGTTTCTCTTTGATTAATAGATAATATTCTTACTTAAGCAAATGATAAATAAATGCATTAAATTTTTCTACCCAGTCAACAGTAGATGATAATCCTAACTGGGCTTTAGCTTTTGCGTCATTAACACGACCCGTTTTAGGTGTTGTAAAATCGATTAAACGCCATAGATTAATTTTTTTTGAAAATAAAGAACCGCCATACTGTCGAAGGCCATCTTCAAGTACTTCGCGTAATAAAGGACATAGATCTAGACGAAGCGTTCGATCAAGTTCACGATTAGTTAGATTATTTAAATAATAAGACTAAAATAGAAAATGAAGTGATAGATAGTAAGAAATTCCTAGAGCTATCGTATATCAATTTTACTTGAGGATCGCTGCATTTTATTTCCAAAATATGAAGAACTGTATTTGAAAAGGCATCAATAAGATATTTATCACTACCATATTTGACTGGTAATGGTTTTGTTATTTCTACTGGTGCATTTTCAATAAAATTTATTAAATTGGGTTCATTGGAATCCTCATGTTCATCTTCAGATAAATTAAATTCACTCGGTGGACTATCTGTTAAACTTTCTCGTGGTACTAGATCCCAATAGCCTACAACAAAAGAAAAGATTTCGTTTTCAAAAACATCTAATTAATGATGAAAATATTCGTCAAGTAATACCTCGATCATATCTAAATGATGCTGAAGGTGGTGGTGTTGGCCGATGTTTAGGACTGGCTGATGGTGTAATAAGCCTTCGTGCAATATCATCACAAAAACTAACACTTTTTTTCGCCCGTAAATCATGTTCAGATAATGTACATCCTTTTTGGCGCGTTTGTAATTGTATGGAAAAGTTACTTTGATGTGACGATAGACTTGGTGCTGAATAACGTCGATGTCTTGATGTTTCTATACTATGATCAGCAAGACAAGCGGCTAATGTTCGTGCAGCTAATGTAAATATATCACCAGCAGTTCCAACAGCTAGAACATTAGCAGTTGTTGTTTGTACTGTTGAAGCAGGTGTTAATGGTGTACTTGTTAAATCTTCCGTTTTAGCTCGTTTCAAACATGATTTAAGTGGATACGATGATGTGGGTGTTTGAATTTGACGTGGGTGATTTGTTGAACTATTACTGCAATAACCGCTACTTGACGTACTATTTGCACTTGTTGATGTACTTGAACATGTCAATGAAAACGTCGCATTTTCTTCTTCTTTTATGTGATGATCAACATGATTTGTTTGAGCAGATGGACTCATTGGCATTGTGCGTAGTGGCATATTGCCCATTGTTGTTGGACTCGTTTTAATACTTTTAATACGTTTAATTTCTTTAAGTGTGCGTGGTCTTTGCATAGTTGACATCGGTGGATGAAGTGTTGTAGGCCGCATAGGATTAGATGATACAGATGGCACTTTAATACTACAATAGAATACAGTACGTGTTGCTTTTTTAGTTAATGATGATGGTTCAGATAGTGCGCTTTTCATTCGTGAACAAAACTGTTTTGTTTGATTCGTTGATATCGATGATGATGATGATGGTGTTGGCGGTGGTGGAGCCGGATTTTCTTTTGCATAATATGTAAGAAAACTAAGATCAGGTAAAGATAAAATTGTTGGCAATGATCGGTAAGCGGTTGGAGATGGAAACGTTGATGTTTGACTAGGATTGTTTGAATTCGAATTTTTCGTCTCACTACTTAATGAACGATCGACACTTTTCGAACGTGTCACTGATACAATGTCTGTTTGTAAACAATGATTATCCGAATCGAGAGGGCGGGAAGTCGAACGCGGGATATATCGACGTGTCGATTGTGATTGCAATGAAGATGTATTTTCAATATGTAGAGATGTTTGAAGGCATTGATCAACACTTCGACGAGGAATAGTGGTTTGATTAGAAGCTAAAATGAACAATGAAAATCAATTATAATTTAATCAATACTGATGTCTCTATCAAACAATAGAAACAATGTTTATTCGATTATCTCTCGCTCTCTCTCCGTGTAATTTTATTTTTTTCATAAAGAAAAAGGATTTAGAGATAAATAATCATTTGATCCTTTCGTTTTATAAGTTATCAAATTTCAGATGAGAAACTTACCCTTGAATTGTTGTTCTTTACTTTCCGTTGATAACTGTTCTATAGACGAGTGAAAATCATTGTGACTACTGGATTTGTTTAGTTTCAATTGCGAAAAAGTTGTTGGACTTTTTAATTTAAATCTTGGCATTGGTATTTTATGTTCGTTTTTTGCTGATTCATTGAATTTATTTAAATTTGAACATGATGATGATGATGTCAATGAATCACACATACTTTTATCACTAAAGTTTTGATATAGACGACACGGATGTTGTTGAGATCTTGTTCGTTGAAATAAACGATATAATGTTAGTGGACTACGTGATCGATGTTCGCTACCGTCAGATGTATGTGCTGATGATGAACAACAACTTTGATGTGCCGATTTAGATTTAATTGCATGCCATGATGTACGTGGAGGATCAGATGATGATGTTGTATCATCACCTTCAACATCGGCATCATCTTCTGTATCACCGCCTCCACCGATGCCACCTGAACTTAAACGCATAGACCATTCCGAAAGACTTGCTGCTTGACATGTGGGCGGAGCATCATGATGTTCATGTTCAAAAGCAAGATGATGATAATTACGATCTTCATATAAATCCCAATGAAAACCTTCATATTGACTATCGCGCAGTGGTGGTGCTGTTTTGCGACAATAACTGCCATATGAAGAAAATATTGACCGATGACCACTAAGCCAAAGTTCATCATCATCTGGATTATCTACAGACATTTCATATTCAGGTAATTGATTTTGCACTTGTTGTTCCATTGGTGAATGAACAGTTTTTAAGCGATCATTGATAGAGTCAAGTAATTGAGAAACTAATGTTGTTCCACAATTTTGATCGTACATAGAATCAACTAAGAAAACAAAGAAGAAGAAAAAAACAATTTAATAGATATTATTTCTTTATGAATACACATAATTGCATCGCTACCTCATCTCGTTGACCTCAACAGTATACTATTACTGATTGATATTACTTTTACTATTCGTCTAATCAATGAATAAAATGAAAGACAGACACTAGACATGCATTCATTCTTTCTTCTCGAGTTGTTTTTTTCTCACACTCATCGTGTTAATGATGATAAGCTTGCCATCTACTATTTGAAATGAAAAAAATTGATGAACGAAAGAGAATGAAGATATTGGTGTTGGTGGTGATGATGATGATGATGATGATGATGATGATGATGATGATTATGGGATGGTAATGCTGTACTAGTTTCTTTCTTTTTTGAAGCTGTCTGGACGAGAAAAGAAAAAGACCATCATTAGCGACAACGCATCCCATTAGGGAAGTTTGTATGCCTGTAAATAAGGGAAGAAAGACGCAAAAAAGAAGACGAGAAGAAGAAAGGGCAATCTACGATGTACAACGATAAAATGATGAGAGAAAAATTGAAACAGCATTTATATTCACACGCATAGTAGTCATCCTCAATATTACATTGATTAAAATCAAGAATCTAACACTCTTCAATTGTTTGTTACAGAGTAAGAAATAGAAGAACTTACGATAATATTTCGATATTTGAGGATTCATTATTTGGCTTCTTTCTTTACATCTCAACAAAAAATAAATCTAAAGGTCGAGCACACAAGTGATGATAGGAAGTAACGACAAGCATGCAAGGCTTCGTTCATGCTATCATCTTTTTATGCGTCTAAAACGAATAATCAAGAAGTAAAGAATGCCAGTCTGAAAGCAACAAGAATCTATGCTAAATATGCAGATGTTTCCTCAAATGACTACTTCAATGCTTTTATTTTTCTATAGATGAATCTTATCGTCATGGCCTAATTGTCGACTATATGACAAATAATATAGAACAACAATCAAAAGAAAAAGAAATTTAATAGAAAAAAAACGTTTTCTTTTTCTATTTATTTAGTTGTACCCACTTCAATATCTATAGCAGAACAAGATTAAATTGATTTTTTTTTCTAGATATAAAACTTCACACTTGAACAAAATCTTTAGATCAATTTCATAATATATACCTTCATTTCTACATACATAAAATGATATGATATAAACACATAGTGTTCAATCTTTTTTTTTTCTTCTTTTAGTTTTACTTCTCTTACACATTAACCATCATCATCCTGTATCATCGTATCCCTCGCCAAATATACATATGCTTTCGTATGATAGATAAATCATGTTCGCTTACTCAAGAGCATACGTACATTTTTACGCTCATACTATATTCATATCTTTTATTCCGACACTGTTGCATTTTGCTTTTCTTTTTTGCAAGAGTCAAAGAGCTACCATGTGTATAGAGAGATGAACGACCTCCAACTTTTTCCACTTGTATGCTTTTACCTCTTATATATTTTGCTTTTTTTTCTTCTTAATGTATGCTATATACATACGTTATCATTAAGTGAACAATTTCAAGCCTACCGATTCTAGGTCTTTTCTTCTTTTTTGAGACCCAAGATTAGAAGACCTTCATTTTGAAATATATTTATTGAAAAGGTCTCGTCTCACAGGTATTTACGCTTGCTGGGTCAGACTTTATCACTCAAATTGACAAAGCACAATAGATATAAAAGTAAACAGCTGCCATTTTCAGTCATGAGATGTCTACCAGACGTATATTGGATGATACGACTCCACGCATTCATACTACGCATTACGAGAGTATGATAATTAACAGTGCAAAAGAGAGGGAAAAAAAGAGAAAGTTACCTAGTATATTAAGCACATGATACTGTCAGATTACACAACATAATGTATTTGGTTTAAATAGAAGAGAAAAAAGGCAAAAGAAGGAACTTACTGATTGCCGTTTGTTGACCAATCCGAATAACATAACGCAATTACGTTGAACCTTGTTTTATTTCGTCTTCGATTACGCACAAAGAAAAACTAATTAAGTAGAAAACTAGAAACGATCGGCTGCTTATACAAAATGGATGTGGATTTGTCTTCGTTTGTTGTTTCTTCGACTAGTAAATGATGATAGAATGATGAGGAATTTGGGTTGTGTATGTTACACTCGTCTTGCACAATAACAGAAAAGTAGACGCAAAAGGAGAAAAAGGAAAAACGAGAAAGAAAGGACATAGACGTCTATAAATTTTTTCTTTTACATCGTCTTCTTTTTTTTCTCTCTCTTTCCTTAATTTGGGGCACTGGTAGCATGCCAGTAACGCGCCTTTGCTGCCTGATTTAATCGAGAGACGGCCCGTTGTTTGTTCTCTTTCCTCTTTTTTCCCGTTTGTTTCTTATTCTTATTCTTCTTCTTCTTAAGGCTACTGCCTGTAGGGGAGCTATCTCGACCAGTTTTTCCCTACTTTTTTTTTCCTGTTCTTCTCTTACATCGAGTTAGATCGAGTGTCCGCCAACACGTCCTCTCTACAGTAGTACAAACTTCTTTTTCGCTTCTCTGTCAAAAATGATGATGAGAACAACGGGCCATAGTTGTTGTTCAATCATCTTTCTTTTTCCTTTCTGCATTCTGGGGTATTCTCATTATTCAATAGTGTTATTTCAGACAAGAAAATTCTCGAAAGAGAAATAACGAATATGCATTGTTCTACATAACGTAAACAATTGGGAAATAAAAATTACTTTGTTGTTGTCATTAAAATGTCTCAAATAACAAATGTACGTCGTTTTTGTAGTCTTAGTTAATAAACTAAATACATTATTTTTTGATCAACTCCAAATAGATTCAATGAGAAGTTATTTGCATTTTTAGATGCACAACCAATATTTCATATAATGACAGGATAAAAAGATAAGAATAACCATGATGTAAAATGCTCTTTATGCTTATCAGCTAAAGCCTTGCACTAATTTCTCAAGTTATGCAGCTGATGGTCTTACTTGAATGATTCCGAAGATATATCGTTAACATATTTATACATACAAATGTGTTTATGTATATATATATGTGGGTGGGTGTGTGTGTATATGTCGAATGAATACAATAATGTTGTATGATATCGTGTATTAATTCTTTTCTTGTCATCTACTTTGGATAGAGACCTTGCATTCAACTTGACCTCATTTCTTTGTCACTCAATACAATTCGTACACCCACTGTGTTAATCAAGCAGCAGCAGTAGTAACAGAATAGGCCATTGACGCGAATAGGGCAGTTGAACTTTCATATGCATAAAAAAGAAATGAGTGAGACTAAAGAGAAAGAGGGAGAGAGAGAGAGAGAAGAAAAAAATATATTCTAATTCGACTCTCATAAGTTATATGGAATGGAGATATTTGTCGCGTGAGACAAAACGGACAATACTTATTTCATCTATGTCAATTTTGAAAATTGCTATCGGTGTTAGACTAGACAGACACTCGGTCCTCTCAAGTGAGATAGACATCAATCAAATATTGACTTTTATTTTCACAGAATTCTATGCATGAAAAGACACAATGTAGCAGCAGATCAATCGTCACGTTCAATAGTCTTTGATACAAATACAAATAAAAAAATAACTATTAAAATCGAAACACTACGCAAAAGTAACAATTTTCGCATCGCGACCACCACCACCGTTAAGATTATATTTCACACGAAGTTGATCACCGATCTCATTATGTTGTTGTCGAATTTGATCAAATTCACGTCGACTTTCAGTTATTTCTCGATCTTTGGTATCTTCCTCCCTTTTATTTGCTGTTCGTCTTGACCATCGAGCACATTGATCACATTTTCGGCAAAGACAACAAATCTAAATTTGAATAAAAAAATGAACGTTAAAACAGCAATCCATATGACAGAGTTTCATTTTTTTACCAAAAGAATAAGAAGTATAAGAATTAAAACTACACCAATAACTGCTAATGTAACGATAACATCTGTAGTAAGAACAACCATCGTTATAGAATTGATGGAATAAAAAAAATAATAATCTATAAAAAAAAAATGATATAAAAAAAAGGAACTTTTATTAGATCTCGAATAAAGATCTTTGCAAATAAATAGAATGTGCACTACTTGAATAATAATAATAATAATTAATATAAATGCATATTCACTATAATGCAAAGCTGATACTTAAGCTAGAGTACTTCCGACTATTTACATCTTTCCAAAGCATGAATAGAAAAGATGAATAGTATACGATGATTCATCATCTAGTCAGAAATAAAATTAGCCGTATGGTCAATCTTTCATCACAACGTATCAATGTCAATATCAAACTTCTGACAAATTTTTTCCCAAATAATACCAAAACAATATATATATATAAATAACTTATGTTTCATTTTTGTTTAAAAAATTCATTTCCTATTGTAGTAAGTTACTTACTTTTAGAAAACTTTATCGAAAACAAACCAAAACGATTGATTGCATGCATCTCTGCATATTGTCATATGATGGCTTTTTTTGCTTCTTTATTTACGCATCGAATAAAAGTTACCTGACATATTAAATTATCCTACAGTTTCTGCATCATTGATTTTTCTCGTGTATTTTATTCTTTGATGTGTCATGAAAAAAAAACAAATCAAATATTATTTGATATCTTCCATTCATTGTTACAAAAACATCGTTCGTATACGTCTGCACTGTGTATAAATTTATGAATCATCAATATATCCGCATTACTCAATTCATAATAGAAACCAAAGGAAAAATAAGAGTCATTATACATGTATAAGAAGGCAACAACAAGGCAAGAAAAATAAACAAACAATATAGTAGTCTAACTATTGTTAAGTATTCTGATTACCACCGTACCATCAATATTCGGCAGGGGAATATCAAAATCTTCAACTTTTTCATTAATAAATTGTGTATCACCACCAAGCCAATTTTCATTTGAAGCTCGATGTTTAACAAAATAATCAAATGGCGTATTTGTATTGATACCATTGCGTTGATTTTTCGATGATGTATGTAAACGTGGAAGAATATCGTTAAGGACAATAGATTCAGGCGGTACAGCTACTTGTATAACAAATGGTGTATCACTGCCAGGTAAGAAATAAGCTACACGAGTTTTTTTAATTGATGTAGCTAAAATACATTAAAAACAAAATATGAAATTAGAAATTTATTGAATAAAAAAAAAAGCTTCAATACGAACATTCAACGCGAGCACTTCGATTATGAAGATGACGATCGTGTGATTTTGTTTTCGTTTGTAATGATAATGATGACGAATGAAGTTTACGTAAACGTTTAAATTCATTATTTTCATTTTGATATCCACTACTCGTATTTCCAAGTGTTGATGTTGATTTAACTTGTGCATGATTTTTTGTAAATTTTCCACGTCGATATTCATTCCAAATACGTGAATTAAGAAATTGTCGAAATACATCTGTCTGACTTTCAATATAACTAAGAAGATCATCGAGGACACCATCGAAAAAATGTTCATCAAAATGTTTACGACGATATGTTTCACGCAATTCCATACGTCGTTGTGGCGGCAACCAAGGTAAAATAGATTCATTTTCAATGTACGTTTTATAAGCAGCTCGTCCAATATCATGTAACTGATTTACATCATCTTTTTTTTCATTAAGTACTAGTACAATTGCATAAACAGCACCAAGTGAAGCAGTTTGAGATGAACTCATAAGAAATTCAAGAAATAATTCTGCTGTTTCATGGTTTGATACGACATCATGTATAGAGATTGTTCGTGATAATTGCGACGAACTATTTGCTGGCACTCGATGAACAGTTGCTAATGAAGAGCGATGCGAACATTCCGTATCGCTGAAAGACATGTTTGCTTGCAATAATTTTCTGGATTCCAAGTCGGCCTAGAAATTGATCTCGAGACACAAAGACGATCAAAATTTTATTCAGATTGTTTGTATGCAATGAAGAAACGAATGAAAAAAGAAGGTTAGCGATGAATCTACATCTAACTTCTTTTTTCCTCTTTTCGTTTCTGTTCAATTCATTTTCTTCCTCGTCCATTCCAACCATCGGCGCGATCGTTTTCGTCATTATTGATGTGTCAAGACACTCCCAGCTGGAGAGAGAGAGAGAGAGAAGAAAATTTGAAAATATATTTCAACAACGTATATATACATTCATGTGTTTAATCTATATACTGCTTTGAAGACGATCAAAGTAATGCCGGTAATAGTTGTCCGACTGAAAAACAACAAACCATTGCATACAAATGTATAATTGGATAGTGGCCTAAAATAAGAAAAGATGCCGGTGCGCATCATACTTAATAGTTAGAAAAAGCAGATATGTGTGAAAAACGCTAATCTCTGACCACATCATTCGAATGATATTGCATTACAGAAAAATATTTAAAGAATGTGTCACGGAAATGTGAAGTGGTGAAAATAAACAAAGTATAGCCGAATGTATTTCAAGAAGTTATTGAGTTGTCTCATGGGATTTGAACAAAAGCAAAAAGGAACTAATTATAGATCTTTAGATATAACTTCGCCCACGCGAAAGTGTTACTTTGTTTGCTTTTACCGATAGATGGATTGATGAAAACATGTCATTCATTTGTATGCATGAAAGACTAAAATACGTCGAAATATTGTCTAATCAAGTCACGATACATTCATTATTAGATTTCTTTTCACAGATAATTATTACAGAACATATTCATTATGTTGCATATCTAATTAGATTTCGAAGAAATCGACATAAAATATTCGTATTTGTCATCGATACATTTTGTTTTGTCGTATCTTACAATTTCTTGAAAAGCTTTGTAAATGAACGAAATAGAACAGAATAAAATTAAACATCAAGAGAATTGCGTTACATGTGTTAATAGACAAACATAGTTAATATGATTTTCTTTGAAGCTCTTTTTATTCCAATTTAATAATATGTTTATTATATTTGTTTATAACAGTGGAAAACAAAACAGAAACAAACATTTTCTTTTTCGTGATGCAATTTAATATGGTTTTCTTTTATTGAACTTCTTCTTTGACCTTGTTTGTTGTTGATTATTCTCATTGGTATCATTTATTAATGACGGTTGCCATTGGACCAATTGTCCATCCTCACCACATGTATAAAGTGAAGATCGATAGGTAACGGCAGCACGTAATGTTTCAGAATGAGGTGAATCAATCGATAGTACAGTAGGTTGAGACTCGTTAGATAAGACTAACGTAATGTTCATTTTCCCCATACGATCACACATTAGTAATGGCCAGTATGGTTTAGCCTCCTGTGGAATAGATGGTAATAAATCTTTAATATTACTATCAGCAAGTATATCGACGATAGTTGCATGTGACGAAGAAAGATGATGAATAACTTTTGAAGGTTTTACTGATGAGTCCACATTATCCGCTGAGAGTAAATCGTAATCTGTATCGCCTTGTACAAGTAATTGTTCGTTGTCATCCAATGTTGACCAAATGAAAAATGCATTCGATGCAGTTATTGCGTATATTGTATTGTACTGAGAAAAACCACACTTTGCAACAGGACCATTGGCATTGTAAACCTAGAAGAAAAAACATATTTTACTCTCTTTTTCTACATTAAGAATATAGAAAAAGAAATGATCCTCAAACTATTTTTTTAAATTATCATTGTCATTAAGGTTTCTTGCCACGTACGTCAATCATATTTTACGAACAAGATGCATCATTCCATAGTCACAGGAAATGAATTACAAATTTTCATACAAAATATCATCAAACATGAAGATTCTCGATTTATTTTCAAGCTTAGTACAAATAATAATAACACAACGGAGTTTGTTTGCTTAGCACAATGTATTTCTGATTTTTTAGTCGGATGCATTATTTATTTTCCTTGAGAATGCAATAAAATTAAGGTGTATCGATCAATTGTTGTGTCGTCTCGTGTGAATTTCTCTGAGAAGCACAAAAATAATTATTTATAAATATCATTTTTGAAAAGTGTGCCTTATGAACATTTATTTTGGTATGCGCATTAAATACCTGTTCAAGTGCATCGTCTTCAGTTGGTTTTGATACATCATATACACAAACAAGACCATCTGTTGAGCCACTTAACAATTTATTTGAATTCATTCGAGAGAATTTAACCTGAATAATATCATCAGAATGGGATTCTGTATAATATCCTAATAGTTGTTTATTTATTGGTGCTCGTAAATCCCAAAACGAAATCCCAACATTTTCATCACCTTTAAGTTCCGTACCAGCAGCAACTAAATGATCTTCATTATTACATGTAACCGATAAAAATTCATGTGTATCAGCGCAACCATTTAATTGAATTGTTTCTAATTGTGGTGTTCTTGTATCCCAAGCAAGAACTAAATTTTTGTTTGTCGAAGCAAATAAGGTATAAGGTGAAACATAAGCATATTGAAGAGAATGAAGTTTTAGTGGCGATGAAGAATTATTATTGTCAAAATTGTTTGAAGTTGACGAAAGAGATGAAACCGGTTTTAATGTTGATGCATCAAACAATTGAATTGTATTTGGAATAGTAAGCACAGCGATATGATTATTGGTACTATTTAAAGTAAGATCAGTTGCATAACAGTCACTTGTTTCAGGCGAAGATCGTACGGAGCTTTTGTTTTTATAAGAAAGCGGTGTCGTCGATGAAGAACATGAATGTGAACTTACTGGCTTGAGTTTCATATCTGAAATATTCTGAATAAAACATGCCATTAACCCTGATATTATAGAATAAATAATTAGTTCTCAGATGAAAATATTTATCGTTTTATCATTTATTTTGAATTTGTACCTTCCGTTCAAGTTAGATTATATGTAGAAACAGTTAACCTTATTTTATTTGTTTTCAGTGCTTTAAAGTATAATATTAAATTAAATCATCTATTTTGAAGTTTATTCTTTTCTTCTTTAGTTTCTTTTTGTTGTTGAATAGAACAACAACAACAACAACAACAACAACAACAATCGTACATGAATAGAAAAAGAAAACAACATACAGGAACACTTTATGATATTACTGTCTATTGATATTAATTTCTTTTTTGCTTTCAACGCCTAATAAACATGAACCATTCCATAGAGAAATGTCCAAAAGAGTACATAAGTAAGAAGACCATTAAAGAATCCATTGACGAAGACATGATTTAAACCGGTAAAAAACTTGCGATGTTCATGTCGAATAAAGATAAATATAAGTAACGAGAGTAGAAACATTGAAAAGCCATAAAAGAGAAATCCTTTATAGGACGTAAGACCAATTATACCAGCAACACAACCAGATAGCGCGCTAACAGATGTACGACATTGTTCAAGGCTATTTTCATTATAACGAACAGCGATGTCACTATATAAAATGGATTCAACTTTTCGTTTATTGTGAGGAGCGGATGGTATTGTTGCACCAGTTGATGACGAACCTGATTGAGCAACAGAGCTTGCAGCTGCGGAGCGACGAATTTGCATTTCACTATTTGTTGACATTGTTTAATAATTTTGATCGTGCGAAACTGATAATGACTAAAATTAGAAAAGCATACCGATTCATAAAAATTAATTAGTTAATTTCTTTTTGCTTACTAATAAACAGTGTAAATATCAGAATTTGTAAATATTATGCATCTAAGAACAAAAAATAGAAAACAAAACAAAATTTCATGATTTTGATGTCATGGATGTTAACATTGCTGTTCTTAACAATAATAAACAACCGATAAATTTTTTACTTATAAAAAAAAAAAGAGGAAACAAATCATCAATGTAAAAATCAGAAGAGAACAATGAAACTAGAGTTATTTTTTGTTGGATTTTGAATCCACATTAAACCGTTTCGCGTTTGTATAAGTAAAGATAAGCTAAATCTTTGGGTGGATGTTCAGATAATGCAACAACTTCATCATTGAATATAACCCAACGATTATCTTTAAGAATATGTGCCACATAATGGCCCGATGATGGATGATTACCAATATGTGAAATAAAAGCCACAAGTCGGTATTTACCAGTACCATCACGATATGTTTGTTTATTTTCTTGTGCAGGTGCAGAAGTTGTCGGAGGTAATGATTCAAAGGATGCATTTGAAGTGGAACTATCTTCAGGCGTATTTAGAGCCCAATCAACAGCTGCTTCAACATTATTGCTCATTAATGATAATGCACGAAGAGCATGATCACGTGAAAAACCCATTGACATAATAATACCAATACTTTCTTCGTCCACCTATTATATACGTACATAAATAGAAACACTAACGTAAGTCAAAGAGAAAACAGTTAACTTACAGGTGGTGTTTGAGTTTGTTCAACACGAGCTTTTTTACTTGGTGCTTGATATGGTGTATCAAAATCTGGATCTGATTGATGTTCAAATACCCAGTTCATAGCCGCTTCAATATCATTATTGCCTGTGTTGATTAATGCTCGTTTACAACCGTCCATCGAAAAACCCATATCAACAAGTTGTTGTAAAAGAACTTCATTCACATGAATATTCGATTGTGAACTAGATGATTGTCCTGTTGCTTCATCATCTTAATAATAATCAAAGATTCTTAGTTTTTTTTTAGTGAAAAAAGAAAAAATGTTCGATTTACCATCAGTTACTAATGTTTCACCCGGTTGTAATCCAGATGCACGTAATGAATTCAGATCAAGTGTATCAGGTACTTCCATTGAAACATCAATTTTTTTCGGTGTCCAATCAGCATTAAATGTATATTTTTTCAATTGAACAACAAGATAATCAGGAAAAGTTAAAAATTTTTGAGTTTTTTTTATTGTTGTCGTACGTCCATGTTGAGGTAATTTATAATCATTTATTTCTTCGGGTTCAGCCCACTGAGATATGGCTTCCTGAAGTGGAATAATTGGACGTATAACTGGTAAGTCATTTATTCTGTTGCCTTGCTTTTCCATATCCTCTTTCAATTTATTATATTCATGTACTTCATGCTGATTTTTTGCCGAGAATAATGGAACATTCAAACGAAACATGGACTCATTACGTGCTAAATATCGTACTTGATTGGTTTCAGGATAATGAATACGTTCTTCAAGTTCGAATTGAAAACAAGTACTTGGATCAAATGTTGGATCTGGTGTTGGATCCTTCTTACAATGATTATGCACTTGTTCGAGATAATATTGAAGAAATTCTGCAGCATCCTGTTGCTGTTTTGTACCGAAATCAGCATGATTACGACCAATTAATAAACGAAACATTTGCGGACGAATCACTGATGGTGCTTGTAATGATGCATCAACATTAGCTGGAATTTCTTTTGAGTAAACACCCGATAAAAGACCATGAGCTAATTTTGCTGTTTGTGCATTAAAATCATTTGCGGGATCTTTAGCCTTATCAAAGTAAAAATCACTATTTTTGTAATATTTTTCTTGAAAATCTTTTAGAGTAAACAAAACTTGCATAACTGAATTCAAATAACATGAATTTCCTAAATTTCTCATTCCCGTATAACCTGAAAACAAACAAATAAATTATTGAAAGAAACAAAAACACTCAATTATAAGCTTCAGTACCTGGTCCATGAACAGGTTGTAATTTTGAATTTGCTTCTTCAATCATAGAGGCTTCACCAAATTTTTGATTCAATTCAATTTCTAAATCAGCCATTGATCGATCACTTTTTTCCATTTTAAGCATATTGATTCCCCAATGTGATAGACGAACAGCCAGGTTTGGATCTTCAACCATATCATCTTCATCATATGAATAAATATCAGCACCTTTGGCTGTAATTGTTCCTAAAAAATAATAAAGGTTATCTCAAAAAGTGTTGGAATGATTCAGATCGAGTAGAATTTTCTAAATTCTAGCGAATGTTTTTAGAGAAAGGGACTGGTAAAACGAGATCGGCCATTTTTGAATCTATCGAGCCTTCTGTAACTCAATAGAGGATAATTTCGTCTTAAATTCGACTGGTGAAAAGACAATTTTTCAATTTCCTACAGTGTTCCTCGGGTGGTTGAAAAAATGAATAAATCATTTGTCCAATTACTATCTGGATTACTCGTTTTATTGATTCGTGAATGTGAGAAAAACTAATATATTTGATCACAAATAACGTGGGCTACAAAAGTAATTGATTTTAACCTTGAATTTGATGGGGAGAAACAAGGGTCTAACTCGATCGACTGAAATGAGTTGTAAAATAACTAACCAAGTTTGACAGCCAATGGATATTTTGTTCTATAATAATGTTCGGCAGCATGATTGTTTCCACCGGTACCATCGAAAAATTTCCTTCCACATAAAATAGCTCCGTCGGTTAAGTTAAGCCATAAATTTTCTTTCAAATCGCATTGATCACATTGCCAACCACTTGGTGGAATTTTTCGACCATTAACTAATTGTTCTAATGTTTGACTATGCTTTGTTATTCGACGAATTTCACCATTCCATGTTGCATTCATAAGCGAACGTTCTTCTTTTAGAAATGCTGAATCAGCAGCTATAATAGCATCGGCTGAGTTCTTAACAAATTCAGGTAATTGACTAACTTCATCGGGATAGGGAATAGTTACATCTGGATGAATATAAATTGCATATTTTTCTTCAAATATAAATCGATTTGATTGATTTACATCAAAACCACCTTCAATACCAATAGCCAATTTTGTTATTTTAGTTGGTTCAACATTGGCATCGATTGGCACTGGTTTTCGTCTTCGTAAAATATGTAAAAAAACATTTTTTCCTGGATTATTTCTACAATGTCGTTCGAGATGAGCTTTTCCTACTCCACGAAATGTTGACATACAAATATAAAGACCATTTTCAGATTCTGGATTATCGAATGAATAAAGACATTCATCTTTATATATATTATCATTTGCACCAGCAACACGAACGTTTCTATATGTATCAGCCATGATAGTTAATCTAAAATTCAAATGAATTTAAAAATATTGACAAAAGATTATGAATACTGTTTAAAACAAAGCAATAAAATTTTTATGTACAAAGACTAGAAAAGGAAAACATCAGTAATTTAAGCAAAGTTTTCTTTTGGCAGAGTTGAATAAAGTTCGTTTAGTTAACTGATAAAAATGTTGTAAAATAAACGAAACTTGATATATGTATAATTCATCACGTGTAAGTCATTGTCATAATGTTTAGAAATAAAGATATATGATGCACACTTTTTGATTGGAAAAGAAAATAAGTTTTTACATATCAGCAGTTCAATTACAAACGAAGCAAAATTCGTATCCAGGATGAACTTTAAAATCTGCATAGACTAGTGTTTATAAATAATTTTTAGCGTCAAAATAATTGCCGTGAGACCATCGAGAACTATGTCTAACATGTTAGAGTAGTCGAAAACAATAGTACTGAGCAAAAGTTTATCGAATCGAAGCTCATATAGATCTATCTGATTCTATTGCAAACTAAAAGGTTTTACTAAGGAATACTATTTTGAATCGTTTTTAGGATAAATCGATAAGCTCTATATTACTTCTGCCGAAAAGAAAGGCCTATACTCAAATATTGACTTTTCAACACCTTATTGTTGATTGCACAAAAACAAAAGTTTATTATTGGCATTTTCTTCTTCGTAAAGTATTTTCGTCTTCATTGGGTAAAGATTGGTCTTGTTCTAACGATGCATTACTACTGCTTAATGATTGTGAATGATTACGTTGATGCCATTCCTGTACTTTAGTTCGACTATCAGTCGTCGGTGGTTCTGGTCTATTAGTTTTATCTATTTCATAATCATCAACTTCATCATGATCAGATCCATAATTCGTCTCCATAATACCATATCGCTCAGATGATACTTCTGATTCATCGCCATTATCTTCTTCTTCATTGGAAATTTCTTCATCATCACCGTCGTCGTCGTCATACGATGATGATGAAGAACTTTCTTCTTGTTTGTTCGATGACTTTTGTTCGTCTTGTTGTACTGATTCATCATCATCACTACCAGAATTTTCTGCATCATTCATACTATCTTCTTCACTTTCATCATTTGATCTTGGTAATCGATGATATTCTTCATCATTATTAAAATTCTACAATAATACAAAATTAACAAAAAAAATATGATTCTTCCTTTTTAAAATTTACCGGTTCCTTTTGTTTGACTGATTTTTGAGCAATTCCAGTCAATTCATGTACTTTACTCGAAACCGTATTGATTGTATTTAAAATTTGATACATTTGAGCTTCAGTTGAAGCCAAACGATCTTGTAGTTGAGATACTTCATGCTGAGTTAAATTTTTTCGAGTTCGATCTGTTCCAAGTTTTGAATTAATAAATGATAATGAATGTTTCATTTCATCAAGAGCATGATACACTAGAAAAATGATAAAGTTAAAACAAAAACTCGAAATCAAACATCGTAAAAACAAACTTTCTCTTTGTTCAGTTGTAGCTTTTTGTTCAATTTCGAATTCTTTGTGTCTTCTCGCTTTTAAATATTCTACATAATCAGGATCTAATCCTAAACAATAGGTCTTTCATAATAATCAAAAAAACAGTCACATATGAACAAAAACTCATACCAGCATATGAATCTTCATTTTCTTGTTCATCTTCACTACGATCATGATTAACTTCATATTTAAATTTTCTTTTTTCACTATTCCAATGAATATTATTAGGTGAATATTGATTTCTTATTTTCTTTTCTTTGCTATTTCGACTACCCCAATACTAAAATAAGTACAGAAATTATCTAAATCAATAACACAAGATTATTTTTGACGTACTTTGCAACAAGTATAAATGAGAAAAACTCCAATGCCAACAGTATACATTGGCAAAGCAAAAGTCACATTTGATTTCGGGTTATGTTCTTCGATCGATGAATGTTCTGGAATATTAGAACCATGATTAGGTATTCTCGTATTTAAAAATTCATCATGGTTATCTGGTGAAGAATCCTGAAATAAATTCAAAATAAAAAGTTGAGCTCTGTATAGAAATAGAATTAGACTTGTTTACTTCATTATGGTCACTTTGAGGTATTGTTGATTGCACTCGTTGAAAATCTGAAATATAAAAGTAACTTAATTTGTTAAAGTTAGAAGAGAAAAATGACTCACATTCATTCATATGAGGGTTCGGTGATGGTGATCTTGGACGAAATAATGGCAAAATAATTCGTGGTATAAGAACAGCACAACAACCGAATAGAATAGCCCACAAAATATTCGATCGAGCGAAAAGAGACATTGTATAGTTACTCGTCAAACATAGCTATATTTAATAACGATATTAAAGGATTTCAATCGGATGTGACAGAACACGATTGCTACTGCAATAGTAGTAAGTAGTAACTTCTATTTTACTTATTCAGAAAAATTGATAAACAACGATTCCAATCATGGTTATATAGATGTCGTACATCATCATTGTATGTGAAATAAATAAAATGCTTTCTTTTCCACATAGACTATATTTCATTTAGTATAGTGACTGAATCTAGTCATGATGAAAATTAATTTAGAAACTCATCGTCATGTCAAAGTCTCTACAGGTAACAAAAACATTGTAATTTTGTTTTTGAAAATTAGAAATATTCAACTTCTCACTGCATATCTTCGTGACGCTTACTATAGCATGACAAACACAATTTTTTTGTAATCGAAAAGTCATATCAAGCGCAAAAATCAACTCATTTCATAGATAAACAGTCATAGTTATTCCATTGTAGAAAACGTGTCATTCTATTCATAAAAAACTTACATGATATTATCTTAATCTCTACGTTGTACAAAAATAATAATAAAAAGAAAATGATTGACGAGGCATTGGTCGACATACAGGTTTTTTTATATGCATTAGAGATAGTCTCGTCTGACACCGTGAAACTTGAATTGAAAACGTATTTGAATTTATTCTGAAAAATTTAGTCTCTATCAACTTTTGAGTACTTGATAGCCACTATCAAGAAAACAGTTCTAAACGGTCCGATAGATTTGGATTAGGATTATGTTTCAACAAGCTAGAGAAATTTTTTATGTCATACACCAATAAATGGAACATAAGCAATTAAAAATATAACATATAATATAATCATTTATTGGGGCGATATAGCCTAGCATGAGTGTAAAAGAACAAAACTTTACAACTCTATCACGGTCGATCTATTGCAGTATATCTGTGACCAGTTTTGTATTTATATAAAACGAGACCTAACTTATTTAATGAATTCCTTTGTTACTTTCAATTCTCTATAGAAAAGCGAAGAAGTATTATATGACAAAGAGTTAAGTTTAATGATATAATCAGGTTACTAATGTAAGTAATCCAATAGACAGCCTCAGAGAACATAATTCCCAATACTTTTCAGTCACTGGCGGATCTACCAGTTCTGCTACCCGGCGCTCGCGGGGGGGGGGGGGGGGGGGGGGGGGGGGGGGGG